AAGTGGGGGCTTTGGAGAAACGAAGACAAAGGAGAGGGTCATGCTGCTGGGCCCCATGGGGTGTGGATGTGAGGGCAGGGCGGATGGCGCAGCTGGGTGAGCAGCAGGCCCAGCCTTGGGCACAGGCCTTGGCCATGGGCCCCACCTGCTCTGGGGTTGGGTGGTACGGGCGAGGGACTGGGCAAACAGATCGATGGAGCAAAGACCAGCACTGCGAAGCTGGGCGGCATGTGGCCAACGGTGGCCCCTATATGACTGTGCCATATAACCTAGGCGTGCCCGCTGGGCCTCAGATCCATGCCGCGGTGGCCCCAGAACCCGCCCCCTCACGGGGCCCTGAGTGCCCGGCCAGGTCCATGCAGGAGAGGCCAAGTCCCCCGATGGGGGCTGACAGGGCAGTCCCTGTGGGCACCAGGGCCTGGCCCAGGTAGCAGGAGCTCCTGGCTCCTTCCAGGAGAGCCACGAGGCTCCTGGCCCGGCGGCAATGTCCTAGCCCAGCTCCACCTGCCACGGAGAAGGGACCGAGGGGAAGCTACTGCTAAAAGAGCAAAAGGTCCCCACGGGGAGAGGACATTCGCAGAAGACGCCGCTGATGGATGACAGGACACATACCACCGGCTCAGGGGAATCCAAGACCAGAACCTCAGGGGCCAGGCGGGTGGCCAGCGAAGGGGCGGCGGTCCCCAGGAGGGCTCTGGGGTAGGGCAGCCGCCAGGCCCGACTGCACGGAGGGGCTTCGAGTGAGCAGGAGCGGGGACAGGCCTGGGGGCTGCAAAGTAGTGGCCCTGACTCTAAGGGGCCCGGAGGCGGAAGTAGGCCCGCGGTGGGGGTGGGGACATGCGGTGCCTGGGGCGTCTTGTGGCCGGGAGGCTGGGTGACCTGGGCACCGCACACTCGGAGCAGATGCCAAGGCCAGCCCTCCGGCCTGTGCACTGAGGCCCTGGCCTGGCGTCGCTGCCGCATGGAGGCCACCGGCCCCGGCCCCCGCAGGCCAGCGGCTCCCTACACCTCCCAGGAGCTTTCTCTGCCACCCTAAGGGGAGCGTGGGGCCAGGCTGGGGAGACGTGGGCAGCGGGCAGCGGCGGTGAAAAGCGGGAGCCAGGGGTTGGGGGACCCAAGGGTGAGGCCCTCATGCAAGGCAGCTCCCTCTCGGAACGCGAGGACGGGTCAGGCGGCCAGTTCCAGGGCTCTCCGGGACATGCAGCCGCCTGGACCCCAGCCGACGGCCTGGGCAGGTCCAGTCAGCCTCCCGCGCCAGCCCCACTCTTCCTGTCCACTCGGGCCAGAACCCCACGGCCCCAGTGGCCCAGGAGGGGTCTGGGTGGACGGGGCTTGGGCCACGAGCACAGACGGCCCCTGTTCTGGCCCCCAGCAGGCAGGGCGGCCTCAGTGCCAGGTGTGGCCAGGGCTGAACTTAGGCTGGGGACCCTGGTGGGTCCCCCCAACAGAACCCACAGGCCTGAGAGCCCAGGACTTGAGGCCGGGCCAGGCCGGCACCTCAGCTGCAGTCCCCCAGCCGCCCACGGTGCTGCCCACCCCGCCGTGGCCTTGGGTCTGGCTCGGCGGCTCCCTCCCAGGCAGGGCCGCCCTCCAGGGACTCTGATTGGTCAGTTTTATGGTTTTGCCTGTCCTGACCGCCCCGGCTCCTCGGGCGTGCGCATCACCTTTTTGAGGCTGTAATTTGATTTCCAGTTTCAGCATCCGCTGCTGGTGCTCAGGGAGCCCGCGGCCTCCACAAATCTGCCTGGTGTCTCGAGGCCACCCCCACTCCGCCCCTGCATCCACCTGAGCGCTGGCATCACTCGCCCGGCACTGACCCGCCGCGCCGTGTCCGCTGATGGGCCCGTCCGGAGACACGGGCTGTGTCCAGGAGGCCAGGGCTGGTAGCTCCCTGCAACCGCAGATGCTGCCTCCTCCGCAGCACCGGGGAGCTCCTGGTCAGCCGTGGCTGCCACTTCATGGCCACGAGGTAATGAGAGGGACAGGGACAGGAATTCCCAGGAGACCGCACAGCCACTGTCAGGATCGTCATCCACCAGGGAGAGAGAAAGTTCACGTCTCTGGAAAAGAGACCCCACCATGTCCCCTCCGGTACAAGGGGTTCCCTCCCCGGGCCTGGGTCTGACCCCCACGGCACCCCTCCAGCCTGGACATGGGAACCGGGAGTAAACCCGACAGTCGCCCCGGCCCGGCTCCCCACCAGGCTCCCTCCAGCAGCTGCTCTGGCACCAGGTTCTGGGCTGCCTCTGGTCCCTCCAGTTTCCAGAGACTCCAGGCCGTGACCGCAGTTCTCCGGGGTCCACGGCAGCCTTGCGGGGCCTGGAGCGGGCTCCGCTGCCCAGGGCGGGCAGGCCGGGGGTCCTGACCCTGCAGGGTACGAGCTCCTGGGCTCGGCAGCCTATAGCCGTGGTCGCAGCCGGTCGCGGTTGGGTCCCTGTCGGGGTATGTTCAGGTTGAGTTTGTCCTCAACACTGGGGTGAGCCCACCATCCGCCCTGTGCTGTGCCCCTGCCACCACGAGTCCGGGGCAGCTTTGGGCGGATGAGGCAGCTCAGGGACAGCACAGCAGGGCTGCGGGACAGGGAGCAGAGGCAGCGGAGACAAGGGCGGAGACATTCAGGAGGGTGGATGAGGGCAGTAAACTTTAGGAGACGTTGGCCAGGGGAAGTACAAAGAGAAACTCAGATAAGAGCTGGCAAATGGCAGTCTGCCTCTGCGGAGGAGTGTGGCCCGGGAGAAGAGCCCCCCGGGGGATGATTTAGGAAAGGGCTCACTCGCCTCCTGAGGGCAGTCCCTGGGAGTCCTGGCTTCCGTCCTCTCCATAAACTGTTCTTCGCTTTCTTAAACAAAGTTTGTCTCTCTGCTCACTTCTCTGCCATGCCTGCGAATCCTTTGCTGGCTTCCTGGACAAGAGCCTGCGCTGGTTCAGGGCTGAGTGAGCAGCACACACGGCGCCCCCGTACTCTCGTGTCCTCACAGCGAGCCCCTGGCTTTATTCACTCCTTTTCTTTTTTTTTTTTTTAATTTACATATTTATAAGAGCATATAAGAGCTGGGGTACAGGCCAGAGGTGTGGGGGGTGAGAGGACTCCCCAGAGACAGAGTGGGGAGCAGAACAGGCAGATTGAAACACACTGCCGAGGGGAGCAGCGGGAGACAGGAGAGGTCTGCTGTGCCCTGTGGCTTGCTCCCTGGCCGGGAGTCGAACTCATGCTGCAGAGACTGGCAATAGCTTCATAGGTTGTGTCTTAACCACTTGAGTCACCCGGGAGGCCCCCTATTTACTCCTTTTCTTCTGTCGCTTGTGGTTTGGGACCAGAGAAGCCGTGGCCTGACCCAAAGCTGCCCCGGGGCTTCCTCTGGCCGCTCCCACCCCTTTCTGAGCCTCGCAGGGGCGAGGTTCAAGATCTGCCTGCGCTAATCTGAAGGCCTTCACTCCGTCTTCCCGCCCAACTCCGCGGCCGAAGCACCGTCCAGCCAGTGGGGCCAGCCACCGCGGGCAGGGTCCGGCGGGTGGCCGCCTCTCGCCCTCATGGCCGACAGTTGTCAGCCGCTGAGGGCTGGGCTGGGGGCGGCTGCGGCGGCCTACCTGCTTCTGCGCAGAGGGCCGCTGGGCCGCCCCCTTCTCTGCAACGTGTGTGGCGCTGGTGGACCTGGTGGACCCGGGATAGCCCCAGCCGGCCCTGGCCTTCGCAAGCGGGCCCACCCGTGCTGAGGGCTCTGCGTGTTGCCGTGGCCGGCTCTGGTTTCCTGTGAAGCGCTCGTCGGTGCTGCAGTCAGGGCGCGTGGGGACGCGGCCCCACGCCCACATCTCTAGGGACTGGTGAAGAATGGACGGTCTGCTAAATGCGCAGCCTGGGGCAGCCTTCATGGCGCTCAATTTGCCCCTGGTCTCCCCTCACCCACACCTCAAAAATAGCTCGTGGCACCTTCAAAGGCTCTTCCTCCGAGGTCAAGACGTGAGAATGGGCGCCGGGCGAGGGGGCGCCAGGGGCCTGGCTGGCAGCTGCCATGAGGACGAAGCGTAGGGCTGTAACAGGGTGGTCCCCAGGAGGTAACAGTGGTGGGTTTTGTCTTAATTTTGATTTTGCTCTTTTCCTCCCAGACTTGTCTGGCTGTTTCTGACCCCTTTCTGTGGGTCCCTGCTGGAAGGTGCTTTAGACTGTGGCAGCTTTGGGGCCTGGCTCTGGGCCCGTCCCGCTTGGGTGGGCTTTTACCCCCGAGGGGCGGGTGACTGTGGGTGCTGGGTTTAGAAGCTATGTTCTTTGCCTTTCCTGCATTTACTAATTATATTAAAGTTCCTTTTCATTAAAGTCTCATATGTTTTGTGTTGAGGGGGTGGATGGCAGAACATATTTAGAGCAGGCAGGTTTGCGGGGTCTGAAGTGCCTTCTCCCTGACCCGTAACAGATTGAGGAAAAAACAGTCAGGACTTCCATGGGGTCCTGCTGAGGAGCCGCGTCCCCGAGGGACCCCCTGGAGTGACAAGCCCACGTTCCCCTTTGCAAGCAGCCAGTAGGTGGCACAGGCTGATGAGCTGGCATGGCCCGAAGGGGCTCCCCACCCGTCCGTCCCTGTCTTTCCCTCACTCCCTCCTCCTGGCCTTCTCCACAGCTGTGCCCCTCCCAGTCCCCACCTCCTTCCCGTCCACAGGGCGGTCACACCCCCCAGAGAGGGCCAGAGTGCTGTTCCTCTGTAAGCACCTTTTCCAGAGCTGGGGCCAATAGACAGTGAGGGTTTATGGGGCACAGAGTCCACCGAGGGAAGGGAGGCACCTTGGTATCAGGCCAAGTCCCTGCCCGCAGCCTCTGGCTGCATCCTGCAGGTGCTTCAATGAAACTGGGCAGTGCAGGGCTTGGGGAGGGGAGGCAGAATCAGAACTGGAGAGCTGGGGAAGGGGTGTACCGTTGGTGACCCCAGAAAGCTCAGCTCCAGAGGGAGCAGCCATCACTGAGGTGATGGGGCCTCGCTGACACCCTGGGACCCTCGGCACCTGTGGCGATGGCTGCAGTCGCCCAGCTGTCGGACACAGGGCCCCAGAGTCTGGCCCCAACAGTCCTCGAGCCGGCAGCCTCTGTCCGGCGCGGCAGCACAGGGCCAGCAGGGGCCGAGGGCCTGCTTTTGTGGGGTGTGGCTGCCTGTGGGCTTCTGGGCCTCAAATAGCCAGTCTGGGGGGCGCCTCAGGGTCACATTGGGGGTCAGTGAGGGTGCTGTGAGGGCTGCAGGGGGGCCTTGCAGGGCCTGGGGACTGCCCATGCATGGGCCAGGGGCTGCCCTCTGCCCTGTGGATCGCAGCTCTGGCCCGTGGGGGCCTGAGGGGGCTGAGGGGGTGGGCCTGTGGTCTCATGGTCACCACAGGGGTCTGCCTAAGCCCTGGGGCGCAGGTTTGCACACAAGCAGGTTTGCTTGTGTGCAGAGAAGGGAGTGAGAAGCACCCCGTGTGTGCTGGTGGGGCCCAGCCCTCCCTCACTCAGCCCCGCCTGGCCCTCGTCACTCCTGACCTCGGAATTTAACCCACTGAGGCCTGAGGGCCAAGGACTGAATCAACCTCCTCTGCAGCAGCCCACCCTGCCCTGCAGCACTCGCACCTGCCAGGCCACACCCCTGTGCTCAGGGCACTGAGTCCATAAAGGACCAGCAGCGATCAAAGGTCACTAGACAGTCCGCTGGTTGCACAGCTGCTGTGGGGCCCTGCTGGGAGCTTGCTGACCGCGGCAGCATCCCAGGGCCAGCAGGGCTGGAGTCTTTGGGCCTGGCTCACGTTGAGCCTGGACACCCCTAGCCTGGGTAGGGCCACCTCTCTGACTGCCCCCTGCTTGATCGCTGACCCGGGGCAGTATCCCATGGACAGGGAAGAGGCCTCTGGCTGCCAGGGCAGGTGAGTGATGGCCCCTGGGGGGGGGGGGCTCTAAGCCACACCCTCACCACCTAGGCCAGGCATCCACAGTCTGCCTAGGGGTGTCCTGGGGAATTCAATGCACAGTGTGCAGGATGGCGCTTCTGGTGCCAGGTCTGGGTGGGAGGAGAGTCTCAGGAGTCTGACCAGCCCGGGGTGTGAAAGGGGCCGGGCGGGAAGGGGGTCTGGAGCAGGAGGGAGGCCCAGCAGCGGGTCAGAGGTGCTGGCTGCCAGGAGGGACCCCACTCCGGTGACCCCCAACGGTTACCGGGCGTGCACCGCTCCACCGCCAAGCCCCAACCTGAGTCCTGGGAGGGGGCTCCCTCCCCGCAGAGCCGCCCAGAGAAGGGCGCTAGCATCCCCGCCGGGCATCCAGGGCGGGTGGCGGGGAGGGGCGCGGAGGCGGCCAGGGCTCCGGCCGGTTGACCTGCCCGCCCCACCCCAGCGTGGAGTCCCGCGCCGCCGCCGCCCGCGAGCTGCTCCTGGCGGCGCTGGAGGACCTGAGCCAGGAGCAGCTGAAGCGCTTCCGCCACAAGCTGCGGGACGCGCCGCTGGCCGGTCGCAGCATCCCCTGGGGGCGGCTGGAGTGCGCGGACGCCGTGGACCTGGCAGACCAGCTGACCCACTTCTACGGGCCGGAGCCCGCGCTGGACGTGGCCCGCAAGACCCTGAAGCGGGCGGATGTGCGCGACGTGGCCGCGCGGCTCAAGGAGCAGCGGCTGCAGCGTAAGCGCAGGGGCGGGGTCCCGGGGCGCCCCCTTACCCCCACTTGGCCAGAGGCCGGGTCACAGGCCGCCCTCCTCGAGCCACCCCAGAAAAGGCGCGCTTTGCCCACCAAACCGCAGGCCCCAGGGCTGGGGTCAGAGTGTTCCTGGGAGCGGCCCCAACCGCCAGCTGCACCCCCGGCGCCTCACTGCTGGTCTCCCTTCCAGGGCTGGGCCCCAGCTCCTCGGCGCTGCTGTCCGTGTCGGGTAGGTCGGTCTGTCTCTCTGGGTGGGAGGCAGGTCTCCAGCTGCCCAGCCCACCTCGGAGTCCATGTCCGCGCGCCGCCCGGGCGCGGGAAGCGGGTCGTGGGAGAGGGCTGTGGGACCGCGGGGGGACTGAGGCCTGTGCCGCGCGACGGCGAGGGGCCCGGGGGTGCAGCTGACACCGCCGGCCTCTCCTCGCCGCCCCAGAGTACAAGAAGAGGTACCGCGAGCACGTGCTGCGGCAGCACGCCACGGTGAAGGAGAGGAACGCGCGCTCCGTGAAGATCAACAAGCGCTTCACCAAGCTGCTGATCGCGCCCGAGGCCGCCGTCCTGGAGGACGAGCCCCTGGACCCCGCGGACGAACCCCGGTCTGAGCGCGCGCGGCGCTCGGACACCCACACCTTCAACCGGCTCTTCAGCCGCGACGACGAGGGCCGCCGGCCCCTGACCGTGGTGCTGCAGGGCCCGGCGGGCATCGGCAAGACGATGGCCGCCAAGAAAATCCTGTACGACTGGGCGGCGGGCAAACTGTACCAGGGCCAGGTGGACTTCGCCTTCTTCCTGCCGTGCCGCGAGCTGCTGGAGGGCCCGGCCACGCGCAGTCTGGCCGACCTGCTCCTCGAGCAGTGCCCGGATCGCGGCGCGCCTTTGCGGCAGATCCTGGCGCAGTCGGAGCGGCTGCTCTTCATCCTGGACGGCGCGGACGAGGTGCCCGCAGACGCCGCGCCCTGCACAGACCCGTTTGAGGCGGCAGGGGGCGCGCGGGTGCTGGGCGGCCTGCTGAGCAAGGCGCTGCTCCCCCAGGCGCGCCTGCTGGTGACCACGCGCACGGCGGTGGCCGGGAGGCTGCAGGGCCGCCTGCGCACGCCGCAGTGCGCCGAGGTGCGCGGCTTCTCCGACAAGGACAAGAAGAAGTACTTCTACAAGTTCTTCAAGGACGAGCGGCGGGCGGAGCGCGCCTACCGCTTCGTGAAGGAGAACGAGACGCTGTTCGGGCTGTGCTTCGTGCCCTGCGTGTGCTGGATCGTGTGCACGGTTCTGCACCAGCAGCTCGAGCTCCGCCAGGACCTGTCGCGCACCTCCAAGACCACCACCTCGGTGTACCTGCTCTTCATCACCAGCATGCTGACCTCGGCGCCCACTGCCAGGCCTCAGGTGCGGGCCGAGCTGTGCAAGCTGTGCCGCCTGGCCCGCGAAGGCGTCCTCGCGCGCAGGACGCGGTTCCCCGAGTGCGACCTGGAGCGCCTGGGGCTGCATGGCTCCGAGGTCCAGATGCTGTTTCTCAGCAAGAAGGAGCTGCCCGGTGTCCTGCAGACCGAGGTCACCTACCAGTTCATGGACCAGAGCTTCCAAGAGTTCCTTGCCGCTCTCTCCTACCTGCTGGAAGAGCAGGGTGCCCCCGGGGACCCCGCGGACGGTGTCGGGGCGCTTCTGCGCCGGCACACCCATCCGCTTGGCCACCTCACACTCACCACGCGTTTCCTCTTCGGGCTGCTGAACGCGGAGAGGATGCGCGACATCGAGCGCCACTTCGGCTGCGCCGTGTCAGAGCGCGTGAAGCAGGACGTCCTGAGGTGGGTGCAGGAGCAAGGCCCCCCCAGAGCGGCACCAGAGCTGCCCCAGGAGGCCGCAGGGCTGGGGAACGCTGCGGCGCGGGATCAGGGGGCGCAGGAGGCTCCGGAGGAGCAGGGGGCGCAGGAGGAGCTGGAGGAGCTGGGGGCGCAGGAGGAGCCGGAGGAGCTGGAGGAGCCCGAGGAGCGCAGCTTCCCGCTGGAGCTGCTGTACTGCCTGTACGAGACGCAGGAGGCCGCCTTCGTGCGCGAGGCCCTGCGCGGCCTCCCGCGGCTGGTGCTGGAGCGCGTGCACTTCAGCCCCATGGACGTGGCGGTCCTGAGCTACTGCGTGCGGAGCTGCCCCGCGGGACAGGCGCTGCAGCTGGCGGGCTGCAGACTGGTCGCTGCACAGGAGAAGAAGAAGAAGAAGAGCCTGATGAGGCGGCTGCAGAGCGGCCTGGGCGGCGGCGCGTGAGTCTCGGGGCGGGCGGCTGGGCGCGGGGCCTGCCTGGGGGCGGGAGCCTTCCCGGGCGCACGCGCCCGAGTGTCCCTCCGCGCCCGTCTGCTCACCCCACGAGAGGCGGGACTCGGGGCTGGTTCTGCCCACCCCATGCCAGGCGCCTGCCGCTGCCCATCCTCTGCCCCAGCTGTCCTCGCGCGCCCACCCCACGTGGGTCACACCCCAGGCGAAGCCCCAGCATGGCACCCGCCTGGCCCGCCTGCCCCCGGCCGCCCCGCCCCATGCAGCTTTCTCACAGGTTCCAGGCTATCCCCGTGCCCGCACGCACCCCCGCCGTCCCCTCCGCCCCCTCCAAGCCCCCGGGCTCCCCTCACGGCCTGCAGCCCCTCGGCCCCTCGGCCTGAAGTGACCCCGCAGTGCCCGTGACACCTGCAGCTCTCCGCAGGCGCGACCCTCCGCTCCCCCTGCCGGGGCCTCCCCGGCCGCCCGGGCCCGGGCAGGTGCTAGGTGTGAGCGCAGAGCGGAGCGCGGCCAGGGCCGGGGACGCAGAGCCACTGCCCGGTGCGAGGCAGCGCGGAGGGACGGCCCCGGCTGGGGCGCCGCACGGCAGGGCGCAGAGGGGCGGGGTGGGGGGCGGCCCGGAGAGGGGCTTCCCCGAGGGAGGGGCTGGGGCGGGGCCTCACTGCCCTCTCTCGGCCAGGAGCGCGCCCACCGCCGCGCGGAAACCGCAGGCCTCCCTGCTGCGTCCGCTCTGCGAGGCCATGACCGACCCGCAGTGCGGCCTGAGCAACCTCACGTGAGTGACCACCCCGCCCCTTCGGGTCAGGCTCGGAGCAGGCGCCCGGGCGGGAGGTGTGGGCCGGCCTGGGCGGCGGACAGGCTGAGAGCCCGCGGGCAGGACGTCCTGGGCGGGGTGGGGCGCGTGGGGCGGGGCGTCGCGCGTGGGGCGGGGCTCCTGGGCGGGGTGTCCTGGGCGGGGCTTGGGGGGCCCGTGTGGCGGGAGGGGTCAGGAAGGCAGGGCGTTTCCTCCCCAGCGAGGCCCCAGGCGCTGCTGGGACCCGGAGCCTCTCTCCACGCCTGGGCCTGTAGGTCCGTTTTCGCCGTCCAGGGTTGACGTGAGAGTCGGCGAGGCCACGTGTTTCTCAGTCATGGTCAGAGCTGGGCCAGCTGCCCCGGGTCAGCAGGAAGTAAGGGAGCCACAGGACTAGTTCTTGGGGGGTGACCAGGCCTGAGCGGGGCCAGCTGGTCTCCTGTCAGCTGCGCAGCAACTGGAGGCCCGCAGATGCGCCCTACGGTGCTGCCTGGAAGGCAGGGCGGACTGGAGGGGCACCCACGCTCCGCCCCACAAAGCTCCTGGGGTGCTGAAAGAGAGGGCAGGGCTGGGGCCTAGCAGCCTGCAGGGGCCTCTGCCCAGGAGGGGGGATGCGGGAGGTGGGGCTCCAGTGACCCCCCCTGCTTCCTGACCACAGGCTGGCCCACTGCAAAGTCCCGGACCTGGCCTGCCGGGACCTTGCTGAGGCCCTACGGAGGGCGCCCTGCCTGGTGGAGCTGGGCCTCCTGCACAATGCACTCAGCGCGGCCGGCCTGCGAGTGCTGGGCGAGGGCCTGGCCTGGCCCCAGTGCCGGGTGCACACGCTCAGGTGAGACAGGTGGGCCGGAGGGGTGGGTGGGGACACAGCAGCGTCTGACACCAGTGCCCCCCAGGATGCAGCAGCCCAGTCTCCAGGAAGCCCTCCAGTGCCTGCTGGGCGTCCTCCACCAGAGACCGGCACTGACCACCCTGGACCTCAGCGGCTGCTGGCTGTCGGAACCCACGGTGACCTGCCTGTGTGCTGCCCTGCTGCACCCAGCGTGCCGCCTGCAGACCCTCAGGTGCAGGAGGGGGTGCTGGGGACACAGCTTCTCCCCGGGGGTGGGGGTGGCCTAGGGCCTCGCTAGACCCCAGAGAGGAGCCCCTCCCGGGCCCTCCCAAGCACTGCCCCAACCCCAGCCTCAGGTCTGTCCTGAGGAAGGAAGCTCTACCCAGCCCAGGCAGGCTCTGGTCAGAGAACTATGTGCTGCCTGCTGCCCCGGCCAGTCTGGGCCAGTGACCCCCACAGCCTTCCATTCCCCTGAAGGCCCCGGCCCCTGCCTCAGCCTCTGACACTCTCTGACTGGCCACCTGCTGTCACACTGCTCCTCTGGCACAGCCCAGGCCCCTGCCTGTCCACCACGGCTCCCCTCCCCACCTCTCCCCACCCTGCCCCCTGTGACACCCCAGCCTCACGGGCACTGTCCTGCGCCCGTGCTGCAGGCTGACCTCGGTGGAGCTGAGCCAGCTGTCGCTGCAGGAGCTGCAGGCTGTGAAGGCTGACCGGCCTGGTCTGGTCATCGAGCACCCAGCGCTGGACAGCCACTCAGAGCCTGAGCTGGGGTTGAGCAGCACCCTCTGAGGCCCTGGGGGCCAGAGGGGGATGGTGGGTGCAGGCTCCAGTGACCGGCAGAGTTGACCTCCCCATTCCAGGGGGAGAGGGTGTGCTCTCTGCCCTGGGCCTGGACAGGCTTCAGGCGTGACCCTCCCCCACAGGTTATGCCTGTGTCCTCCACAACCTGGCTCCTCGCCCCAGCCCTGCACCCGCAGGCGCCCCCCTGGTGTGCATAGCCAGACCAACCCTTTGCCGGTCCCACCCGTCCGCAGTGCGGCCCCTCGCCCTGCACCTCTGCCAGAACTTAGCCTGAGGTGTCCACTCATGTCCACAGTCATCAGGAGTGGAGCTGGAAGAGTGGCCGGCACTGGGCGGGAGGTGATGGCCAGGTGGGTGGCCTTCGTGCCATAATAAATTCTCCTTGGGGAGCCTCCCTGGTGGCGCAAGGAGTCAAGCACAGCACAGTGAAGCTATCAGCAACCTCTGCAGCAAGAGTTTGATCCCTTGGCCAGCCAGGGACACCCACATGGCACAGCAGACCTCTCCTGTCTCCCCCCTGCTCCCCTCAGCAGTGTATTTCAGCTGATATACCTGTTCTGTTCCCCACTCTGTCTCTGGTGAATCCTCTCACTCCCTCTACCTCTGGTCTGTACCCCAATTCTTGTATGCATAAATAAATTTTTACAAATAAATGAATCAATGAATTCCCCTTGGGCCTGGCCTTGGTCAGCTTCTGCTGCACACAGCCGGACGCTCCTGCCCGCTGGCCTGGAGCCCCACCTCACTGGGGGACAGGGAGCTGGGAGGTGAGGCCAGCAGTGGCAGCCCCCAGACATTGCTGGGCAGCCAGCACCTGAGACCCCGGCCCAGGTGGGAGGCCCTGGAGTCAGCCCCTGCCCTCCCCAGGGGAAAGCTCCCTCCATAACCCACCCTCATCCAGGGGCGCATTCCACAGGCCCCTCTGGGCAGGCGTTCTGGGCGGGAGTCACCAAACCCACAGCCTCACGGGCTCTGGCGGCATCAGGGAGTGCAGGGGCCTGGAGGCTGACCGGGTGGACGCAGGCGGGCGGGCGGGCGGGGCTGGCGAGAGAGGGGTGTCTCCGTGCAGGAAGGCTGGGGAGCGCGCGCTGGGCTCTGGCGGTGGAGGGGGGCGTAAGCCCGGGGTCTCGGACAGAAGCTGCAGGTGCCAGGCGGGGGTGCCAGGGGAGGGCGGCGGCTCCCGGGGCAGCAGCAGGGGCAGAGCTCACGTCTCGCAGCTCTGGGGCTGGGACCCGAGATCAAGGTGGCCGCCATCGCCGTCTGCGGAGGCCCCTTGGCCCCGGCTCTGCCCTCCAGGGCCCAGCTCCCTGGCCTCCCGGCCGCTCTCCAGGGCGCCCAAGGCCTGGTCTCCAGCGGGCCCGGCGCGGGCGGGAGCGCGGCGGGAGGGGCCGCCCGCGGGGCCCGGGGCTCTGCGCGCGCCGGGACCGCGGGGCAGAGCGAACGGGGCTTCGCGGGGCGGGGCCGCGACACTCAGGCCTCCCGCCGGCCGCGGAGCCCGAGAGGCGCGCGGGGGCAGGCGGGGCCGCGGGGGGCGGCGTCGCCCCTCGGAAGGGGCGGGGAAGCGCCCCGAGGCGGCGGGGGGCCAATGGCGAGGCCCGCGCAGCCCCGGGGCGGGACCCGGTCGCCGCCCGCCCGGCCGCCTCGCGGGGAGCCGGGTCTTCCGCCCTCGCGGACCCGCCTCCCGCCCGCCCTCGCGGGGCCTGCGCGACCCGACGGGGCCCGGCCGCGGTGAGCCCCAGGGCCGCCCGCCCGGCCTCCCCCACAAGCTTCCGCAGCTCGGGGCCCGCGGCGCCCCAGGCCACGCCCCTGCGCGCCCCTCCCGGCCCCGGCTGAGCCTCCCGCCGCCTCCGCACTTCCCCGGGTCCTGGGGCCCGGCCTAGGCGCAGCCGCGGTGACTGGCATGCAGGGGCTGTCGGGGGACCATCAGCCAAGTCCCAAGGGGGTTTGGGGGCTCACAGAGAAAAGGAGCCCCAGCCGGTGGGGGCTCTGACCCCTCCTTTTGTAGGCTCCCTGACCGAGCAAGCCTTTCCATGGAGGGTGCTGGCGAGGACCCCACCATATTCAAGGCCCATTCCCTGCCCGGTGACCCCCGGCTCTTGGCCACGGTGACCAGCCCATACCTGGGCACACGTGTGTACAGCGCCACCCTGCACGTCAGCGGGGTGTACAACGGGGCTCAGGGGGACGCACACCGGGCCGTTCTGCCCAGTCCCCTCAACGTGGGGCTGGAGGCCCCTGCAGGGGCCAGAGAGCAGTTGGTCAGCACCTTCATGCTGGACACTAACACAGGTAACTGTTACTGTCCTGCTGCCCCGTTGGTCCAGGTGAGGGGGGGCCAACAGCAGGGCCTGCCACCGCCTCTGACTGGGCACGCCCGGCTCACCAAGAGGAGTGGGCCTGAGGCCCCCAGACCCCCGCCTGGCTGGCTGCTGGCTCTGGCCCAGACGGCCCCAGGCAGGGTCATGGGGCGCAGGGCCTCTGCTCAGCCCAGAAGGCAGGTGGCTGTGCTGCCCCGCTGGGCCGCAGGGACCAGTGTCTCCCTCTCCTTTCCCAGGCTCCTTCCTGCACACCCTGGAGGGCCCTGCCTTCCGGGCCTCCCAGCGCCTCTACGCCCACCGGACCCTGCCACACGTCCTGGCCTCCAGCGTGTCCATCGCCCGCCGGGCCCCGGGGCGCGGTCTGGTCACGGTGTTGTTGCGGTCGGCCTTCTCTCCAGAGAGCCCAGACCTGGCCCTGCGTCTGGGCCCTGACCACCGGGGAGCACGGTGAGAAGCGTCCCGGGGGCCGGGGGGGGGCCCGGGGGGCCTGTCCTTGAGACCGGCTGTCTCTTGCAGGTACCTGTATGGCCACATCCTCACTCCCGAGCAGCCCGGGGGGCCGCGGCAGGAGCTGCACATGCTGTGGACCCCAGTGCCGCCTGCCCTGACCCTGGGGGCGGGCGAGGAGGAGGGCACCTGGGAGTTCCTGACGGTGGTGGGCGGCAGCCGGGCAGAGGCCCAGGCCCGCCTGGACGAAGCCCTGAGGCTGCAGGAGGGGGGCGCGGTGTACGGAGTGCATGTCCAGGCCTGGGCCCAGCTCTGGGCAGGCTGCGGCCTGGACGTGGCAGGGCCCCTGTGCCTGCGCCAGGCCCTGCGGGGGGCCCTGTACTACCTGCTCAGCGCCCTGCCCCAGCCCGGGGTCCCGGGGGGCGCCTGCCACGGCCTCAGCCCCGGGGGCCTCTCCAACGGGAGCCGCGGCGAGTGCTACTGGGGCCACGTCTTCTGGGACCAGGTGTGACCCCCACTCGTGTCCTGCCAGCATCTGCCACAGGGGGGCGGCTCCAGGGCTGCAGGCCCCCCCAGGAAGGGCTCGGCTGCCGCCTCTAACTGGGGTCTCCTGGGCAGCCCCTGCCACAGCTAGGAGGGGACACCTGAGGTGGGGGGGTGTTTCGGCCACAGCGGGGAGGTGTTTGGTGAAAAAGAGAGATGCAGGCCAGGAGACCAGCAGGCGCCAGAGGCCCGAGGCATCTACCCTGGGCCTGGCTCGAGAGGCGGAAGGCGTGCGGGAGCCGGCGCCATCAGCTGGGGAGCGGCGTGGGCACACATGTGTGTTCTGGGAAGGCCCTGCTGCGTGGGGTGTGGGCAGGGCAGGCGGACACTGGCCTGAGCCCCTGGGGACACTGGTGGGACAGAGGAGGGAGGCTCCAGGCCTGAGACCAGACTAGGACGCCAGAGCAGTGCCAGGGCTGGAGATGGGGCAGCCCCAGGGGGCAGCATGGAGGAGGCAGTGAGGATCCCCAAGAAGCTGCCAGGTGTGTGGGGCAGGTGCCGAGAGGGTGGGCGCAGCAGGGCCTGCTGTGCCCCCAGGACCTCTGGATGTTCCCGAATGTGCTGATGTTCCACCCTGAGGCCGCCAGGGCCCTCCTGCAGTACCGCATCCGGACACTGGGCGGCGCCCTGGAGAACGCCCGGAAGCTGGGCTGCCAGGTGAGGGGCCTGCATGTGCACCCTGTGGTCATCCCTGCCCCCCCCAACCCCACAGCCCCACACACACCCCCACCCCGGCCTGCTCGGCTCCCTCGGCGGGGCCAGGGCCCCCAGGATTCTCACGGGGCTCAGCCACCCGCAGCCTGCACTGCACAGGCGGGAGCGGCGTCTGGGCCCTCGCAGCCGGCCGGGTCAGCACACGGTGGGACCCACGTGACTTCAGCCCAGCCACCCCGGGAGGGCACCGGGGCGGGGGACAGGGGGTGCCCTCAGTGTCGCCTGGGGGGTGGACTAAGGCCAGGCGCCCGGTGAACAGCCAGTCTGCCGCCCTAGGGAGCCAAGTTCGCCTGGGAGAGTGCGGGCTCCGGCCTGGAGGTGTGCCCGGAGGGCGTCTACGGGGCACAGGAGCTGCACGTCAACGGGGCCGTGGTCCTGGCCTTCCAGCTGTACTACCACGCCACCCAGGTGTGAACACCAAGCCTGCCCACCTGCTGAGCATGGGCCGGCTCTCACACTGGGCACCTGGCGGGGTGGACCCGGGCAGCGGGATCCGGGCCCTGGGTGCCATGGCCTCCATCCCCAGGACGTGCAGCTCTTCCGGGAGGCTGGCGGCTGGGACGTGGTCAGCGCGGTAGCCGAGTTCTGGTGCAGCCGCGTGGAGTGGAGCCCCAAGGAGGGGCAATACCACCTGAGGGGTGAGGGCCACGGCGCGTGGGCTGTCTCGGGTACAGGGGCGGTGGGTGGGGGCGGTCTGGGGGCCGCAGGCGGGGGGCATCTTGGGCAGTGGCGGGGGGCGCAGGTGCTCACTCGGGCTGTGATGTACAGCACCTGGTGTCTCTCGCCTCGCACTGGCTCAGGGTGCGCCCTGACACTTGCACTCAGTGCGTCTCACCCTTCGTGCCCAGGAGTCATGCCCCCTGACGAGTACCACTCAGGGGTGGACAACTCGGTGTACACCAACGTCCTGGTCCAGAGCAAGTTAGCGCGCCCCACCTTGTCCTGCCCCCGCACCTCCGCGCCCCGCCCTGGCCCCCCCACCCCCCCCACCGCGCCCCCCACTGCACACCCCCAGCCAGGGCCCTGGGAAAGCTCTCCTGCAGCCTCCCTGCCCCTCCCCAGCCTGCGCTTCGCTGCCGCCCTGGCCAAGGACCTGGGGCGATCGGTGCCCAACCTGTGGCTGCGGGTGGCTGAGGGAATCAAGGTGCCCTTCGACCCAGAGCGGGGCTACCACCCGGAGTTCGACGGGTATGAGCCGGGTAAGTAGACATGAGCTCCTTCCGGGCATCTGTCCTCAGCCCCCTCCCAGCCACCCTGCTCACAGGCCTCTGCTTCCAGGGGAGACAGTGAAGCAGGCGGATGTGGTGCTCCTGGGGTACCCGGTCCCGTTCTCCCTGAGTCCTCGCGTCCGCAGGAACAACCTGGAGGTCTACGAGGCGGTGACGTGCCCCCGCGGCCCGGCCATGACCTGGGTGAGGCAGGCGGGGTGCGGGGCTGGCCTGCGGGGTGCGGGCTGGCCTTCTGGCCGCAGACAGGCCTCACACCCTGTCTTCCCAGAGCATGTTTGCGGTGGGCTGGCTGGAGCTACAGGACCCGGCGCGCGCGCGCGCCCTGCTGGACCGAAACCTGGCCAATGTCTCGGAGCCCTTCAAGGTCAGCCCGGTGGGAGCACACACCCGCGGGGCCAGGGCCGGGGCCAGAGCCAGCGTCCTGGGGTCCCACACGCACGGCGCTGCCTGCAGGTGTGGACAGAGAACGCAGACGGGTCGGGAGCTGTGAACTTCCTGACAGGCATGGGGGGCTTCCTGCAGGCAGCACTCTTTGGATTCACCGGGTTCAGGTGACGGGGGTGGCAAGGGGGCAGGCGGAGAGCCGGGGGGGGGGGGGGGGGGGGGGGGGGAGGCAGGAGTGGAGTGCTTACAGAACCCCACCCCCAGGATCACCCAGGCAGGCCTGACCTTCGACCCCGTGTGTCCCGAGGGGGTGTCAGCAATGAGTGTCCGGGGAGTGTCCTACCTGGGGAATAAGCTAGACTTCTGCTGGGCCGCGGGCTCCGTGACACTGGAAGTCACAGCCCCGGGGGACCCCAGCGCCCCCCGACTGGAGGCCGAGCTGTGGCCCTCGCAGGCTCGGCTCCCCCTGCTCCCAGGTAGGCATCTGCTCCAGGTGATCGTGGGGCGTGGGCCCTGCAGCCCCTGCTGCACCGCACCCCAGGACACCCCTCTGCCCGCAGGACACAGGGTCTCTTTCCCCTACTCAGCCGGCCGGGTACAGCGGGCTCTGGCCCAGGGGGCGGCAGGCTCCACGCCTGCGCCTGGGAGCACTTTCTGAGGACGTGGACAGCTGCCCTCAGAGCCTCTCTGGACATCCCACTCCAGCCCCCAGGCTCCTCCCTGCCCCGCTCAGCCAGGCTGCTGGCTTTAGGAGTGTCTCTCGGGTCCTCGCCACAGGCTGCACCCACCTCTTTCGGACTCCCTCCGCCCGCCACCCCAGAAGTCTGCTCCCGGCCCAAGGAATTAAAGTCCTGACTGGAGCGCGGTGTCCGGGGTCCATTTGCAGACCAGGCGGGGGGCTGTGCCCTGCCTGGGAGGGGTGAAGCGCTGGAGCGCGAGCCTGTGCAGCCCTGCCCTTGGCATCCACGTTCCCTGGACGCAGACACCCGCCCATGCACTGACAGCGTCGGGAGGCAGGGGGAGGAGGTGGCAGAGCTGAGGCCGGTGGCTGTGCGGTCAGGCAGACTAGTCTTCCAGCCCCGGCGCTGGCATCAGGTGGGCAGCCCTGTACCCACAGGCCCCAGGTGTCCTGTGCCCGACAGCGAGCAGCGCCTATGCACCAGGGCCTCTGCACACAGTGGGGCAACTTGAGGGACCATGGTGGGCAGCTGCTCAGGGGCCCCCACTTGGCCAGGAGGCTGGGCCAGCAGCAGGATATGGCTGCCGGTGACCTTTCCTCCTGCCTATCAGGACAATATCTGCATCCCTCATCAAATGAGGGGCTGGCAGAGCTCCCCACTTTGGGAGATGCACCCAGCTCCCAGCTGCAGTGTCCACCAGGGGTCACCCCTTTTGGGGCCAGAGCTCAGGCTGGCAAGTCCACATGCTGGCCTGCGGCCCCTGGCTGGGTCCAGTGTGGCCTCAGTGACCACTAGGGGCCAGCGTGCCAACCGGCGCACACCTCTGCCCCAGGGCCACATGGGCAACAGGCCTGTGGGGGTGGGGAGCTGGACCCCCGGCACACAGCCCGACCCCATCTCTCCTGGCTCTAGGGGGTGTCTGGGTTCCTGCAAGTCCAGACGCCTCCCAGCCCGGGCCCGGGGCGGGCCCAGGGTGCCCTGGGAGGGACAGGGCCTGGGCGGTGCCCCCAGCCTGGCCTGGCCTGCAGCTCGGCCTCTACAATTAGCTGGCCCTGTCATTGGCCCGGCCACGCGGGGCGTGTGCGTGACCACAGGCCTCTGTTGGTTCCTGGGGGTCGGACCCCAGAATGCCCAGAGTCCATGTGTCCCCGCCCTGCTTGTGAGTGGGCAGCTGGCACCAGCACAGCAGCCCCTGCTCACGGGGTCCAGCCCCATGCCAGGCGAGGGGGCCCTGTGGGGACTGACACCCTCGAATTAAAGGGAGATGTGGGGCCTCCCTGGTGGCGCAGGAGTTAAGTCTCAACACTGTGAGGCTGTCCGCAGCCTCTGCAGCCCGAGTGCGATCCCCAGCCAGGGCCAGGGAGCTGCCCACAGGGCGCAGCAGACCTCTCCTGTCTCCCCGCTGCTCCCCCCAGCAGTGTGTTTCAGTGGATCTGGCTGCTCTGCTCCCCGCTCTGTCTCTGGGGAGTCCTCCCCTCCCACCTCTGGCCTGCACCTCAGCTCGTGCGCGTAGATAAATCTTTACAAAGAAAAAAGTCTGGGTTCCCACACTTCACCCTAAGACACTCAGTGCTGGCGAGGGCCGCCGTGGGCGGAGGGGGGAGGGGTGTGCCCTGACAGGAAGACAGCCCCTACCCGGCAAGGGGCCAGGACAGAGGCACAGGAAACACCTTCTAGAACCAGCCGTTTTAATCGAGAACTCACGCCGAGCCTGGTGAGGGGACAGGGCAGCAAGGGGCCTGGCCTGGGCAGGGCTTGGGGGAGGGGACCCAAGTCAGGGTCTCTGGGGTCACATGAGGTGCCCAGCAAGCTGAGGCTTCGGGGTGGCGGGGGGGGCGTCCTGCGCTGGGGTCCTGGGTCGGGCCAGGGCCCAGCCTTGGGGTCAGTCGTAGTCTGAGTCGTCAAACTTGGTGCTGAAGAAGGCGGCGGAGTCCTTGGCCAGCCGGGACAGGTGCAGGGCACCGGTCACCACCAGGGCCAGCAGCAGCAGCGGCGGCACCAGCGTCCACATGGCGGCCAGGATGTTGTAGCACTTGGCTCTGGAGCCGAGACGCCGGGCCGCCTCCAGGTCCCCCGCAGCCTTCTGGTCTCGGGCCTGGGGACCGGGCAGCACAGGTGTCCACCTGCGCCTGGGGCGGGCGCGGCCTCTGCCCCAGTGCCCCAGCGGGGAGTGGGCTGGACAGGACATCTGGACGTAGGGATGGGGCGTGGGGGCTGAGGCACCCTCTCCACTGCCCCCAGGTGGGGCGGACACCGCCCCCCACCCAGCTCTGGACCCCGTGGCCATGCCATGCCACGGAGGTCTCCAGGGCCTTCTGTGGGTGGGGAGTCCTCTGGGTGTGGAGACCCCCACCCCACCGCGGGAGCGGAACCAGGGAGGCCCCTCTGGGAGCGACCCAGGACAGCCCCTCCCTCTGGGGGGATGGCACCCCCGGCAGAGGGGAGCAGCGCTGGAGGGCAGGGCTGGAGGACACCCTCTAGCTCGGGGCGCAGCTCCTGGGGAGAGGCCTCCCCCGCCAGCGCAGCCGGCACCCCAGCACCCCCACCCGCCGGGCCCACCTTGATGGAGTGGGCGAGCGCCAGGAAGCCCAGGCAGCACAGGTTCGGGTAGAGGGTGCTGAAGGCCGACCAGATCAGGGGGTCTCGGGGCGGGGGGCGCGGCGCCCCCAGCGGGAGGCCCGTGTGGGCCGCGCCGTGGGCCCGGGGGGGCGCCGGCGCCCGGGGGTCCTCGCGGGGACACGCCGTGTCCCTGGGCTCCAGCGCCGTCTGCTGCGCGGCTGCTCGCAGGGTGGGCCCCGGCCTCATGCCCGCCCGCCCCGCGGCCGCGCTAAACAGACCCGCAAATTACAGCCCCGGCCGCCCCGCCCGCGCCCAGCCCCCCAACGCCAGCCCGCGGCCGCGGGGGGCGGGGGGGGGGGGCCCGCGGGGGCGCGGGGGGAGGGGCGGAGGAGCCCCTGGACCCGCGCGCTCCGGCCTGACCTGCGGAGGGCGCGGGGGAGCAGCGGGCGGACGGGCCGGCGGGGCCGGCGGGGGGCTCCGGAGCTGGGGGGCAGGTCTTCGCGCGGCTCCTCTGACGCTGGAAGCAGACCTGGGGGTCGGCAGAGGCAGCAGACCCGAGACAGCTGCCCTCCCCCAGCTGCGGGTCGCCCCCTTCCTGGGGGCTCTGAGGGTGCTGGAGGGTCCGCTTGGCTTGTGGGTTCAGAGAAAAGGCCCTCCCCCTTGGGGGTGCTCCTGCTCCCCCTGCTCCAACCCCCGCTGGCCCCCATGTGCCGGCGGGGCGCAGCCGCCCACTGCCCAGGCCCAGCACCCCAGACCCCAGAGCCAGGCCCAGTGGGCGGGCAGAGGCCCTCCTGGGCCCAGCGCGCCTGCAGCTGGGCACCTGGCACTCAAGGGTCTTTGGTGATGACAGGGGGTGCCCGGGCGCCCCTGCCCTCAGCCCCGCCTGCCCTCAGCAAGTGTGGGCAGCGCTGGGCCCTGGGACCCCAGCAGGGCACACAGGACCCCCACAGCGCCAGTCCCTGCTTGGACACGTTGCCCACTGAGGAGTCGTGGCTGCCTGGGCTGTCGCTCCGCCTGCTCAGGGTTGTTGCGAAAAAGACCCCGACGGTGGGGTGGGGAGGGCGGGGGGTGCCCGCCACTGGGGCAGGTTCATGGGCACTGTAGGGGCTCCCAGTTGCTCTGCAGCTCCCCCAGCCGGGGCTCTCTGCCATGCCCCGTGAGGCTGTGGCGGCCAGCCTTCACCTGCCCCCTTTCTGCCCCCTCAGCGGGCACCAGGCCGACGGGGCCCAGGCGCCCTCAGCCCTGCGCCAACGGCCAGCGCCCGCACATCAGCTCGTGAGCACAGGGCAGGGCTCCCACCGCCCCACAGCCACGCTCTGGCCCTGAACTCAGTGGCCAGCGCTGGACCCACTCCAAAGGGCTCAGCGGGTCCTGGGCAGCACCAGTGCAGGGGAGCAGAGGCTGGTACCGTGCGGGCCGGGGCGAGGTGTGGGTCTCCCCAGCGGGTTCTGAGTAGAGGGCTTGGGAGCAGGCCCCAGCCCCGCGCCCGCTTAGCCCTGTCCCCCAAACCAAGAGCAACCAGATATTCACCACAAAACGGATTTCCTTGAAAACACAAAGTCAGTTTGGATTGTGCAGTCTAGGGTGACTCCAGTCTCCTCTGTCTCCCGCGGGGCCCGAGGGCGCTCTGCTGATGGCTCTGCCCTCCGCCCCCCAGGGGGCCCCTCTCAGCTCCCACAGCCCCGCAGCTGGCCAGGCCAAAGACTGGCCCTGCAGAGTTGCTCACCCGGAGACATACCACTGTCTCCTCAGGGCACCGGGCGGCGGGGTGGCTGGAGGGAGAGGGGTGCTGGCCCAGGCTAAGCTGGGTTGGGGGGCGGGGAGCTGTGGAGATTCAGATGAGGCTTTAACCTTTAAAATGTTATTTTACGAATAATATTCGGGGGGCCTCCCTGGGGGCACAGGGGTTAAGACCCAGCACTATGAAGCTGTCCGCAGCCTGAGTGCAATCCCCAGCCAGGGAGTGACCCCCAGGGCGCGGCAGACCTCTCCTGCCTCCCGCTGCCCCCCTCAGCAGTGTGTCTCAGTAGATCTGCCTGTGCTGCTTCCCACTCTGTCTCTGGGGAGTCCTCTCACCCCGCACCTCTGGCCTGCACCCCAGCTCTTGTGTGCGTGAATAAATAAATCTTTTAAAAAATAATAATAATAATATTTGGGTACCATAAAGGCTTTCTGTTAGCGCCGTAATCAGCGCTTACCCTGACTCCATCCCTGGCTTCCCAGACTAATGGCACAGTTACTGCAGCCCAGGCCTGAGGAGAGAAGGCCCAGGCTCCCCAGGACCCCGCCCCTGGAGCGCCCTCAGGGCCAGGGCTGAGGGGTGGCCCCAGGGGCTGGAGGTGGCTGTGCAGAGGGGTCCTGCCGGCTCAGGGCAGGCTGGGGGAGGCCAGGGGACTCCCAGGCGGGAAAGGTCCCCAGAACCCACCCAGAGCCCTAACAGAGGGTGGGGGGGGCCAGCTGGACCAGCCCCCTGAGGCCCGGGGATGGAAACCCCCCAGGACCTGGACCCACCCCTGAGTAACCTGACACTGTCTCCGGTCCTCCCTCCCCACTCCCAGCCAGTGAAATCAATTTACAAAATTCCAGGAAATAAAAACCTCAGGGAAACAGAAACTGCTCTACAGAGACACCCGCTGAACCTCCACCAGGCTCTCAAGGGACCAAGCCCACTTCCCCAGCAGGATGCACAAGGAGGAGCACGAGGTGGCGGTTCTGGGGATGCCCGGCAGCCTGGCCCCGGGCATGGCTCCCGACAGCCTGGCCCCGGGCATGGCTCCGGACAGCCTGGCCCCCGGGGCCGCCACCACCACCGTGGTCACCATCCAGCCCGAGACCGCCGAGCCCGACCACGTCGTGTGGTCCCTCTTCAGCGCCCTCTTCATGAACTTCTGCTGCCTGGGCCTCGCGGCCTTCGCCTTCTCCGTGAAGGTGCGTGTGCCGCCCCAGGGCCCGGGCCACCTCGGGAGGGGCAGGCGCCAGAGCGCGCCTGCTGGTGTGCCCGGCTGGGGACCGTCCCCCTGGCTGGGAGGGCTGGGACGACATGGGGTGGGGGGCCAGGCCCGGGGGGGGGTGTGACCTCCCGGAGGCTGAGAGCCCGTGAGGAGGAGCCGGAGGCCCCAGCGGGACACCGGGATGGGGAGGCTGGTCCTCAGCCCTGGGCAGGGCAGGTGGGGCCGCCCCGGTAGAGCCCTCATGAGCCCCGTCTCCTCCCCAGGCCAGGGACCGAAAGATGGTGGGCGACATCCTCGGGGCCCGGACCTACGCATCCACCGCCAAGTGCCTGAACATCTTGGCCCTGTGCCTCGGCCTCCTCCTCAACGCCGGCCTCATCGCGCTCCTGGTGATCGCCGGCATAGCCGTTTATACAGCTATCCAGGAACGCAGAGGCTACTAGTGTCTGCCCTGCTCACCTGCCCCTCCACCCCGGCCTCCTCCCCTGCGCTGTCCCCTGCCTGTCACAATAAAGACCGCTCGCTGTATCTGATGGTGCCTGGTGCTTCCTGCGGCCCCGGCCCAGCCTCCTGAGACGCCCCCTCACGCCTGTGTCCTCTCCCTGCGGAAGCAGCACCTGGGCCAGGCGGCCAGGAGGAGGGGCCCTGCCCCTCGTGAGCCCTGGGCGCTCGAGGTGTCCCCAGCTCACTGCTGTCCTGCTGGCAGGCGGGTGTCCACACACGTCCATGGAGTGGGGTCCTGGGGGGCATCTGTGGGCCTGGCCCAGGGTGGTCCAGCCACTGCCTGACCGCTGCCGCCGCCTCCAGCCCCAGGCTCTGCCTGGCTCCAGGGGAGGGGTGGCCTGGCCAGAGGCTCTGCAGGCAGAGTGCAGGGCTGCAGAGCCCATGCCACTTGGAGCCCACACTCCAGGGTGCCCTGTGAGGGAGCCTGGCCTAGCACCCAGAGGGGCTGCCATCCTGTGGCCCCTGCACACCCAGGCTGCAGGCCGGGGTGGGGCTGGTCAGCTGCACTGGGGGGCCCTCCAGGGCGATATATGACAAGGATCTGCAGTGGGTCGGTGCCCAGCAGCTGGGGACCCCTCTGTGCCCAGTGTCCATGTGGCTGGACGCCCTGGCATGGCTGGAAGCCTCGGCTGCTCTCAGGGAGGTGGTGTGGCTGAGGAGACGGCCCAATGGCCTTCTCAGGTGCAGAGTGGTGTGGAGGGGCGCGGGGGGTCCCCGGGGGTGGCCTGCAGAGAGGAGCCTGTCTGGAGGGCATGGGAAGCGTCTCTGCCTGCATGGCCCGCGGTGAGCCCTGGAGTGGAAGTTTGGGCCAGACCCCAAGAGGCCCAGAGCACCCACACCCTCGTGGGAGGGGTCTGGGTGGGGCAGGACTGAGTGCCCCTGGTCTGCTTCCCCACCCCACGCTCCCCCCCTCGCCAGGCCAGTGCACCTCTCGGGAATCCGCAGACTGAGGTGTGTCCCTCCAGGAGGCGGACCTGGGCCCTGGCGGGGAGGCTCCCTACTTGGGAGAGCCAGCCCCACCTGCTAGGGACCGCGTCGAGGGCCACGCCGGCCACCAGAGCAGGCTGCTCCCTTGGAGCCAGATGGGGGCAGCCAGGGCACACTCAGCCACCCAGGTCTCCGCCAGTCGCACCTGGGCAGGTAGGAGGGTGGCGTGCAGGGCACGGTAGGGCTCCATTTCGGGCAAGCACGGCCACTCAGGAGGAAGGGGCTGCAGGGGCCCTGCCCAGGCACAGCTGCCTGTGGATGCTGCAGGGCCAGGCGCCGGGGTGTGGGGAGCCGCCAGGGGAAGGCGGTCAGAGCCGTTGCTGCAGGGCTGATTCCCACTCACATGTCCACTCCCCCTGGACCCGGTCACCTGGGGTGTCGGCTCTGTGGTCGCCCCGCGAGAGGCAGGGGAGCAGACCTGTGTCCCCCACGGCACAGGGGCTATGGGGTGTGGCTCTCCACTGGTGTGGATGTGGACTTGGGGCCCCTGTTCTGGGGAGAGCCCCCCTGTGTCTCCAAGGGACGCTGGGTCCTGCCGCGGGCTGTGCCGCCCCCGTGGTGGTGGGGGGGTGGTCTGCTCTCTAATGCCAATGACATGCCGGACACAGCCTGTGGATGAGAGGCATTTACTGACTTGGTGGCCACAGGCCCGTCTTAGAATGGCAACCGGGCACGGCCACGGTGAAAGGGCTGGTGGGCCGGACAGCCGCTAGTAGCCTCTGCTGTGCTGGACAGCCGCATAAACGGACAGGCCGGCCAATACCAGGAGCGCGATGAGGCCGGCGTTGAGGAGGAGGCCGAGGCACAGGGCCCAGATGTTCAGGCACTTGGCGGTGGACGCGTAGGTCCGGGCCCCGAGGATGTCGCCCACCATCTTCCGGTCCCTGGCCTGGGGAGGAGACGGGGCTCACGAGGGCTCTACCGGGGCGGCCCCACCTGCCCTGCCCAGGGTCGGGGACCAGCCTCCCCATCCCGGTGTCCCGCTGGGGCCTCCGGCTCCGCCTCACGGGCTCTCAGCCTCCGGGAGGTCACCGCCCCCCCCGGGCCTGGCCCCCCACCCCATGTCGTCCCAGCCCTCCCAGCCAGGGGGACGGTCCCCAGCCGGGCACACCAGCAGGCGCCCTGGGGCGGCACACGCACCTTCACGGAGTAGGCGAAGGCCGCGAGGCCCAGGCAGCAGAAGTTCATGAAGAGGGCGCTGAAGAGGGACCACACGACGTGGTCGGGCACGGCGGTCTCGGGCTGGATGGTGACCACGGTGGTGGCCCCGGGGGCCAGGCTGCCGGGCGCCCCCAGCACGGCCACCTCGTGCTCCTCCCTGAGCACCTCACAGCTGCCCCGGGGGAAGCCGGGCTGCAGGGGCTGGGACATGTGGTTCATGGCTGGGGTGAGGCCGACAGGCTAACCGGGTCTGGGATCCCTGGACTCTCCTTCCTGAGCAGTTTCGATTTCTCTGGTTTCCTTTTCCTGACTTTTGGGGGTTTGGAATTGGCTGAGAGCCGGGAGGGAGGGAGGAAGGAGGCTGAGAGTCAGGTTACATGGGGGTGGGGCCGGTCCAGGTCTTGGGGGGGTTTCCTGTCCAGGGCCCTCAAGGTCCTGGTCTCAGCCTGCCCCTCCCTGCCCTCAGCCCTCAGGTGTGGGGGGTGCTGGGTGTAGGTCAGGACCCTTCCGAAGCCCCTGGCCTCAAGGTGTCTCCCGGGGTTTTGGGGCTTCTCCAGGGTGGGCCTGTGGCAGAGGCATGACAATGGCCTTTCCTCCTGGGCTCCCCAGGCCTGGGGGCAATGGAGGGAGCTCTTGAGCAGAGGGCTGCTGTAGGTGCCCCTGCTAGCCAGTGCAGCCAGAGCTGGGCCTTGCCCTCCCTAGGAGAGGTGGGGTTGGAGCCGCTGCCTTTGCCCTGAGGCCCTCGGGGCCCAGCTCCAAGCTGTTTTATTAAAATTTAAAAAGTTAGGGCCTCCCTGGTGGCTCAAGGGGTTGAGCACAATGCTGGGAAGCTGTCCGAAGCCTCTGCGGCATGGAGAGCTGTACCCACAGGGCACAGCAGACCTCTCCTGTCTCCCCGCAGCTCCCCTCAGCGCTCTGCTCCTCGCTCTGTCTCTGGTGAATCTTCTCACTGCCCCCATCTCTGGCCTGTACCCCAGCTCTTGTATGCATAAATAAATAAATCTTTAAAAAAAGTTTTTAAAGGTTAAAATAATCCCCAAGGCCACCAAAAGGGCAGGAGACATGCGAAGTGCAAAGTCCTGTTTCAGGCAGTCAGGCCGTAACTGAGGCGCAGAGAGGAGGTGAGGCAGACCCGCCTGGAGAGGGGCAGGGGCTGATCTTATCCATGATCCTGCTGAGCTTCAGGAAAGACTCCCCAGAAGACGGGCAGGCGAGGGGGTAAAAAACAGTGGACCCAGGGGTATCGCAGGCGCCTGTGGGTCCCAGGTACGAAGGGGTAGAGAATGAGGGTGGGTCTGGCCCCGGGGTGGGCAGTGCGAGTGGGACACAGAGGCACAGTGGCCGTCGGGGGGGCGCAGGGGCCGGTCTGGGGATCCCGAGTGGCAGGGCCTGGGCAGCAGCTCCCGCTCTGATGGGCACTGGCTGCTGCCCCAGCGAGGGTCCCCGCCGGACATGTGACCCACAACTGGTCCCACCTGCCCTTTTCCACGGACTTGCAGGTAAAGAGCTGAGAATTCTGGGCTCTTCCCCAGACACCCCAAAACAGGGGTGAGGCACACTCAGGGCCTCGCCAAGCCCTGCTGTCGCGAGCATGATTAATTGGCTTCAGTTGGAAGTTGGCTCTCAAAGAGAATTTTATTCCTACATTGGTCACACACGTACACTTACGTCCATACAGGTGAGCCAACCCCAGTTCCCAAGGCACCTCTGACTGAAGACAGCAGCCGGGACGTGTCTTAGCCGGGCCATCCCCCGGGTGGGAGTCCTCCGGCCATGGAAGGCTCTGGGCTTGAGGGCCCGCAGTCCGGACAGCCCCGCGGGATGCTGAGCTGAGAGGCAGCCTGTGCGCTGTCGGGGAGCAGGCTGTCGGGGAGCAGGCTGTCGGGGAGCAGGCTGCCAGTTCGCGGGCGGCAGACCGGGGAGTGCAGGTCCTGTCACAGGGTGCGGGACCAGAGCCAGGAGGGGACCAGAGCCAGGAGGGGTTCCCGCGGGAGGGCAGTCTGAGTCCAAGGGGGCAGCGAGCTGGGCTCTGGAGGAGTGTTAGGGGGAAAAGGATGCCCCAAAGCAAATTCCATACAGGCTTTGTGGAGTCCACCCCCACCCCAGGTCAAAGCCAAAGACACTGGGAACTCCATATCCCATCCCCACCCAAGGGAAGGTGGCTGGGACCTGAGGGTGGGGTGAAGCAGCCAGGTGGATATAAAAGGCAGACACGTGGGCTTTGGGGGTCCCCCATTTTTGGCCCTCGGCCAGCTCGCAGCGTCCGGCCAGCTCTGAGAGTGACTTTGGGTTTCCAGGTCATCGGATCGGGTAGGACGCATGAAAGACTTTATTTCCCTATTTTCTCCCTGAGTTGTGCATTTTCCTTATTTCTTTTTCTCTTGTAAATAAACCTTTTATTAACCCTTTTGTGTGTGTCTGCAGTGGAGTATTCATAAGTCCCTTTAAAGCGCGCGGGTGAGGACCCCCAGCCAGGAACCCGTTTAACATCGGGGCTGCTCTATAACAGGAGCGGCCGGCGTCCAGGGCTGCTCCGAGCCGGCCTCCGGCAGGGGCTCCCCCTGCACATCCTTGGAGGCTCGGGGCCTCTGCCTCGCCCGCCTGCCCCCGGGTGTGCCCAGCGACCTCGCACCTTCCTGTTTTTAGTTTTACTTGTGAGCTTTGTGTTCCCGACACCTGCCCTGAGGGCGGGCTGTGGCTGCGGGCGGAAGCAGGGGTGCCCCCTCCCCACCCGCCCCCGGCAGCGCCCCGTGGGTGGAGAGAATTGGGCGCCAGGCCCGGGCTGCATCCGGGGGGAGTCGGGGTCTCTGACGCTGACTCGGGGCTCCGGCCTCTGCCGCCTCCCCTCACCCTGGCCCCTTCAGCCCCCCCCCCCCCCGCCGGACCCCCGCGCCCTGCACCCCGAAGCGCCTCGGCCCCGCCCTTCCCAGCCGCAGGGGCCAGGGCTCCGCGGGGCCGGGGCGCACCCCGCCTCCGGAGGGGTCACGCTGGGCGCCCGAACCCGCCTTCTGAGGGCCGCACCCCGCCCGGCTGCACCCCACTCGCGGCCGGCCCCTGACGGCGGGGGCTGCACCGGGCTCGGGCAGGGAACGGGGCGCCCGCGGGGAGACTTGGGGAGACTTGGGTCGCCGCGGGGAGGCCGGGAACCCTGCGCGGAATCAGGAGACATCGGCGGGGGGCGGGGGGGCCCGGGGCCCCCCTTTACAAGGCCGCGGCCGCGCGGCTCCACCCCAGGCCTGTGGGGCAGGGCCCGCGGGTGAAAAATGGCCCAACCAGACTCCGTAGCCAACAGCCAGCCCGTCGGCGGCGTCGGGGCGGGCGCGAAGCGCGCGTCCCGGGTCACGGACGGGCCAATCAGCGCTGTGGGCTGCGGGGCCAGCGTCCAATCAGACTTGGGGGCGGGGCGCCCTGAAGAGGATATGAGCGGGGGGGGGGCGAGCGGGGGCGGCCGGGGGGGAGGAGGCCCCGCGCCCGGCCCTGGGGCAGCAGGAGCCGCGCCGGCGCCCCGCACGGAGCCCGGGAGCCGCAGACCCCAGCGGGGCGGCCCGCCTGCCCCCGACGTCGCCTGGGGGGAGCCGGGGCGGCAGCGGCCGTCTCCACTGGCCGGCGCTGCTGGCGGCCTCCGCCGACGCCGTCGGGCGAGGCCGCGGCCTGTGTGGGCGCCGGAGCCGCCGCCTCGTCCGCGGGGCGGGCCCGGGGCCCCGCGGCCGCCCTCGCCGGCCCTGCCCCGGTCAGCTGCGGACTCCGGGGCGCGCTGGCGGTCCGGACCCCGGGCGGCGGCCGCTCCCTCCTGCCCGCGCCCTCAGGAGCGCCCCCGGCGTTCCCGGACACGGCCTCGGCGGGGCGCCGGCGGCGGGTGGGGCGACGGGGCAGCGGGCAGCGCCCGGGACCGGCCGCGCGGGGACCAGGGCTGCAGGCCCCGGCTGCGCCGCCGGCCCCTGCCGGGACGAGCGCTCCGCCCGGGGCGGCCCGTGCGCGCGTGTCCCGGGGCCGCCTCCCCGGCGCGCGCGCAGGGCCGGGCCGCTCCCAGACTTGACGCCCAGTCAGCTTTCATCATTTTTCGGATGCTTGTCTTGGCGCTTCCTCCACCGCCACGGCCAAGAAGCGGGAAGGCCGCGGGGAGAGACTCAGGCTCAGACCCCCCTGGGAGGCGGCTCCAGGCCGACCCAGCCTCGGGGCCTTGACCCAAAGCTGCGCACCCGGCAGGCGCGCACCCCGGCAGGCGCGCACCCCGGCAGGCGCGCACCCCGGCAGGCGCGCACCCCGGCAGGCGCGCACCCCGGCAGGCGCGCACCCCGGCAGGCGCATCTGCAGATCCCGGAGGAAGGCAGGCGTGTGTGGGGCGGCCTTTGTGGTGGCGATGCCTGCTCCCCGCCCCCACCCAGCACCCCTCTTGCAGAAGAGCTGCCCGTTCTCTCCAGAGGCCAGGGACAGCCACAGGGGCTGGTCAGTGCCCCCGGCCTGCCCGTATGTCATGCCCCACTGTCCCCGCCTGGGGCTCGGGCGCTGGCTGTGCCCCGCGGGAGGGAAGCAGATGGTGAGTCTTCAGAAGGAAGCCCTGAGCAAAATGAGCTGGTGCCATCCCAGCAAACACATTTTGGATTTTATTTAAAAGAGGTGCAGCGCCCTCTGTTTCTAGCAGCACTGTTTACAACAGCTAGGCTTCGGAAACAACCCAAATGCCCAAAAATAGATGCTGGATCAAGAAGATGGGGTGCATATGCAACAGGGTGGTCCCCAGGAAAGGGGGAGGTTCCCTGCCCCACCCAAGGGAGGGTGGAGCTGAGCAGGAAGAGAAGAAACTGCAGAAGAGACTGGGGAAGGAAGCAGGATGGAGCCAGAAGGAGACCTGGAGGAGGCGCATGGAGCCTAGAGACACGTGAAGAAACTGCTTGTCTTTTGGTCGTGGACGGGGTGACACAGATGTGGGTGAGACCCGTGGGGAGGTGACAATGGCAGTTTTTATCTTGATGTTGATTTTGCTCTTTTCCTTCCGGGCTTGTCCAGTTGTTTGTGACCCTTTTCTGTGGGTCCCCACTGGAAGATGTTTTAGACTTGTGGTAGACTTTGGGGCCTTGTTCTGGGCCGATCCCATTTGGATGGACTTTTACCCACGAGGGGACGGGTAACTTTGGGTGCTTCATTTAGAAACTAGATTCTTTGCCTCACCTGTATTGTTTCCTAGTTTTTATTAAAGATCCTTCCCATTAAAGTGTCCTATGTTTTGTGTTGATGCGGCGGATGGCAGAACCCATTTAGAATAGGCAGGTTTGCGGGGTTTGGGCTGCCCCTCTCCCTGTCCTATAACACATATACACCATGGAATATTACTCAGCATTCAAAAAAGATAAACACATGCAATTTGCAGCAACATGGATGGCGCTGGAAGGGATCATGCTCAGCGAAGTAAGCCAGAAAGAAAAAGAAAATACCGGATGGTCTCACTCATAGCAGGAATCTAGAAAACCTAAATAAGGGACTAGGAAAAAGAATAGCTATAAGAAAGTGAAAATCAAAATCAACAAGCAACTATGAACCAGAGACACTCTATGGGGGGTGGGGGGTGGGGAAAGGAGGGATTGGGGTCAAAATAAGGGGGGTTGCAATTGCATGGGGAATATAAAAATAAAATTTAAATTTAAAAAATAAAACAGGTGCAGCATCTGAAGCATGGTGCTCCCTCCTGCAGCTGCCTGGGGCCCAGCTGCAGACTCCTCTCTAGAGTGGCCCTGTGGGCTCCCTGAGGAGGGGAGGACCTAGGGAACCCAGACCCATCAGCCCATTGGCCCCACGCCAGCCATGAACCACGTGTCCCAGCCTCTGCGCTCTGGTGCCTGTCCCAGCAGCCCCAGCTGCTATGAGGAGGCCTGGTAGCTAAGAGGAGTACAAAGTGGCCGCGCTGGGTCGCCCAGCAGCCTGGCCCCCACGGCCAGCACCATAATCACCATCCAGTCTGAGACCTTCATGCCCAGCTCTATCATCTGGTCAGAAAAGAACCAGGTGGAGCATTACAAAGTCATCAAAAAGGAAGGACTGAGGACCTCCCCTGGTGGTGCAGCGGTTGAGCGCTGGGACGAAGGTCCCACATGGCGTGCAGACCTCTCCTGCCGCCCGCTGCTCCCCTCAGCAGTGTCCTTCGGTCCTTCTGCCTGCTCTGCTCCCTGCTCTGGCTCTGGTGAATTCTCTCACCCTCCCGCGCTTCTGACTGTCCCCAGTGCTTGTGTAAATAAGTAAACAAATAAATCTTAAAAAAAAAAAAGAAGTGCAGCTTCTTCACATGTCTCTCTGCTCCCTGTGCCTCCTCCTGGGTCTCCATCCTGTTTCCTTCCCTCCCCAGTCTCCTTTCTAGCTTCTTTAAAAAAAAAAAAAAGATTTATTTATTTTTATACAACAACCGGGGTACAGGCCAGAGGCGCAGGAGCATGAGAGGATTCACCAGAGACAGAGTCGGGAACAGAACAGGCAGACTGAATAAATACACTGCCGCAGGTGAGTCAGGAGCAGACGAGAGGTCTGCTCCGCCATGTAGGATTCTCGCCGGCCGGCCAGGATCAAACCCACGCCGCAGAGGCTGTGGACAGTTTCACAGTGCGGCGCTCAACCACCTGAGCCGCCAGGAGGCCCCTCTTTTCTAGCTTCTCCCAGCTCAGCTCCACCCTCCTTTGGGTGGGGCAGGGAACCTGGAATTTCCCCTTCCCCTGGACACCACCCTTTACAAAATCTTACCTGAATAAAAAAAATAATGTGACTTTAGAGGCCAACAAATGACTGCAGAGCAGCTGCAGCCCTCAGGCATGTGGCCGGTGCTCAGGGTGGCTCCATCCCGGCCATGTGGCCTCAAGAAGGGCCTGGGGGCAGGTGCCAAGGCCCCTCCGAGGCTGCACGGGAGGGGCATGGCTCTCTACACTGACCTGGCGGCTCCCTTCAAGGTTTGGGGCACAGGGTGCCAGGCTCAGAACGGGTGCAGACAGGTTCGATGGAGGATAAGAACAGAAAAACTGGAAAGGAGGCGCCACAAGACCAGAACGCTGGCTCACACAATGCCAAGTGCTGGAGGTGGGGGTAGGGGGATTAGCATAGCCCTTAACCAGCTACCGGAACTAGGATCCTCAGGCGCCAAAGCCCAGATCACAAAGCCCAAGACCCAAGCAGTGTCAGATGCTGCAGGGGGCTTCAGGGGCAAGACCTGAGGGTAAAGATATGGAGATTGAGGCCATTGTAGAAATCTGGCCCCTTTCAAATTCTACATAGTTTATTCAAAACAAACCACTCCACGAAGGAGTGAGCCCCTCCCAAAGAGCGGAAGACAGTATCAGGGCAGCCTCCGCCCTGGCGCTGGGCAGCCGTCTGTGATTGTGCTGGGGCTCCTCACCAGCTCTCTCCTCTGCAGGGCAGCAGCTTCCTGCCTGTCCGAGACCTGGACCAGGCCGGGGCTTCTCTTCACTGACCTCCTTCAGCAGAGGTAGCGCGGCTCAAGGCCGCCAGCTGCAACCAGGCCAGGCAGGCGTCTCTCAGCAAACCTGTTCCTTTCAGGGCAGCTCTTCCTGCCCGGTGGGGTCCATGCAGGTGTCCTCTATTCTTCTGTCCCTTTCTCTAATAAACCTGTTCTTTAAGGTTTCAATAACGGCCTTTTGTTTCCCTTATCAATTCAAGGTTTTATGGCCCATTCCTATGGCAACATCCTGGTTCCCCCAGTCCCTTCAAGCCTCCCAAGCTGCCTTGGGGAGCAAAGTGCAGGGGCTGAGTTTGCATACCCCCAAGTGTCACCCCACTGACCCCCAACAGCAGAGAGCCCTTCCGGGTGAGCTGCTGCCACCACGCTCCAACAAGGACCCTCAGGGTGGCCAGGGACAGGTCCACACGGGAGTTCCCACTACTAGGAGCCCGGTCCAGGCCCTCACTGACCTTGCCACAGAAGGCATGGATGGGCCCTATCCTTTCCTGAACGCCAGGGGGCCAGCCCACCTGAGTCCCCCTCAGGGCCAGGGCAGACGGGGGCCTCAAGGGGCCTGGAGCCCGGTGGGGGGGAGTGGCCCTGGAGGTGGCTCATCTGGGGCTGGAGGTGGCTGTGCAGGGGGGGAGGGGGGGCAATGGCTCAGGGCCGGGCTGGGGGAGGACAGGACTCCCAGGCAGGAAAGGGTCCCCAGAGCCTACCCACAGCCCTCACTGAGGAAAGGGAGGGGCCGGCTGAGACCAGCCCCCTGAGGGCCCTAGACAGGAAACCCCCCCAGGACCTGGACCCGCCCCCATGTAACCTGACTCTCAGCCTCCTTCCTCCCTCCCTCCCGGCTCTCAGCCAATTCCAAACCCCCAAAAGTCAGGAAAAGGAAACCAGAGAAATCGAAACTGCTCAGGAAGGAGAGTCCAGGGATCCCAGACCCGGTTAGCCCGTCGGCCTCACCCCAGCCATGAACCACATGTCCCAGTCCCTGCGGCCCGGCACCAACCCCGGGAGCTATGAGGTGCTCAGGGAGGAGCACGAGGTGGCCGTGCTGGGGGCGCCCGGCAGCCTGGCCCCCGGGGCCGCCACCACCACCGTGGTCACCATCCAGCCCGAGACCGCCGTGCCCGACCACGTCGTGTGGTCCCTCTTCAGCGCCCTCTTCATGAACTTCTGCTGCCTGGGCCTCGCGGCCTTCGCCTACTCCGTGAAGGTGCGTGTGCCGCCCCAGGGCCCGGGCCACCTCGGGAGGGACAGGCGCCAGAGCGCGCCTGCTGGTGTGCCCGGCTGGGGACCGTCCCCCTGGCTGGGAGGGCTGGGACGACATGGGGTGAGGGGCCAGGCCCGGGGGCTGACCTCCCGGAGGCTGAGAGCCCGTGAGGAGGAGCCGGAGGCCCCAGAGGGACACCGGGATGGGGAGGCTGGTGCCCGGCCCTGGGCAGGGCAGGTGGGGCCGCCCCGGTAGAGCCCTCATGAGCCCCGTCTCCTCCCCAGGCCAGGGACCGGAAGATGGTGGGCGACATCCTCGGGGCCCGGACCTACGCGTCCACCGCCAAGTGCCTGAACATCTGGGCCCTGTGCCTCGGCCTCCTCCTCAACGCCGGCCTCATCGCGCTCCTGGTGTTCGCCGGCATGGCCATTTATGCAGCTGTCCAGAACGGCAGAGGCTACTAGTGTCTGCCCTGCCCACCCACTCACTCCTCCACCCCCACCCTCCACACGGTCCCCTGCCTGTCACAATAAAGACCGCCCGCTGTATCTGATGGTGCCTGGTGCTTCCTGCGGCCCCGGCCCAGCCTCCTGAGACGCCCCCTCACGCCTGTGTCCTCTCCCTGCGGAAGCAGCACCTGGGCCAGGCGGCCAGGAGGAGGGGCCCTGCCCCCTCGTTCAAGGTGTCCCCAGCTTGCTGCTGTCCCGCAGGCGGGCAGGCAGGTGTCCACGTCCATGGAGCGGGGTCCTGGGGGGCGTCTGTGGGCCCGGCCTGACGGCTGCCGCCGCCTCCAGCCCCCAGGCTCTGCCTGGCTCCGGGGGATGGGTAGCCCGGCCAGGGCTGTGCGGGCAGAGTGCTGGTCTGTGGGGCTGTAGAGCCCACACCATCTGGAGCCCCACTCTGGGCTTCCCTGGCTGGGAGCCTGGCCCAGAACCCAGAACTTTCAAGACACCCAGCTCGCCCCCTGTGTGTGTGTGACCCCCACGGCTGTCCTCGCTGCACCTCAAGACTGTGCTGATGGCCCATGGACACTGCTTCTTGGGCACCCCCATTTTATGGAGAAGTAGCCCATGTGGGAGCCTCCCTGGGGACCTGGGGTTCAGTCTCAGGCTGTCACTGCTGAAGCCTGAGTTCTATCCCCGGCCAGGGCGTGACCCACATGGCGCAGCAGACCCTGCCTGTCTCCCCGCTGCTCCCCTCAGCAGTGTGTTTCAGTGGGATCCGCCTGTTCTGCTCCCCACTCTGTCTCTGGGGAGTCCTCTTATACCCCTGCACATCTGGCCTGCACCCCAGTTCTACCCAAAAATAAAATCATACCAAAAAAAAGATGCAGTCCTTGTGTGTACACAGGCCAGTTATTCAAAGGTGAAAAAAAAAATTTTTTTTAAACATTTATACAAGAACCGGAGTACAGGCCAGATGCGGGGGAGGGTGAGAGGATCCACCGGAGACAGAGCGGGGTCCTCTGTCTGTCATTGATAATAGCTTTTGTTGGTTATATTGAGGTGTCTGGATGGATTAGTTCAAATATACTAAATAATGAAAACTACTGTCACCCTTTGGCTTTATTGAAATGTAGCTACTGGCATGTGTACCCGAGGTGTCCCCACTCAGCCCTGGGTGACCTGCAGGCAAGGAAGGGCTTGCAGCTGCCCAGCAGGGCCTGTCAAGGTGCCCAATGGTGCCTGTGTGGCCCTCCTGTGGGGCTGTGCCTGTGGGTGCAGTGCTGGGACCCCGATCTGAGGCGGGTGCTGGGCCTGGCTCTGGTACGCAGCCCTGGAGCCCCATGCGGGTGCGGGACCTTCAGGTACAGGGTTTGCCCCAGTTACTTTGGTGGGGGGGAGGGCAGTGCAGTCTGGGCACCACCCCGAAACTCCTGCCTTTCCTTGCAGGGAGGACCAGCGGCACGTGGCCCTCCAGCTCCTAGGGTCCAGCGGGCCTCCCAGCTTGAGACGTCAGGCGAGGCAGTCCCGGCAGCGCCCCTCAGAGAAATAGGGCAGAGCAGGAGGCCTCACAGCCGTGACACCCATCACAGTGGCCCTTGAGCACTGGGCCCCTCAGCAGGCCCCCACCTCTTGGGCTGGTGACCCAGCAGTCAGGAGCGCCCCCTCTGCCCTCAGCGCCTGCCAGCCTGTGCCAAGCGCCCAGCTGCGAGGCAGGATGGTCAGGACGGCCGGCGGGTGTGCTCAGCGGTGAACAGTGGCCCACGTGCCCGCAGGGCAGCCCCATGCTGGGGGGTAGGGGCGCTTCCTTCGAGGGCCAGCGTTGGCCGCCCCTGCCCGGCAGGTGCATGTGGCCTTGGCCGGTGGCTGGAAAGCAGGGGAGCCGGGGTGCAACCCATCGCGTTCGTCCCCACAGCCTGAGAACGACAGAGTCTGGGACGCAGTTTCTGCCCCCGTCAGGGTGTGCGTGGGGTGCCGCTCGCGGGCGTGGAGGGGTCACAAGCTCAGGCCAATCCCAGAAAGACCAGGACAGCAAGGGCTGAGGGGGTGGGCTCCCCTTTCATTGGGCTCCTGGGGACTCGCTACTGGGGGGTGCTTTCCCACTGCCTTGCCTTGTCTCATCACCCTTTGTCACCCAGGGCTGTGAAGCCCCCCAGCTGCTGCTCTCCCCGCCCTGCCCTGCGGCCACCCCCACAGGCGCACCCGACCTCCTCCCTCCAGCCCCCCAGGTGTCCAGTCCGGCCCTTAGGTGCTTCCAGGTCACCCCTGCCTAACAAAGGGCTTGGGGCGCGGGAGTCGGGAAGCGCAGAGGGCGCTGGACGCTGGGGCTGGCAGGGTCACCTGGATCCCCTCCAGGCCGCTCCAGGGCACATATCGCTGCGCTGGAGCCACTTTAAGAAGTTTCTCCTCAGCGTCCACTTCAAATTTAGCAAGAAAAGGGGGTCTCGTCAACCACAGCTGCCACTGTGGTGCGGGCCCGGGACCCCCTGGCCTGGCCCCGGTCCAGTCATGGTGCCACAAGGAGACCTGCGCGCCTCCGCTTTAGAAGAGCCCCTCACCCCGCCCAGAGGGCAGGCGGAAGATGGGGTGCCTGCCTCCCTGTGGGGAGTCCCCTCGCTTCCCACCCCTCCTCCCTTCTCTCCCCGCCCTCCCCTCCCCCTCCCACTGCCCCCTTCCCGGGCCCCTCCCCAGCAGCCTCTCTCCCTCCCAGGGTCCGGCTGTCTTTGTTCAGCGACTACCGTTGCACTGAGTCCCAGGCTTGAGTGTCGCTGGGGCTGGACGCCTGGCAGGCGCTTTGCTGGCCGGGAGGCAGCGGCTTTAATGTGTATTTCTCCAGTGACGAGTGACTTTTAATTTTCTGTTTGGAAGCCGTTTTCTCTTTTATGGAAACGGCCTCTTTTCCTCACTTTTCCTACTCAGCGCCTAAGATCTCCTGCCCCAGGAGGCCAGCGCTTGCCCTGCGCTCCCCACTGGTCAGCGCTTGCCCTGCCCTCCCCAGCTGCCCTGTGCTCGGCCGGGCTCTTGTCACGCCAAGCCGGCCTCTGCAGTCAGGCTCACCCCCCTCTTCAGCTGTGGCTGGATTTCAGACCCCGGAAAGGCCCTTCCCGGAGAGGGCGGGCTGTTCCCAGTGTCCGCGGCTTCAGCCTGGCCTTTGGACCCCAGCCTAACTTGGGGTCTGTGCAGGGCCTGGGCCTCCGGTGGGCCCCGGGTGTCGGCTGACTGCACAGACCACGTTCCCTCAGCTCCTCCTGGCTGGGGGTGCCGGGTGGCTGCTGGGCAGGTGCTGGGCTTACTTGGGGGCTTCTGGGGGTGCTGGGGAGATGCTAGGGTGCTTGGGAGGCACTGGGGATGCTGGGTGACTGCTGGGGAGGTGCTTGTTGGTTACCGTAGCACTCCTCACTGCAAGCAGATGGCACAGGAGAAATGGAGGCCCTGGCCAGTGAGTCTAGCTGTAGCAGTGCTGGGGCTGCTGGCAGGCTCCTGGGGTGTTGGGCAGCTGCTATGCAGGTGCTGGGGGCACTGGGGGTGCTGAGGGCTTCTGGGAGTGCTGCTGGGGGTGCTGGGGGCATCTGGGAATGCTGGGGGCCCTGGGTGGGTGCCGGGGGTCTTCTGAGGGTGCTGGGCAGCTGCTGGGGGTGCTGGGAGCTGCTGGGTGGCTTCTAGGGGTGCTGGAAGCATTGGGTGGCTGGCTGCTGGGGGGGCTGCTGGGGGGGCTGGCTCTGCTAGCCACTAATCATGCCTTTGTGTCCAGATGCAGCGGCCGATGAGGTAGCTGCGATGCTATGCAGGCGGCTGGCTGCTTCCTCCTCCAGTCTTGGTGTAAGGGAGCGGCTCTTAGTCAGTGGGTGCGGCTGTCTCCAGGCACCGGGTGGGGGGACACTTTTCTCCAGCAAACAGGAAGGCTCCTGTGCACAGAACTGGGGGCCTGCGGCCCGCAGAGGTGCTGGCCAATGGGCAGCTCCCCTTCCTTCTTCCCACCCCTGGTCTCTGCTGGTGGGGGCCTGGGTTTTCTCCTCAGGAAGTGGACAGTTTCCAAATGGCCTGCGTGCCCTGGTCGTGAGGGACCACGCAGAGCTGGACGCCCTGGGGCGGAGCCGCAGCGCCCCAAGCAGAGCCCCGCTGAAAAGCCACCAGCAAGACCACCCTTTGGGCCGTGACAGCCAAGCCCAGGCTTGGGGGGCCAAGGCCCGAGGCTCCCTGGGGAGCCGGCCGGCGCCCGCCCGCCTTTGTCTCGGAGCCGGTTCCCGGGCCTGGGCTCTCCAGGTCAGCGCCCGCCCTCGGGCTTGGCTCGCGGGGAGGGTGCCGCGGCCTGGGGGCCACACACGCCCTGGCCCACCTGCCACGGTCGCCCCTGAGAGAGACGCCCTGCCCTGGGCCTGGGCGCGGACCCTGCGGGGCCAAAGGGTCAGGCCGGCAAGAGGCGGGCGGCGACCCCGCCCAGCGTCTCTGGGGCCTGCGGGCCGGGGGCGGCGCCGTCCGGTGGGCAGGCGGCTCGAGAGGCCGCCGCCGGCTTTCCGGGCCGTGGGACCGGCTCCGTCTCCCCAGGAGCGCCGGGCGCGCAGGCCTCCCCCGCGGGCCGGGCGGACCGGCCCGCTGAGCCCAGGCCCCGCCCGGCGCAGGGCCTGTCAGGGCGCAGCGCCTCCCGCGGCACCTCGGGGAACCGCGACGCCCCCGGAGCTCCCGCCCCCGCCGTCCAGGCTGCCCCCTCCGCCTCCGGCGCACCCCACCGGGGGCCCCCACCGCCCCGCCCCGCCCCGCCCCGCCCCCTCCCTCCCACCGGCCCGGGCCCCGCCCCCGCGCGAGCGGCCCCAGCGCCGACCCTCCCCCGCCCGGCTCCCCCGCGACCTGGGGGGTCCGGCTAGCGGCGCGCAGGGACCCCCGCCCCCTGGACAGCCTCCCGGCCGCCCGCCCTGGGGCAGCAGGCGCGCTGGCCCCCGCGAGTCAGGAAAGGCGCCGCCCTCCCAACACCCCACACACAGCCCGGGGCCCCCCGCAGGCCTCGCTGCGGACCCCCGCGGCGCGGCCCCCCCAGTTCTGGCGGGGCGCAGGGCCTCCCGGAGCGCGGGCCTGCGGCGCCCCCTGGCGGCCCCCGGCGGAACGCGCCGTGAGCGGAGCGGGGAGACCAGGCGGGTCGCGCGGCCCCAGCTTTGTCCAAACCCCCAGATCAGTTGTTGTCTTTAAAGGTTTATTTATCTATGCACACAGGAACCGGGGCACAAGCCAGAGGTGGGGGGTGAGAGGACTCCCCAGAGACAGAGTGGGGGGCAGAACAGGCGATTCACTGAAGCACACGGCCGAGGGGAGCAGCGGGGAGACAGGGGGGCCCACCAGGGAGGCCCAAACCCACAGATCTCAAGGGCGCAAAGCTGAAGCGCATGCCTGGAAACCCAAAGTGGGCTTCCGGCCCGGGGCCCGCAGGGCCAGAGGACACTGTCAGGGAGCAGGGCCCGCGGGCGGGACACACCTCTGCAGGGTGGGGAGCGGTGTCCGCTGTGGGGGAGCAGGGCAGCACCCGGGGATGCAGGCGCCGGCAGGGCGGCGGGGATGGGGGTCACCCGGAAAGGCGTGAGGGCTGCGCGTGTGACCACGGGTGTCACCGCGGGGGCACCAGCCTGGACCTCTTGTCCAGGACCCTGTCTGGTCAGAGCCAGGCTCCCGCGGAGGAGGGGCACCCTGGGCCGGGCTGTCAGCTGGCAACAGTGCAGGGGAGCAGGCCCAGAGCACCGGACAGGGCTGTGCCAGGCAGATGCCCACGCCACGGCTCGTCCCGGCACGGGCTGGCGGATTGAGGAGGGGGTGCAGACAGGACTCCCCGCAGAAACTTCCAATGGGTTATGTATGCCCCACCCAAAGCGGGGCGCAACACCGGGTGCCCAAAGCGTGGCTGGGGAGTGTAGGACTTCGGGGGCCCCTCACAGGGGTGTGAGGAAATGGGTGGGGCCCTCTCAACCCAGTCGCCCGGTCCCATCAGCAAATGCCTACAGCCCTGGCGACCCTCAGTCTCAAACCTGGTGCCAGAGGGTCCTGGACAGGGTCCCGGGCAGGGAAAGCCAGTGGGGGGAGTGCGGGGAGTGAGGGCCAGCAGTGACACTCACCTCAGTGCCATTCAGGGGGCAGCTGGGCCCTGGGGTGGGGGGTGGGCCTGTGGCTACCAGCTCAGCATTTCCATGAGCTGGAGCCCGAGGCTCGTGTCTGGATGCTGACCAGGCTGCATCATGTGCCCCAGCGAAGGCAGAGGGGACACGGAGCGGGGAGGCTAGGGGGGGCCGACACAACGGGCCCGGGGCTAAAACACAAGGAGGGGAGTTGGTGTCCAGGGGCACCAACTCCCGGACAGCCTGTCCCGCCCCACCCTGCGGCCGTGGTGACAAGGAGCCAGAGCTGCCTCTGCAGGGTGTGTCTCCCTGCTGGGTGACCACCCCGAGGCAGGAGTCCCCAGCCTCCCCCGGACACACACACCCTGGGTCAGGGAAGGTGCCGGCCGCCCCTTGGGCCTCCTGCCCTGGATGCGAAGGGCTGGCGGCCTGGAGTCGGGGCCACCACCAACGTTGGGCTGGTATGGGACGTGGGCAGGGAGGCAGGGCACAGGGAGGCAGGGAGAAGAGCACTGGCCGGACGCCGGGAGGGCACGTGAAGTGGGCGAGTGGATCACACACCCGCAAGACAGCTCCGCTCCTGCCCAGCTGACCCCTAGGGCCCCCACCCCGCTTGGCTGACCCCAAGTTCACCATGGACCCCAAGTCAGGTCCAAGACTAGAGAGCTGGGCTGAGCACCCCTCCTCCCGGGTGCCCAGATGTCCTGTACTCCAGCCCGCCCAACTCTGTCCTCAGAGGCCTCCACCTTGCCCCTCTGCTGCCCTGTCCAGCTGGCAGCCAGGTGAAACCCTGGCTCGCCAAGCTGAGGCCCTTGGGCATTCCTCATCCCCCTCAGGGGAAGCCGTGGGCTTTTGAGACCCTCCTCAGCCTTCCTCCCTCAAGCCCTTGACCCCTGCCCCCACTCGTTCCCCCAAACTTCCCTCCTCTTGCCTGAGTTCAGTCCCGCGGGCGGGGTTGTCCTGTGGGCAAGAGGCCCCACTCCACGACTGGGCTGAGCCCGTCGCCCGCCTTTCCCACGCCCCAGGCTTCGGCGCCCCCATCACCGCACACCTGGTTGTTGGGTCCGGGTTGTTCTTGCCCCCTAACCCCATGCAGCCCGGACCCTGCGTCCCTCCCCGTCCTGCGCCCCTCTGTCCCCGGTCCCCACGGCCAGGGAGGGTCCTCACCCCCCCCCCCCGCACCCAGCGCGGCGGGCCGGGAAGCCCAGGCGGGCCCCTCCGCGTGCCGTCCCTCCCTCCACCCCCGGCCCGGCCCGGCCCGGCCCGGCCCGGCCCCGGCCCGCGCCCCTCGCGCCCGCCCCGCGCCCCCGCGGCGCGCCCAGGTGGATGCGCGTTGCGCGGAGACGACGAGGGCGCGCGCCCCAACGCGCCGCCCGCCCCGCGCGCGCATTGGCTCCCCGCGGGCTGCCGGGCCGCGATTGGCCGGCGCCGCGCGGCCGGCCGGGCCGCCCCACGGTGGTGGCGCCGCAGCGTGGATGCCGCCCGCGCCCCGCGGCCCCCCAGCAGCGCGCAGCCCGAGCGGCCGGGCGGGGCCGGGCCGGGCGCCGCCGGGAGCCGCTCCGCCGCCCACCCCGGGCCGCGGCCGAGGGCAGCGGGGGGCGCGGCCGCAGCCGGTGGCCGCGGGCGGCGGACAAAGGGCCATGCGGGGCCGCGGGGCGCGGCGCGGGAGCCGGGGGCCGCAGCGGCGCCGCTGAGCGCGGCCGGGCGGGGCGGCGCGATGCCGTGGCTCCCGGTGAAGAAGCTCCGCAAGCAGGTCAAGCTGCTGCTGCTGCTGGTGCTGCTCACCTGCGCCGCGTGGCTCACGTACGTGCACCTGAGCCTGGTGCGCCAGGGCCGCGCGCTGCGCCAGCGCCTGGGCTACGGGCGAGGTAGGGGCGCGCCCGGCGGGGGGCGCGGGCGGGCGGGCGGGGTCCCCAGGCACCGGGCCGCGCCGTGGGCCAGGCCCGCCCGGAGGCCCCGTCCGCGCCCCCAGCGCGCAGGTATCGGGGCGGGGGGCGCGGCGCGGCCGGGCCCGGACGCCCGGTGACGTCATCAGTGACGTGCGCGACCCTCCTGGGAGCGTCCCCGCACCTGGGCGGCCCCGGAGGGGGGCGGGGGGGCCCGCGGCGCGGTGCGCGGGGGGCCCTTGGGGGCCCGGCTCGCCGGGGTTTCCTGGAGGCCCGGGAGGGGGGAGCCTCCACCAGTTGCCTGAGTAGCGGAGCCGCCGGTTCCCCCGCTGCTGGGGAAGGCTGAGGGGCAGAATCCTGCACCCCCACCCCCCACCCCCCCCCCCCCCGGGGCAGGGCAGAGCTGACCTGCCCTGGAGCACCTGCTGGAGGGGACCCCGCTAAACCTGTGACCTCCTCAGAGACGGCCATGGGGGGGCACATAAGGCGGCAACCGGCAGCCCCACCACACAAACCCTCACCCCCACAACAGCCTGCAGTGTCACCTCCCAGGCGTGGGAGCTCCCCTAACTCTGGCTGGGACAGCCCTGAGTCCACAAAGCCAAGCCCGTCCTGCCCAGCGCCGTGGGGACGTCTGCTTTGGCGAGGGGGCTCCTGGAGGGGCTCTTGAGCTTGTGGCCTTTGACTTGCCTTTCGGGAGGAAAGGCACTCATGAATTCTTGGGGTGCGAAAAGGAGGCAGGGCCCGGAACCTAGGGGGGATGGGAGAGAGGGGAACACCTCAAGGCAGAATTAGATGCCCAATGGGTCCCCCTCCCCCCTTCCACCTGCTGAAGCCCCCCCTCACATACCTGCAGCCCCAGGTCCAGACACCCCAGAGTCCTCGCACCTCAGAGCCAGGGGCTCCCAGCATCCCTCCGTGCCTAAAAGAAGTCCCCCAGCTGTCAGCACACCAGGCAGGCAGGACCCCAAAGTGTGACCCAGTGACACAGAACAAAACCAGTCCCCCCTCAGCTGCCTTTGCAGCTTTCCAGGCAAGCCCAGTCCCGGCCAGCCTGACCAGCAGGTCCAGCTGGGCATCTAACTCAGCAGCTGGGGGCTCAACACCCACCTTCCAGCCAGACAGAGGCCCTGTGGTGGGGAGACCCCAGGAGGGCTGGCAGCCACGCAGCCTCTCCCCAGGAGCGGCCCAGCCAGCATGCAGGCTGCTGGCTCCCGAGGGTGCCTGCAGTGGCCCCGGGGAGAGTGGCCGTGGGGGGCACCAGCAGGCACCGCACTGGGTAGTGAGTCCTCCTGCTCTGAGGCTCAGACCAGAGTGTGGATCCTCCTCGGGGGGCAGCGTGGGATGTCCAGGCCCCAGCTCGGGGAGGGGCCTGGAGAGCTGGGACAGTGGGTCAGGCATGGTCTGCTCCAGGATAGGGCTGTGGGACATGCAGGCTGTGGAGATTGCCTGGGAGTGTCCCCGGAGGACAGCCTGCCTCCAGGCTGCCCTGGCTCCAGGTCCTTGGACTGTGTGCCTGTCCCCCTGCCCAGGTGCTGCCCAGCGCCCTGGGCAGCTGCAGCACACTCTGTGGGCTGGCCTCCCTGGCAAGCCCTGGCACCAACCCACAGTGAACTCGTTCCGCATGGGCAGAGTGCCCTGAGGGCACAGAGCAGGCCAGGGGGCCTTCCTGGAGGTGGCGCCACGGATGAGCATGGCCAGATGGGTGTGCTGGGCAGGAGGTGGGAAGAAAACCTCCAAGGCCGGCCTCTGGAGCTCCAGGGAGGCCAGGGGAGGCTCGGCAGGGCACACGCCGGCCTTCCTCCACCCCAGCCCCGTGCTGCGGCCCAGTGACGCCCCGCGCCCTCGCAGATGGAGAGAAGCCGAGCGGCGTGACGGACGGCGGGGGCGCGCGGGCCGCGGGCGCCACGCAGAGGGCAGAGGACTCCAGCGAGAGTCGCGAGGAGGAGCAGGCGGTGAGCTGGGGCGCTCGCCCGCGGCCGTGGACAGGGCTGGCCCGCGCGGACAGCCGGCGCGCTGGGGCGGGCAGGCCCTGAGGCCCTGAGGCCTGCCCGCCGGGGGCTCCTGATGGGCTTGTCTCCCCAACCCCCTCCTCTCCTAGCCCGAAGGTCAGGACCCGAACTCGCGCCTCCCCGGGAGGGCAGGAAGGCCCCCCCACCCAACCTCACGCAGCAGGCGCCGCCGTGGCGGGAGGAGGTGAGCGCGGGCGCGGGGGTGGGGGGCCCCTGCTGAGCGGAAGCTGAGCCCCCTTCCCCCCAGTACAAGGGGCAGGTGAACCTGCACGTGTTCGAGGACTGGTGCGGGGGCGCCGTGGGCCAGCTGAGGAGGAACCTGCACTTCCCTCTGTTCCCGCACGTGAGTGCCCGGCGGAGGCGTGCGGGAGGGACCGAGGGGCGCGGCGGGGCTGCCACAGCGGAGGTCACTGCCCCGCAGACGCGAACCACCGTGAAGAAGCTGGCCGTGTCCCCCAAGTGGAAGAACTACGGGCTCCGGGTCTTCGGTTTCATCCACCCGGCGCGAGATGGTGCGCGCTGCCCCGGGCTGGCCGCGCTGGGGTGGGGGGCGGCGGCCCCAGCTGGCCCTGAGCCCGCCCCGCGCCCTGTCCTGCGGCCTAGGAGATGTGCAGTTCTCGGTGGCTTCAGATGACAACTCTGAGTTCTGGCTGAGCCCCAGCGAGAGCCCGGCAGGCGCCCAGCTGGTGGCCTTTGTAGGCAAGGTACGCCGCCCTGACCCAGGACCCGCCCTCCCACCCAGCCCCTGCCCACGCCCCCGGCTGCCCTCACCCCTGGCTGCCCTCGCCCCCGACCACCCTCGCCCCCGACCCCCCTCGCCCCTGGCCGCCCTCGCCTGGCTGCTGTGGCCTCGGTCACCGTCTCCGCCAGCTCCTCAGGAATGGGGAGCTCGTGGGCTGGTACCCCAAGACGGGGGGTACCAGCCACCCCACTGCCCCTCTGTGTCACCCACCAGACCGGCTCGGAGTGGACAGCACCTGGGGAATTCACCAAGTTCAGCTCCCAGGTGTCCAAACCCAGGCGGTGAGTGACTGCGGGTGTGTGGGGGGCTGGGCAGGCGCGTATCTTCACCTGCACACCCCCTCCACACACACCCGCTCCACACACACCCACTCCATGCACACCCACTCCACGCACACCCGCTCCACACACACCCGCTCCACACACACCCGCTCCACACACACCCTCTCCACACACACCCGCTCCATACACACCCGCTCCACACACACCCGCTCCACACACACCCTCTCCACGCACACCCTCTCCACGCACACCCGCTCCATACACACCTGCTCCATACACACGCCCTGCACGCACACCCACTCCATGCATACCCACTCCACGCACACCCTCTCCACGCACACCCCCTCCACGCACACCCGCTCCACAAACACCTGCTCCATACACACCCCCTCCACACACACCCCGTCCACACACACCCCGTCCACGCACACCCTCTCCACACACACCCGCTCCATGCACACCCACTCCATGTACCCCCTCTTCACGCACAGCCCTGCCACGCATGCCCACTTCACGCACACCCTCTCCACGCACACCTGCCATGCACACCCTATCCACACACACCCACTCACACCTCACCGTGCACCTGTCATGTCCCACCAATCCACAGTCCACCCTCGCCCAGGGGCCAGCCCTGAGCCAGCTCCTCTGGGCTCTCCGTCCGTCCGTCGGACTCCTGGGCATGGCGGGACCCCCGACTCCTGTGTCCCCAGGCTCATGGCCTCCCGGCGGTACTACTTTGAACTACTGCACAAACAGGACGACCGCGGCTCGGACCACGTGGAAGTGGGCGTGAGTGAGGCGCCCGAGACCCTCTGTCTGCCCCCCTGAGGGGCTACGGAGTGGACCCTGCCCTGGCGAGCAGCACTGCTGGGGGCTGGGCAGGCTCCGCGGGGATGTGGGTCTCGGGCAGCTCAGGGAGAGGCCGTCACGGGAGCGCGGGGACCAGAGAGGCTAGGTGGCGCATCCGGTGCGGCCCGGTCTGACACGGCCGAGGCAGCACTGCCCGTCTGTCGTCCTTGGGAAGCTGAGGGCCCCGCGGCCAGATGGGCCTGTAGCGCTCCCTGGACGGCTAGGGCTGTCCCAGGGCCGAGCCTGCTGGGTTTGCGTCTTAACCCGTGGTCACTGAGGAGAGGCCAAGAGGCTCCTGAGCCAGGGAGGTGGGACTGGAAGAAATGGGGAGGGGCCACAGGGCGGGACAGGCCTGAGCCCTGGGGGGGGGGGGGCGGTTGTCTGGAGGGCCGTGCTGGGCCACTGTACTCGCTGCTGAGTGGGGTCGCCCTAGTGCCACTTGGTGGAGGGTCCTGGCTGGAGACCGTGGGCACCGAGAGGGTGGCCAGGAGGGTCCCGGGTGAGCAGGGGACAGAAGGTGGTGTGAGTTGGCCCCCCAGAGCCCAGTCTGAGGGGGTGGGAGGGGTGGTATGTCGGGAAGATTGGGTGGTAGCCAGAGTGAGGCAAGGGCACCTGGGAGGGCCAGACTGGAGCAGATGAGGGCAGAAGCCAGAACCTGCTCTGGAAGTCAGGAGGGCTGGATGGGGCTTGGGGACCCCAGCATTCTGGTCACCCCTCAACTTCCCCGCTACCCCTACTCGAGGCCCCAGGGACTTTGCCACCCACCCGCCAAGCTTTCTGATTCCTCCAGAGGGTTGGCCACAGGGGACCCCCGCCCTAGGTCAGGGCCGACCGCTCCCTGGCCGGGGGAGCTGCCCCAGCCTGCCCTGACCCTGCCGCCCTCTCTGCCCCCAGTGGCGAGCCTTCCTGCCCGGCCTGAAGTTCGAGGTCATTGGCTCTGCTCACCTGTCCCTGTACACAGGTGCCTGGGGGGGGCTTGGGGCTGGGCTCTGGGGAGGGGCCTCTCGGCGCCCCCGGCCACCCACGCCTATGTGCCCTAGACGAGGCGGCCCTGAAGATGGACCAGGTGGCCCACGTGCCCCAGTCTCCGGCCAGTCACGCGGGGGCGCGTCCGCCGCCGGGGGAGTCCGGCGCCGACATGCTGCGGCCAGACCCGCGGGACACCTTCTTCCTCAGTGAGCGGCGGGAGGGGGGCGGGGGGCGGGGACCGGGCGCGGGGGGGCGCGGGGGGCGGGGGGCGCCCCTGACCACCGCTCCCGCAGCGCCGCGGCTGGAGCCGTCGAGCCTGGAGGACGTGCTGCCCCCCTGCGCCTACGCGCCCACCTACGTGGTCAAGGACTTTCCCATCGCGAGATACCAGGGGCTGCAGTTTGTAAGCGCCCCGCCCGCCCGCCCGCACCCCCAGACCCGCGCCCGCGCGCCCGCGCTGAGCCCTGTGCCCGCCCCAGGTGTACCTGCCCTTCGTGTACCCCAACGACCGCACGCGCCTCACGCACATGGAGACCGACAACAAGTGCTTCTACCGCGAGTCGCCCCTGTACCTGGAAAGGTGGGCCGGGGGGCGGGGGGCGGGGCCTCCGCGGGCCGGCGCTGAGGCTCCCCGCCCCCCAGGTTTGGCTTCTATAAATACATGAAGACCGACCGGCCCGAGGGGGCCGAGGGGCCCGAGGAGGAGGAGGTGCAGCGCCGAGCTTTCCTCTTCCTCAACCCGGACGGTGAGCGCGCGCCCCGCCCCCCCGCCCCCCCCCGCCCCCCGTCCCTGTGAGCGGGGCCCCCAACCCGCCCTTGCTGGACGCAGACCTCCTGGACGACGAGGACGAGGACGAGGGCGAGGGCGAGCTGCTGGACAGTCCGGAGCCCACGGGGGCACCCCCGCCGCAGAGCGGCCACCTCGTCCCCGGCCCGGCGGCCCCCACGGAGGCCGAGGCCGGGGCCTCCCCCACGGCACCCACGCCCCCCAGCCCCCCGGACCAGCGGGCCCCCCGGCGCGCCCGGGCGCTGAGCTGGGCCGCGCGCCCCCGGCCCCTCCTCCTGGGCCGCGCCCCGCCCCCGCGCCCCGCCCCGGAGCAGCCGCCCCCCAAGGTGTACGTGACGCGCGTGCGGCCGGGACTGCGGGCGCCCCCGCGAGCCCTGGCGCCGCTCGGCCCCCGCGGCCCGCCCTGGCCGCCCTTCCCGGGCCTCTTCCTGCGCCCCCGACCGCTGCCCCGGGTGCCGCTGCGGGCGCCCCCGCGCCCGGCCGCGTCGCGAGGCCGCAGGACCGGCGGCCCCCGGGCCACAGCGCCGAGGCCCCCGACCCGGCCGCGGGCCACGCCGGGACTCGAGGCGCCCACGGCGGACTTGGACTCGTCCGAGGCGCGGCCCGTGACCTCCTTCCTGAGCTTGTCCCAGGTGTCCCGGCCGCAGCCGCCCGGGGCGGGGGCGGGGGGCGCGGAGGGGGCCGCGGACGACGAGGGCACCCCGGGCGAGGCCGCGTCGGAGGACAGCGCGGAGGCGGCCGGCCCGGCGCTGGGCCGCTGGCGGGAGGACGCCATCGACTGGCAGCGGACCTTCAGCGTGGGCGCCCTGGACTTCGAGCTGCTGCGCTCCGACTGGAACGACCTGCGCTGCAACGTGTCGGGCAACCTGCAGCTGCCCGAGGCCGAGGCGGTGGACGTGGTGGCGCAGTACATGGAGCGGCTGCACGCGCGCCACCGCGGGTACGCCCTGCCCAGGGCGCGCGGCCGCCTCCCCCAGGAGCGGAGGGGCCGGGCTGGTCCACCCAGGGCCCCTGCCCAGTGCTGGGGCTCCCCAGACCCCAGGGCCGACTCCCAGTCCTGCCCCTCCCCATCTTGGGCCTGAACCGGCACGGGCCGGGTCAGCCTGGCCAGATGCCCCCCCCTGGGCCGGGCCTTCCAGGGCCACGCTGACCTTGGTCTCCCTAGACCCAGGAGCCAGTTGTGTTTCCACCCCACGTGGACGGGACAATGGGGGGGCACGAAGGGGGCACAGTCTGTGCAGACAGCCCCCGACAAGGTGTTGGTGGGAGGCAGGTGATGGGCGGGGTGGGGGTCTGTGACCTTTACAGCCAGGCCCGGGACACTGGGGCAGACTCAGCAGAAGGGGGGCCGGCCTGTCTGGGTTGAAGGTGGGTCACTTAAGAGTGTAGGCAAAGCCCGAGGGGGCATGAGGGGCAGGCTTGGTCAGGTGGCGGTGAGGGGGCCCAAAGGAGCCCCCCCACCTCCAACGCATGGACGGTGGGCTGCCCAGCAGCGTCAGCCAGAGAGCCAATGGACACCCAAAGCTTGGGGGGCGGCCCTTGACCTGGAGAGCATGGTGGGCAGGGCGTGCCCTGTTTCCGAAATGAGGAGAAGCCTGTGCCAGAGGGCACAGTGGGGGAGAGGAGTGGGGTGCTTGACAGGGCTGGGAAGGGGATGCAGGGCTAGGAGGGGCTTCCAGCCTTGGGATTCAGCCCCTGGACTGAGGGGTGCCAGCAAGGCAAAAAGGAGACCTCTCAGACGACCAGATGAGCTACCCAGGGCCCTGGAGAGGAGGGGCTGGGACCCCCGAGACAAAGACCCCTGGGAAGAGGACGCTAGCTAAGCTAGTCCAGTAGTCCCAGGCCAGACACGGCCTGCCCCCCCTGGACTGTACCTAGGACGTTGGACCCTGCCGCGGGCAGCCAGGAGGGGGGGTCCCCACGCTAGTCAGATGTGACTGGGCAGGAGTGGCCCCCCCAAGGAAGGGGTCTGGACTCAGGAGGGTGCTGCAGAGGGTGGGGGCAGCCACCGGGAAGGGCCTGAGGGGTGAGGAGGCAGCAGCTCCGCGGGGTGCTGGGACGCCCCACTTGGCTGAGTCCAGAGCCCTCCTTTCGGGCTGGCGGCTGCCTGCGGGGCGAATGCGGGCAGCGGCTAAAAGCCCCAGGGACTGACCGGCCCCGCCTTCCAGGCGCTTCTCCCTCCTGCGCATCGTGAACGTGGAGAAGCGCCGCGACTCGGCGCGCGGGAGCCGCTTCCTGCTGGAGCTGGAGCTGCAGGAGCGCGGGGGCGGCCGCCGGCGCCTGTCCGAGTACGTCTTCCTGCGCCTGCCCGGGGCGCGCGCGGGGGACGCGGACGGCGACGCCGCGAGCCCCGAGCCAGGCCCCGCCGCCTCGCCGCGCCCCGACGGCCGCCCGGAGCTCTGCCGGCCGCTGCGCCTGGCCTGGCGCCAGGACGTGATGGTGCACTTCATCGTGCCAGGTGCGGCGCGGGGGGCCGGCGGGGGGGCGGGTGGGCCTCTGGGCGCCGGGCTCAGCCGCCCACCCTCCTCCAGTGAAGAACCAGGCGCGCTGGGTGGCCCAGTTCCTGGCCGACATGGCCGCGCTGCACGCGCGCACCGGGGACTCGCGCTTCAGCGTCACCCTCGTGGACTTCGAAAGCGAGGACATGGACGTGCAGCAGGCCCTGCGCTCGGCGCGGCTGCCCCGGTAACTGCGCCCCCCCAGCCGCCGGGGAAAGCGCCCCTGTGCTCCTCGCGAGGGGGTTCCCGGTCGCCCCCAGGCGTCCTGCTCGCTGACCCCTCCCCCCAGGTACCAGTACCTGCGGCGAAGCGGGAACTTCGAGCGCTCGGCGGGGCTGCAGGCGGGCGTGGACGCGGTGCAGGTGCGCGGGCGCGTGCGGGGCGGGCGCGGGGGTGGCCCGGGGAGCGGGGCTCACGCCGCACGCGCCTCCAGGACGCCAGCAGCATCGTTTTCCTTTGCGACCTGCATATCCACTTTCCCCCCAACATCCTGGACGGCATCCGCAAGCACTGTGTGGAGGGCAAGCTGGCCTTCGCGCCGGTGGTCATGCGCCTGGGCTGCGGGAGCTCGCCCGAGGACCCGCACGGTAATGCCCCGGCCCCAGGAGCTCCGGGTCCGCCCACGCCCGCGGGAAATCTGGGGCCCGGGGCCATGCCCGCTCCCGGGAGCCGCCCCCAGCACTGCGGCCAGGTGGGGAGCCCCGGGTGTGGCCCGGGATGGAGGGGACCCCGTGCCAGGCCCCTGGGGTCGGGGGTCGCCTGCGGGGTCGGGGTCACGGGGCCGGCTCTTCCCCAGGGTACTGGGAGGTGAACGGCTTCGGCCTTTTTGGCATCTACAAGTCCGACTTCGACCGCGTGGGCGGGATGAACACCGAGGAGTTCCGGGACCAGTGGGGCGGCGAGGACTGGGAGCTCCTGGACAGGTGGGGCGCCGCGGGCCCCCCTCGCGCAGCCCCTGCACCCCGGGGCCCAGCACCGGGCGGACTTGCCCCGCTCCCACCGGGCCCTCCCCGCCCCCGCCCCCGCCCCCCAGCCAGCTCGCACCCCGCTCGCCCTGCGTCCTCACCGCCCTGCCCCGTCCTCACCGCCCCCCCAGTCCTCACTGTCCCCCCGCCCCGTCCTCACGCCCCCCCAGCCAGCACGGCCCCCTCGCCCCCTCGCCCCCAGGGTCCTGCAGGCGGGACTGGAGGTGGAGCGGCTCCGCCTGCGCAACTTCTTCCACCACTTCCACTCCAAGCGCGGGATGTGGGCCGCCCGCAGCCGCCGGGGCCCGCGCGGCCAGCCCTGAGGACGCGGGGCCCGCGCGGGCGGCCTGGGCCGGACCGGGCGCCGGGCCGCGCCGGCCCATCTGCGATGATTTCTGTGAAATTTACGGTAGCGATGACGTTGTTTTCAGGATTTCCGAGCGTTTCGTCTGTTCTGTTTTTTATTCAGAATGAAATGAAATATTTTTTTTAGTTCTGACTGGTCCTGTGCGCCTGCTTCCTTGGGAGGACAGAGCTGGCCTGGGGGTGGGGCCCCTGAGGTCCCAGAGACCAGCGCAGCGGCCAGCAGAGAGCCTCCCCCTCCCCTCCCCCATCCCCTCCCCTCCCCTTCCTGGGCCTGGCAGACCCAAGGGCGGGCGTTCGCAGGGGTCAGCAGGGACAGCCCACGGCCTCCCTTCCCTTGGGCTCTTGGGGCTGAGCTGCCCGCCAGGCGCTGGGCTCTGCTCCATGGGTGGCTGCGGGGCAGGGCCCTCAGCTAGAGGGGCCTGGCTGTGGGCCCAGAACCAGGGCTGCCCTCAGAGGACCCACCTGAGCTTGAGGGGCCGGACCATGTCCCGGCAGTTCTGGGGTTTCCCGGAGCTGTGCTTCAGGACCATCTGCCTGTCTGGGAGGCTCTGGCGGTGCCTGCTCCTTGGCTTCTGGCTCCTTTCCCTGTGGCCGGGCCAGCATCCCGCCTCCCTCACCTCTGCTTCCATGTCACCCCGCCCAGCTCTCGCCCTGCCCCTGCGCCAGGCCCACCCGGGGCCCAGGCGTCTCAGCAGCCGTTCACCTGGTCCCCCCTGTGTGTCGGCGCCAGGCGCAGCCAGTCCCAGCACCCTGCAGGGTCCCCATGACCCTTGGGGAGGAGGCCCATCTCGGGCGACTCCACTCTGGTGGCCCCTGACTGGGTGCAGGGCAGCAGCAGGGCCGGGTGGGCACCAGCCTGGCCCCAGGAGGTCCCAGAGGGGATGGGGAGGGCACAGGTGACCAGGATACGGGCCGCAGGGAGGGACACTGCCCGCCCGCACGTGCCCACAGAGGCCGCCAGGGCCCAGCCACACTGCCCACTCCTTCCTCGGTGTCCAGTTTCGAAGGATTGTCTCTGCTCAGAAAAGGCTCACACTGGGGTCAGGAAGGGGGCTGGCGGGTGCACGGCAGGAAACGCCTCTGGGAGCTGCCGCCCAGCGAAGGCTCCCGTAACCTGCTGACCTGCGTGAGGTGCTGGCCACTGTGCCTGGCACTGAGGGACGTCTCAGCCAAGAGACAAGGCTCCAGGGCTTGGGCCTGGCCTGCGGGAGCAGCTGGCAGAGAGCTGCTGGCAGCGGCTGCAGAGAAAACCAACGCCCTGAGGAGAGCGGCCCTCGGTCAGGGTAGCCCGGAGGCAGGCCTGGGAGGGCAGCGCCCTGCAAAGCCTGAGTGGAGATGGGGCTGGGGGCAGACCCCCACCCTCCTGCCCAGCACAGTCGGGGCCCAGCAGTGAGACGCAGCAAGGAAGCCAGAGATGCCGGCTGGGAAGGAGAGTGTGGCCCAGCTTGCAGGGGCAAGACCATCCGCGCAGGGAACCCAGAGGAATCACCAGAAACACCCCCGGTGCTGATCAGCGCTTGGAGCAGAGCCTCGGGCCCAGGGCCACTGGGGAGGGGCCGCTCAGGAGACCCCACGATTCCCCACGCGAGGCCACAAACAGCGGAGTTTGAAATATTTCTAACGCGTTGACATTGGCCCATCGGAAGTGCGATCTTAGGTATACGTCTAGGAAAACACGGGCACGGTCTCCATGAGGAAACCACAAAACTGATGGATGGCTTCAGGAAAATTAGCACCCAAAAGAGCCTAAATCAATGGGGGGCACCAAGCCAGTGGGCAGGGAGACTGGACACCAAGATGCCCACTTTCTCGATGGAATCTGTGTGCTCAGCCGTCCCAACCCCACCTGGAACTGCCTCGACCCCCAGAGCAGCCAACGCGCCACCCAGCAACCCCAGAGACGTCCCAGCTGGGGGGGGCCTGTGGCTGGCGCGAGGACTGGCGGCTCCACGGGACAGACCAGTTGCTCCGGACAGATGGAAACACAGGCTGCGAGTCCTGGGCAAAAGCACAAGAGCAGAGCTGGGCAGACGGGACATCTATAGCCAGCTCGGAGCAGGTCAGACCTGGATGTAAAATGTGAAACTAAGTCCCCGAAGGTGGCAGGAGAAACCCAAGGTAAACTTGGGTATAGCTGGGCCTCCCTGGTGGCGCAGGCGGTTGAGCACAGCGCTGGGAAGCTGTCTGCAGCCTCTGCAGTGCCGGTTTGATCCCGGCCGGCCGCGGAGATACCCACATGGTGTGACAGGCCTCTCCTGTCTCGCCCGCTGCTCCCCTCAGCAGTGTATTTCGTCAGTCTGCCTGTTCTGTTCCCCGCTCTCTGGTGAATCCCTCTTACCCTCCTGCATGTCTGGCCCGTACCCCGGTTCTTGTATAAAAATAAATAAATCTTTCGGGCCTACCTGTTGGCGCAGGCGGTTGAGCGCAGCTGTCTGCGGCCTCTGCAGTGCCGGTTCGATCCCCGCCGGTCTTGGAGCAACCCACATGGCGAGCAGACCTCTCCTGTCTCGCCCGCTGCTCCCCTCAGCAGTGTATTTCATCAGTCTGCCTGTTCTGTTCCCCGCTCTGTCTCTGGTGGATCCTCTCATCTTCCTGTGCATCTGGCCTATATACCCTGGCTCTTGTATAAATAAAATAAATCTTAAAAAATAATAATAATAAATAAATAAATCTTTAAAAAAAACTAGGGTATAGCAATGACTCCTTTTTAAAGTTTTATTTTATTTATTTATTCACACAAGAGCTGGGGTGCAGGCCGGAGGTGTGGGGTGAGGGGACTCCCCAAATACAGAGTGGGGAGCAGAACAGGTGGATCCACTGAAACACACTGCTGAGGGGAGAAGCAGGGAGATGGGAGAGGTCAGCTGTGCCCTGCGGGTCACTCCCTGGCCACCCAGGGACCGAACTCATGCTGCAGGGGCTGCAGACAGCTTCACTTGCGCCCTCAGCGAGGCCCTGTAACAATGACTTTTTAACACAATAACAAAGGCATGATCTGTGAAATAATAAATCGACAAGATGAACCACACCAAAATTAAAAACATCCTCTCTGGAAGACAGTATCAAGAAGGAGATGATGTGTCACAGACTGGGAGGAAATATTCTCAAACGACAATCTGATAAAGGACTATTGCCCAAAAATATGTAAATGCCTTTTAAAACACAACAACTGGAAAACAACCTAGCTGAAAAATGGGCCACAGACCTTAATAGACACCTCAAAGACTTACAGGCAGCCAGTAGGCGTAAGAAAAACAGCTACGTCATCAGGGAAATGCAAATTAAAATCACAACCAGATACTCCACATGCTCATTAGACGACCCAGATCCGGCGCTGACCCCGTAGGGCCTGCTCCTGGGGAGGGAGGATGGTGCAGCCTCTGGGGGCCCCGGTCGGTGGTTCTCATAAAGCTAGGCACGTTCTTACCACTTACTTCAGCGCAGCGCCCTCGTGTGCCCAAGGAGCTGGAGGCTTCCGTGCACACATCCAGCCCGTGGCGTCTCCAGCAGCTCCAGCAGCCAGGACAAGCCTCGGAAGCACTCATGAAGCCCGCCGGTTGGGGAGTGGACACAGCGGGCCCCCAGACGTGGTCTGCTATTCAGGGCTACAAAAGCGAGCGATCGGACAGTGAGAAGATGTGGAGGGGCCTCCCTGGTGGCACAGGGGTTAAGTCTCAGCACTATCAGGCTGTCACCACTGCAGCCCGAGTCCGATCCCGGCCAGGGAGTGGCCCACAGGGCACAGCTGCTGTCTCCCCACTGCCCCCTCAGCTGTGTGTTTCAGTGGATCCGCTTGTTTTGCGCCCCACTATCTCTGGTGGGTCCTTACCCCACACCTCTGGCCTGCACCCCAGCTTTTATATGCATAAATAAATAAATCTTAACAGAAAAAGATGTGAGGCGTTCTCAGTGCCTACTACAGGTGCAAGAAGTTGGTCTGAGAACGCCACACGCTGATGAGCCCAATTCTCTGGGATTCTAGAAAATACAAAGCTGTGGGGCCAGAGGAGGCGGGCGAGCGCGCAGAACAAAGAGAACTGTGACCCCGAGTGGGGGACGCAGCAAGCCAGGAATACACACCGCCACGACCAAACCTTAGCCTGCGCGTGGCCGTGGGTGACGAGGTGTCAGCAGAGGGTGACCGCAGCTGCTGCAGGCTGGTGGAAGGTGTCGGTGACAAGGGAGGATGAGCGTGGGGGCGGGCAGGGAAACAGGAGAAATCTCTGTGCTTCCTCCTGGCCAAGCTGCGAATCAAAAGCTGTCCTTGAAAAACACGGTCTTTAAAAGCGAATGACAGAAGTCCCCGTTTATTTTCTGGGTGTTGTGATGTGTATTTCCGAGTTAAAAAAAACATTAAATGAATCATGGAAACAAAGGAAATCTAAATGATCTGACGCTAGGGAGGAGGGGTAAGAGAAAAATAAAACCTCTACAGAAACCAAAGTCATTTTAGGGACTTAAAGAAACAAGAACAACTATTGCTGAAAACTCAGTCAGAAACACAAAAATCAGGCTGGAGAAAAGCCGGTGAAGAGAAACGGAAAGTGACGCCGCTAAAGCAGCTCCCCGGGAGACGCAGCCGCGGACACAGAGAAGGAGCCGACGGGGAAGACGTGACAGAAAATACGCAAGAGACGCAGCAGAAGAAAACGTGTCTGAACTGGCACCGGAGACTGGGGCAACAGAGTCCCAGGGCGGCGGGGGCCTCCGTGGGGCGAGGGCGCAGGGCCGGGACTCGCCTGCCCCACTCTGTCGCGCCCCCCGTGGGTGGGGGTCCGCGAGACACCTGCCGACCGGAGGAAGGAGCCGCCCCGGCCGGCTCCGGCGCTGACATCCCAGCACAGCCCCAACAGCCAAGAGCGGCCGCCCGACGAGACACGGCAGCGAGGACGGGGCGGAGCGGAGCACGGGGCAAGACTCGAGCTCTTCCCGGACCCCGGAGAAAGTTGCCCCAGGAAGCAGCCCAGCCCTGGCTGGGGGCCCTTGGGGGGTCTGCAAAAACGTCTTCCCACCAGCCAGCGGGGCCTCCCAGGCTGCACCCGAGCTGCCGTCCGTGGGGTCCCTGCGGGCTAAGGACAGAGTGAGGGCATCCAGCCCCGGTGCTCGGGCCACCCCGCAACACACCCGGCATCTTCGTTTAGCCGGGACCCAGCACTGGAGTCCGGCCCAGGGCACTGGCTGGCCCCTGCAGGCGTGGGCACTAGCGGCAGAGGGACGGCGGCCACTCCTCACCCTCCCTCCTGCCACCAGCCGCCCTGCCCCCCGGTCTCTGCTCCCTCGAGTCTCTCTCCTGGAGACGGTAAGGGCGGCCCTTCCCAGCACGCCCCCCAGGGCTCCCACTGCGGCCCGCCGTCTCCTGGCGGCTCCGCTCGCCCACCCACTCCCGCACGGGACCCTCAAGCAAAGCCTCTTCCTGGAACCTCCTCTGCTGGGAAGGGGGGCGCCCACGGGGCTCTCGGGGCTCAGCAGACTCCATCCTCTCAGGCAGCAAGGCCGGAAGGCCTCAGCTCACGGCGGGGCCCAGACCCAGGAGGGGTCCCGAGAAGTGTCAGCACCCCCAGGGAGGGGCTGTGCGGTGGGAGCTGCCCCCCTTCTCCACCCAAAGGCGCCGGCCTGGCACGGCCCAGCCGGCTCGCGGGGGAGGCGGGCGCTGGGCGGGACTGGGCCCGAGGCCCAAGCGGGCCGTGGAGGCTGGGCGAGCGTGGGTGCAGCCGCCAGCGTCTGACGGATCTGCCTGCGGGCAGTGCCCCCGGGCTGCGGAGGGCGCTGGGGCCTCCCAGGGCAGCCATGTTGGCCCGGGACCTACCTGGAGTCCCGCTTCCGGCCTGAGCGCTGCCCTGAGCCTGGTCCAACGCCTCCGGCTCCCCCGCCCGGTCCCTGGCACCGTCAGGGCCCCCACGTGAGCACGGCCACTCAGGCAGCGGCAGGGCCCCCCCAACCCCTGCCAGCACCCCCCACTGGCCCTCCGCACCCCATCCCGTGCCTCCTTTAGAGACTCGTGGTAGTAGCCGGGCCCTCGGGGCTCCTTCCTGAGCAGACTCTGTGGCCCCCGCGCCTCACTCACCTGGGGGATCTGCGCCCCACCCACCCAGACCCCGGGCCAGCCACCTCCTCCAGGAAGCCCCCCGTGAAGCTCAGGCTGCCGAGTCCTCCCGGTGCCCCCCAACACGCTGGTGCCGGGGCCAGAGGGCAGTGGCAGTGAGGAGGCACAACCCCAGGCCTCGAGGGCGCTGAGCCCGGGAGGCTGCTGGGCGCCGCCGCCCTCCCTGTCCTGAGAGGGGTCACCCCACGGAGCCGGCCTGGGGCCCTGCCAGGCTGTTGACAAGAGGCCCAGGACACTCCCGCCCACCGCCCCTGCCCGTCGCCCTCCAGGCCACCGAGCCCTGTCCCCACTGGCTCCTGCCTCCAGCGGACACGCTCTGGCCAGGCTGCCCCTCTTGGGCCCGGCCCACCGGCCGGGCCGCTGTGCCCGGGGCCGGGGGCGGTGCAGGGCGGGCTGGGCCTTGCCAGGCGTGCGCCTCGAGGCCGCTCAGTGCCGCACAAACTTGTCTCCCAGGATTTTTCCACACAGAACGCGTCTCCCAGGGAAGCAGCCGGTCTGATGGGCTGGGCCTGCGCCTCCCCACCCCGCCCCGCGGCGCCCCCAGTCCCGTCCCAGCCAGAGGCCGCCCTGCGGAAGCACGGGCCCGGATGGAGCCCAGGACCCCTGCACCCTCGGCGGCCTCTGCGAAGAGCCACAGGGCCGGCAGCATGCAGACCACGAGCCTGGTAGGCCCCCCGCGACCCCCAGCCTCTGCCGCTATTTCTGGAGACTCGCCCTCCCCCCGCTGCCAGACCTCGGCTCTCTCTGGCCTGCCCAGCGTGGGGCGCACACTTAGGGTGGCCTCCGAGCCCCACTTTTCACCCCAGGCCTCTGCCAAGCAGCCCCATCCCCGTCTGGGCTCGCATGACCCCCCAGGACTGAGCAGATGGAGGCAGATGTCCGGGCACGGGCGGGGTGGGGGGTAAGGGTCTCCCGTGGGAAAGGGAGGAGGCTGTGAGGGGCCGGCTCAGCCCCATCCCTCCGGCCCTCCTTGGCTTGCCCCCCCATCCTCCAGGGCCTGTGCCGGCTACAGCCCCCCGGGGGCCTGACAGTGGGGTGAATCCCCAGGCCTGGGTCCCCTCCCGGTCCAACCGTTCTTGGGCCCCACTTTCCCGACTCCGGGGTTCCCACAGCACACCCCAGCTCCTGCCCCCGGCCCGGGCAGGGGGGCCCCTCTGAGTCAGGCCCCTGGGGCGGCCCCGCCTGAGCTGAGCCCTGACTCACGTGTTGGGACAGCCTCCCACCCCAAGCCCGGGGCAGGAGCCAGTGAGGGGTGCAGAGAGGGCCAAAATGCCTTTGGGGCGCAGTAGAGGGGCTGGGGTGACTTACGGGGTCTACAGGAGGGGTCTGGGGACCCTGGGCCCGGGGCTAGGCAGGCTACCACACACCTCTGGGCTCTGGGCTCCGAGACCAGGACGGGGCTCCAGGCCCAGCCCACCGGCCAGCCCCGCCCAGACGCCTTGTTTTCTCCCCCTGATGCCGGGGCACACCAGCCCTGGCGCTGGCCCACACGGCCTGCCCGCAGAACCCCGGCCTCCCTGCCCCTCCCCAAGGCTCAGGACCTGAGGGCCTGGCCAGCCCAGCCCAGCCCGCCCCACTGGGTCCTCAGCCTGGTGCAGAGCCCCTGCACCCCCACAGGCAGGCCCCCGCTGGAGGTGGAGCAGGCCGGGCCTGGGCAGGCCAGTTCTTCCGCACAAATTCCACCTTACGCAGGTGGCGGCCCCTCCCTCCCACCTGGCCCCAGTGTCCCCGCCCCCAGCTGAGCTCAGGGCTGGGCGGGCGTCTGTCTTCAGGCCAGCGCTGGGTGAGGCCAGCAGGGAGGGGACTGCGGGGACAGGGCCGTTGGGGACAAGACGGTGAAGACAGTTCAGGCTGGAGGCGCCGCCGTGGCCCAGGCCCGGCAGACCCAGCCCGGCCCGCCTGCCGCCATGCAGGACGGCAACTTCCTGCTGTCCGCCCTGCAGCCCGAGGCCGGCGTGTGCTCCCTGGCGCTGCCCTCAGACCTGCAGCTGGACCGTCGCGGCGCCGAGGGGCCAGAGGCCGAGCGGCTGCGGGCAGCCCGAGTCCAGGAGCAGGTCCGAGCCCGGCTCCAGCAGCTGGGCCAGCAGCCGCGGTACAATGGGGCGACTGAGCCCGAGGGGGTGGCCGAGATGGCCAGAGGTAAGCAGCCGCGGGCAGGGTGGGCGCCGGGCGGGGGCTGTGGTGGGCCGGCGGCCGGTGGGTGTGGTGGTGGAGGGCCAGAGGCCGCCGGGCCAGCTCCAGGTTCAGCTCCTGACTCACCAGGCCATACCCTGAGTCACTGCCCCGCCCCGCAGGCGTGGGAGAAGCCAGCCGGCCTCCTGCTCCCAGCAGGGACCCAAGTCCTCCATCCAGACAGCTGGGCCCACTGGCCCCTTCGCCCCGGTGCCCCACGGTGGGGGTGACGGGAGGGAGTCGATGGGCATGTGGGCTCGCCAGGCCAGGCTGTGGGCACATGGGGCGGCACTGTCGGGCCCTCCCAGCACAGGCCCGCACGTGGGCTCAGGGGCCCGGCACCCCAGACGGAAGCTGCCCCGCCCTCGGGGTGAGCAGGCCAAGGGGGAGGGTGGCTCCAGAGGCTGCACAGGAGCCACCTGCCCAGCTGGGCCAGGGTCTGGAGTGGGGGGGGGATTGCAGGGGGCACCAGTGACCCGGAGAGTTGGGGGTGGGGGCAGGGCCTCCCCATCAGATCCACCTGTAGGAAGCCAAGCCACCAGTGTGTGTGCACACGGGGTGTGTGCGGGTGTGCATTCCTGTGAGTGTGTGAGCATCACAAGTGTCTGTGTGCACGTGAGTGCACACATGTGTGCTCCACTGTGTGTGTGAATGTGTGTGAGTGCATTGTGTTAAGTGTGCGCTGTGGTCGTGTGTGTGTGTACAGGACTGTGCAGGCATTGTGTGTACACGTGTGAGCTGTCTGTGCGTGTACAAGGTTATGCTGGCATTGTGTGTATGTGTACTCGTGTGAGCTGTGTATTAGGTTGTGCTGGCATTGTGTGTAAACATGTGAGGTGTATGTATATGTGTACAAGGTTGTGTGTGAGTGTGTACACATGTGAGCTGTGGGTACGTGTACAGGGCTGTGCTGGCATTGAGTGTGAGTGTGTACACGTGTGAGCTGTGCAGAGCCATACCACCCAGTGCGTTGGGGCGCTGGCCCCAGAAACGCTGCCATTGCCCTGCCTGGCTGCGAGGGGGCCGTGGCAGACCGTCGGACCTCAGGGCTCTCGGGGCTGGACCCACCACCGCGGGCACAGGCCCTTCCCCAGGACTGGCCCTGGCTGGGACAAGAGGGTCAGCCAGGGAGCGCCGGCCTTCCCTCCCTGGACCTCGGCCTTGCTGGTGGCCAGGCCGGTGCCGGGGTCACCGGCCAAGGAAGGAGCAGGGAGGGGTTAATTACCACCTGGCCACCCTGACAATTAGGAGGCAGAGGATTATAATTTGGGGGTGGGGGCAAGGTCCCCGGGCGGGGGTGTGCCCCCTGGGCTGGCCTCACTAGCGTCAAAGGGTTAATAGCCCCTGCCCAGAAGCCTCATTAACCAGGGCGGGTCTGGGAGCCGCTGGGCGGGGCGCTGGGCTGGGGGAGGGGCCAGGCCTGGCCCTTCTCCGCACCCCAGTCCCTCCGCAGGCCCTCCTGCCAGGCTGCCGGGCATGCCGCCTTCCACCACGTTTTGGGAAGCCCCTGCAGGGACCCCAGCAGAGGCTGACCCCAGGACCCCGGTCCAAGAGGCGCTCTGGCATCACCAGGCGCCCCCACTGCCTTGTACCCCACTCTGAGCAATCCGGTCTCCAGCTCTTCCTGTGCCCCGTGTGTCGGGACCTACCGCCAGCCACGCCCTGTCCACCTGTCCCCCCAGTAGCCATCCTCCTTCCACCTCATGCTACCCGGCCCTTCACCCCCCAGTCAGTCTGTCCAGGCGGCTCCCTCCTTCCATCCCCTGTCCCCACTCGCCCGACTGTCCACTCGCCACGGAGTCGGGCTGGCACCCCGAAGGGGCCGGAGTGGCTCTGCCCAGTGGGACAGGGAATGCCCTGCAGGGGGACTGGTCCACGTGGCCCACGCGGCCGCAGGAGCAGGCGCCCCGGGCTGGACCGCAGGCCGCCGGCCAGCCTCCCACTGTCCATGTCCCCAGGCGCGTCCCGCGGCTACTACCATACCCTGCAGACCGGCTTCAGCTCCCGCTCCCAGGGCCTGAGCGCGGAAGGCGGCTCGGTGAGTGGAGCCCGGCGGGCCCTGCGGTTTTGCGGGGGGCTCGGGGAGTCGGGGCGCCCCCTCACCGCCCTTCCCGCCCGCCCCACAGAGCTTCCGGCCCATCGCCAAGCCCGCCTACAGCCCGGCCTCCTGGTCCTCCCGCTCGGCCGTGGACCTGAGCTCCAGTCGGAGGCTGAGCTCCGCCCACAACGGGGGCAGCGCCTTCGGGGCGGTGGGGTACGGGGCAGCCCAGCAGGGGCCCCCCATGCCCGGCCGGCCCATGTCCTTTCACGAGCGTGGCGGGGCTGGGGGCCGCGCGGACTACGACGCCCTGTCCCTGCGCTCCCTGCGGCTGGGGCCTGCGGGCGGGGACGACCGCTACAGCGTGGTGTCCGAACAGCTGGAGCCGGCGGCCCCCGCCAGCTATAGGGCGTTTGCCTACGAGCGCCAGGCCAGCTCCAGCTCCAGCCGGGCAGGGGGGCTGGACTGGCCCGAGTCTTCTGAAGGGCCTCCCAGCCGGACCATCCGTGCCCCGGCCATGCGGACACTGCAGCGATTCCAGAGCAGCCACCGCAGCCGCGGGGGTGTAGGGGTGGGCCCGGGCGGGGGCCTGGAGCCCATCGCCCGGGCGCCCTCCGTCCGCAGCCTCAGCCTCAGCCTGGCCGACTCGGGCCACCTGCCGGACGTGCGTGGGCTGGACAGCTACGGCGGCCATCGTACTCTGCAGAGGCTCAGCTCAGGGTGAGCGGGGCCCGGCTCTGGAGGAGATCCTGCCCTGGCCCCGCCCCCCCATGACCCCTGACCTCTGGCCCCTGGCTCTGCAGCTTTGACGACATTGACCTGCCCTCCGCCGTCAAGTACCTCATGGCCTCGGACCCCAACCTGCAGGTGCTGGGCGCAGCGTACATCCAGCACAAGTGCTACAGCGATGCCGCAGCCAAAAAGCAGGTGACTGCCCCGTGCCCCGCCCACCCTGTGTGCCCTGCTGTCCACAGCCCCCAGCACGGGGGCCAGAGAGGTGACTTGCATCTATTGGCATCTCCCTGCTCTCATTTATACACACCTCCATACCTGCGCACTCCTGCACACACCTGCACATCCCAGCATAGTGTGCACACCTGTGCACGTCTGCACACAACTGTACATGCCTGCGTGCACCTCCATATCTGTGCACACCTGCACACACCTCCACACCTGCACACACCTCCACCTGCATCCATCTGTCTCACCACAGCGTGTGGCGGCGGCATGAAAATGCATTACCCACGTCCAGAACAGTGAGGAGCCCAGAGGGAGGCACCAAGAAAGTGCAGCCCAGCTCCAGGGGCGACCTCGCTCTCATTTAGAATCAGAAAATAAAAGGAGCAAAGACGCAAGCGGGCAACGGGGAGCGCACACGGGCACGGGGCGTGCGTGTCCAGCTGCTCCAGCTGAGGCTGGGAACAAGGAGGAGGCCGAGGTCGGTCTCGGTGCTCAGGCCGCTCCGGCCCTAACAGCCGCGGCTGTTTCTGCACGTGCTGCTCGCGGCAGGCGCGGACGCCCCCGCCCGGGCTCTCGCCCCGGGAGGCGCCCATCGGCGCCCCTGCTCCCGCACCGAGGGGCGCAGAACAACGCAGGGGCGGCCAAGGGGCGGCCAGGCAGAGGCCGCGAGTCGCGGCGCTGAGTCAGGCCAGCTCCGCCCGCACCCGCGCGCCTGCGGCACGCGCCCCCCGGCCCGCCCCCGGGCGCCCCGGTGCCAGCTGCCGCCCGGTCCCCGCAGGCCCGCAGCCTCCAGGCGGTGCCCCGGCTGGTGAGGCTCTTCAACCACGCCAACCAGGAGGTGCAGCGCCACGCCACGGGCGCCATGCGCAACCTCATCTACGACAACGCCGACAACAAGCTGGCGCTCGTGGAGGAGAACGGCATCTTCGAGCTGCTGCGGACGCTGCGCGAGCAGGACGACGAGCTGCGCAAGAACGTGACAGGTGGCCCGGCCGGCCCCGCCCCGACGGCCCCGCCCCGCCCCGACGGCCCCGCCCGTGGGCCCCGCCCCGACGGCCCCGCCCATGGGCCCCGCCCCCGACTGCCGCGCCCCGACGGCCCCGCCCCGCCCCGACGGCCCCGCCCGTGGGCCCCGCCCCCGACGGCCGCGCCCGTCGGCCCCACCCCGCCCCGACGGCCCCGCCCGTGCGCCCCGCCCCCGACGGCCGCGCCCCGACGGCCCCACCCCGCCCCGATGGCCCCGCCCCGACGGCCCCGCCCGCAGGCCCCAACCCGCCCCGCACCGATGGCCCCTACGGCCCCGCCCCAGGGCCCCCCTCCGACCCCCGGACCCGGCCCTGCGCCAGCCCCGCTGCCCGCCGTCCCTGTCCCCAGCCCCCCGTTCGTGCCCCCAACTTGTCCCGTCGCCTTCCTTGGCACCCACGGCGGCTCCTGCGGCCCTGGCGAGGGGTCAGCCCGGCCGCGCGTCCCCCCGCGCCGCTCCCCGGAGAGCCGAGGGCGCGCTGACCGCCCCCGCCCGCGCGCAGGCATCCTGTGGAACCTGTCCTCCAGCGACCACCTGAAGGACCGCCTGGCGCGGGACACGCTGGAGCAGCTCACGGACCTGGTGCTCAGCCCGCTGTCGGGCGCGGGGGGCCGCCGCTGCAGCAGCAGAACGCCTCGGAGGCCGAGATCTTCTACAACGCCACGGGCTTCCTGCGGTGCGCGGGCGGGGCCCAGGGGGCCGGCCGGGGCGGGGGGTGCGGGGGCGCGGCGGGGGCCGGCGGCCGCGGAGACGCCCCGGTGGTCCCAGGCCCTGGCGGGCACGGGCAGGCCCGGGGCAGGGCGCGCGGGCGCAGCGGGCGGGCGCGGGGCTCAGGCCCCGGGCCGGGTCCCCGCTCGGGGGCTCTGCCGGCCGTGGGGGTGTCTGATGGGCCCCGCCCGCAGGAACCTCAGCTCGGCCTCCCAGGCCACTCGCCAGAAGATGCGCGAGTGCCACGGGCTGGTGGACGCCCTGGTCACCTACATCAACCACGCGCTGGACGTGGGCAAGTGCGAGGACAAGGTGAGGCCGGCGGCCCGGGGGCGGGGGGCGGGGGCGCCCCGGCTCTGACCCCCCGCCCCGCAGAGCGTGGAGAACGCCGTGTGCGTGCTGAGGAACCTGTCCTACCGCCTGTACGACGAGATGCCCCCGTCCGCCCTGCAGCGCCTGGAGGGCCGCGGCCGCCGCGACCTGGCGGGGGCGCCGCCCGGGAGGTGGTCGGCTGCTTCACCCCGCAGAGCCGGCGGCTCCGGGAGGTGCGCGGGGCGGGGGGGCGGGGGGCGCGTGGGGCCCCGCCGGCCACCGACCCCGCGGACCCCGCCCTGGGCCCCGCCGGCCTCCCCGGGTCCCCTCGGTCCCCCTCTGGCCGCTCCCACCCGCCTCCGGTGCCCGCCGGGCCGCTGACCCTCGCACCCCGCACCCAGCTGCCCCTCACGGCCGACGCGCTGACCTTCGCCGAGGTGTCCAAGGACCCCAAGGGCCTCGAGTGGCTCTGGAGCCCCCAGATCGTGGGGCTGTACAACCGCCTGCTGCAGCGCTGCGAGCTGAACCGGCACACGACGGAGGCGGCCGCCGGGGCGCTGCAGAACGTGACGGCGGGAGACCGCAGGGTGAGCGGGGCGCGGGGCGCGGGGTCCCCCCGGGGGGCGGGGCGGGGCGGGCGGGGGCTGGAGGCCCGTGCTGGGCGGGGCGGGGCCTCGCGTGGGGCCGTGGGGGGCCGGGCATCCCAGCCCGGGGCTCCGGCGTGGGCTGTCTCGAGGGGCAGCTGGGCTGACGGGTGAAGGAGCCGGGACAGCGTCAGGGCTGAGGCTCTGCCGGGAGGGCCCGGACTACTGGGCTGCAGGGCACTCGGCCAGCAGCCAGAGGGACAGGGGTGGGCGCTGGGATTTGGGCGAGGCCTGAGCCCAGGCCCACGAGGTGCCTTCCCGCTGGACGCGAAGGCAGGAGAGGGGGCACCTCGCGAGCGGCTGGCCAGCCTCAACGCTCCAGGCTGAAGGTGGGGCCCTGGGGGGCCACCGGCTGACCTGCCCTGCCCCTGCCCTGTCCCTGCAGTGGGCGGGCGTGCTGAGCCGCCTGGCTCTGGAGCAGGAGCGCATCCTAAACCCTCTGCTGGACCGCGTTCGGACCGCTGACCACCACCAGCTGCGCTCACTGACCGGCCTCATCCGGAACCTGTCTCGGAACGCCAGGAACAAGGATGAGATGTGTGAGTCCAGTCGCAGCGGCCGTGGGTCCCACTTGGGTCTTGACTGATGTGGAGCTGCTTTTCGGGCAGAGGGAGCCAGTGGTGGACAGAGGTGCCAGGTGGCTGGGAGTGGGGGTGCAGATGGTCCCCAACCTTCCACAGCCACCAAGGTGGTGAGTCACCTGATCGAGAAGCTGCCGGGCAGCGTGGGTGAGAAGTGCCCCCCTGCCGACGTGCTGGTGAACATCATCGCGGTGCTCAACAACCTGGTGGTGGCCAGCCCCGTGGCTGCCCGGGACCTGCTCTACTTTGATGGCCTCCGCAAGTTGGTCTTCATCAAGAAGAAGCGGGACAGGTGAGTGCCCCCTCAGCCCCAGTGCCCGGCCAGCGGCCACTGGCCATGCCGTCCCGCTAACCCTTGCTCCCTGCAGCCCCGACAGTGAGAAGTCCTCCCGGGCCGCCTCCAGCCTCCTGACCAACCTGTGGCAGTATAACAAGCTGCACCGAGACTTCCGCGCGGTACGTCCGCATGGGAAGCGGGTGCCCAGCTGAGCCTAGCCCACTGGGCAGCCAGGGTGCGGGCAGGGCGGGCCAGCAGTGGGCAGGTGCCCTGACTCTGTCCTCTGTCCACTGCAGAAGGGCTACCGCAAAGAGGACTTCCTGGGCCCGTAGGCCCCCCTGCAGGAGGAGAAGGCAATGGGGCCCAGCCTCGAGGACGGACGGCTCAGCTCGGGCTGTCCCCGGCCAGCCAGGAGGGGAGGGCCCAGGGCCCGGGCCTCTCGCCAGAGCCCCGCACATCTTCGAGGGCCTGGGACACCAGGGAGGGCAGGGGCTTGCAGCTGGGGACTTGGCTTCTGCAGGGCAGGGGGTGGGACAGGGCTTGAGGCTGTTCTGGTATGTGGGGTGGTGACCGGGCCACAGTGGCAGAGGTGGGTCCGGTGAGGCTGGGCAGGGCCTTGGGACGCCGGCGCTGGGAATAAAGTGCTGTGAACGCGCGGCCAGACTCCAAGTGCTGCTCCGGTGGGCGGCTGGGCTGGAGCCCAGGGCTTGGCGGTGCCCCCAAGGCACCTCGCCCGTCTCTGAGGCTCACAGCCCTCTCTGGGTGAGAGGGTCCCAGAAGGTGGGGAAGTCCGGTGGGGGAGAGCTAGCAGGGTGGGGGTGCAGATAGCTGGGCAGTGGGCCCCTGGAGCCAGAATGGTGACCCTGGCTCTGGTGCCAACCTACTGGGCAGTCGTCTGGGCAAACATGCCCAAGCCTCTGCGCTGCCCCGGCTCCTGGGACACTGCCCGCCCGAGGCCTGTCTCGCCGAGTCAGGCTGGGAAGCCACCCTGATTTTCTTTTTTTTTTTTAAAGATTTATTTTATTTATTTATGTACACAAGAGCTGGGGTGCAGACCAGAGGTGTGGGGTGAGAGAATTCCCCAGAGACAGAGTGGGGAGCAGAGCAGGAGGACCCACTGAAACACACTGCTGAGGGGAGCATCGGGGAGACTGGGAGGTCTGAAGCGCATGTGGGTCACTCCCTGGCCGGCAGGGATCGAACTTGCGCCATGCTGCAGAGGATGCCGATAGCTTCACAGTGCTGTGTCTTAACCCACTGCGCCCCCAGGGAGGCCCACACTGCTAATATTCTTGTGACAAAAGACTCTTCTACAAAGTCCAGAGCCTGCAGTTTCTCTGAGGGGCCTGCTTCCCTCATGTGTCTGGACCAGAGTGGGGTGCAGGGGTCACATCCCAACAGGCACTAGGCAGGGGCCCCAGGAGGCTTCTGCAAGGTGCTCTGAGCCAGAGAGCAGGTGTGCGCACACGGTCAGAGTTAGTGACCAGCGAGGGGGGTCAGGGTCCTGAGTGCCTGAGACGGAACAAGGAGGCTGAGGGGGGCAGGCCCTGGGTACCCTTCCTGCCCCAGGAGAAGAAAAGCCAAAGCCTGGGAAGGATCCAAAAGAAATTTATTTTCTGGCACAAGAAGGGGTGAGAGCCAGTCTCCGCCCCGAGGGGCCCGGCCCGGGCCTGCCCCCGGCCCTGTGACTCTGCAGCCCAGGGCTACACGTCGTCCTTGGACACCAGGCAGTAGAAGTCCGTGCGGGCGCTGTAGTTCCGCGAGCCCAGGTCAGACACGTCCACCTCGCTGCCCGGGCCCTCTCCCAGCGAGACCTCGCTGGCCTGGAAGGGAGCTGGGGGGCCGCCAAAGACAGGCCCTCGCACACCTGGGAGGAGGCAGCAAGGCCTGAGGCTCACCCTCAGCAGGCCAGCGACGGAGGCGCCCAGCAGTCTGGGCCCCGCACCTCAGGGAGAAAGGCAGTGACCGCCAGCCAGGGGTCTGTCCAGCCCGACCCAGGCTGCAGGTTGGGGGTCCCCCTGCCTGCCCTCCCAGCTGGTCTTCTCGGGGTTGGGCTCATACCCAGGTCGCCCTCCGGGTCAGGGTCCAGCTCGGGGCCCAGGGCCGATCGCCCCTCCGGGACGTGGCCCCGCACAATCAGCATGGGGTCCTTGTCGTCCTGCATCTGGGTCTGGGGGTCCCCCTCCATCGCTCTGTACTGCACCTTCCGAGGCAGCGCCAGCTGCAGCTCTTTCCAGAAGTCGGAGGCCGGCGTCTGGGGGGGGCGGGGTGAGCAGGTGCACAGCCCCCCCCCCGCCCCCCGCCGGGCGCAGCCCCGGGAGCGCCTCCGCGGCCCGCCCCGCCCGCACCACGGAGCCGGGCCTCCAGAGCAGCAGGGTCACCAGGTGGCGGTGCTGGCGCAGCAGGTGGAGCGCGGGGTGCGCGGGGGCGCGCCTCTGGCCCTCGAAGGTGATGAAGATGGGGCGGCGCGTGAGCTCCAGCAGCCGGCACAGGCCCTCCCTGCGGGGGCGGCACTGTCAGGGGGGCGCGGCCCGGGCCCGCCCCGCCCCGCCCCGCGCGGGACCCACCGGAAGCTGTGGCTGCACCAGGCGCGGCCGAGGAAGGCGTCCGACAGCACCACGATGAGGCGCCGGCAGCGGCTCAGGTTCACCAGGAGGTCGGCGGACGGCTCTGCGGGAGCGGGCGGCGCCCGCGGGGCGGGGCCGGGCCTTGAGGGCGGGGCCGGGGCGGGGCCGGCCTTGAGGGCGGGGCCGGGGCGGGGCCCGGGGGGAAGACCTTGAGGGCGGGGCCGGGGCGGTGCCCGGAGCGGGGGGCGGGGCCAGGCCTTGAGGGTGGGGCCTGAAGCGGGGCCCGGGGCGGGGCCGGGCCTTGAGGGCGGGGCCGGGGCTGGGCCCGGGCCAGGCCTTGAGGGTGGGGCCTGAGGCGGGGCCGGGGTGGGGGCGGGGCCAGATCTTGAGGGTGGGGCCTCGGGCGGGGCCGGGGCGGGGGCGGGGCCAGGCCTTGAGGGTGGGGCCTCGGGCGGGGCCCGGGGCGGGGCCAGGCCTTGAGGCTGGGGCCGGGGGTGCGGCCAGGCCTTGAGGGTGGGGCCGGGGGCGGGGACCTAGGGGTGGGGCCCGGGGGCGGGGCCAGGCCTTGAGAGTGGGGCCTGAGGCGGGCCCTAGGGCGGGGCCTGGGGCGGGGCCAGGCCTTGAGGGTGGGGCCTGAGGTGGGGCCCAGGGGCTGGGGGCAGGGTCAGGCCTTGAGGGTGGGGCTGAGGCAGTGCCCTAGGGGAGGCGGGGCCTGAGGCATGGGGGCGGGGCCAGACCTTGAGGGGTGGGGCCCGAGGCAGGGGCCCTAGGGGAGGCCGGGGGCGGGGCCGGGCCTGGGGCGGGGCCTGATCCCGGGGCGGGGCCTGGGCCCGGGGCGGGGCGCTGCCTCACCCGCGCGCGGCAGAAGGTCGCGGTCGTCCAGGAAGAGCTTGTAACCCCGACGCCGCTCCAGCTGCGGCTTGAGGATGAAGTTCACAAACTTCCTGTCCTCCGGGCTGTCGCTGTAGGAGATGTAGGCGTCGTAGAGCTTCCCATCTGCGGGCAGAGCAGTCAGGGGGCTGCCCAAGCCCTGCCCGCCCCCCGCCTCGATCCCGGACCCCGTGGGCCTCTCCCGCAGCGCGCAGGGGGCCAGGCCTGACTCCGAGACCGCAACTGGGGGCGCCCCGGGGACGCCTGGACCCCTCCCTCCCTGGCATAGGGCCACGCTGGCCCCAGGACGCCAGCAGCCTGCCCGTTCCCTCCCCACCCAGCCCTGGCCCTCCTGGGCTGCACTGTGACACCCCCTTTCCTGAACCCCGCTCCCCAGGCTCCAATCCAGAGCTGCCACCACCTGCCGGGCCCAACCCCACAGCCCAAACCGGAGCCTGCAGAGCCGGAGGGCCTGGTCCTGCCCGGAGCCCCACGCACCGTTCACCTCCACCTCCCCGTAGGTGTTCTGGTGCCAGAGCAGCAGGTTGAGCCGACACTTCACATACAGCAGGGCCACCAGGAGCAGGGCCAGCAGGACCAGGACAGAGGCCAGCACGGCGGCCACGTGGCCTGCCGGGCCTGGGGACAGAGCCACAGCCTGAGCACGCCACCCCCCCCCCCCCGCACCCTCCAAGCCTCAAGGCTCCCCAGGCCTCCACCTCCCTCCCCCACTTCCCCCGTCCACTGCCCTCACCAGCTCTTCTAAGAATGAAGGAGGCAGAGCTCAGGTTCCCGATGCAGCAGGTGAAGACCCCGTACTCTTCCGAGCTGGTCAGGTTGACCCCCAGGACACTGGACAGAAGACTCTCTGACAAGTTGAGCTTCAACCTGGGGAAACCAGGCCCCACCCTCTCACCTGAAGCCAAGGAGCAATGGCGGATGCCCCAGAGCCCACCTGTCTGGACCCACTGGAAAGGCCGCAGTGACCAGAAACTGGAGGGCGTGGCTTCCCCTTGGGATAGTCACCCTGACCCCAGGCTGGGGCCCTGGGTTCATCTGACCCAGGCTTGGCCTGATATTGATGCCTCGGTCAGGCCCTAAGACCTGTGTGCTATCCCCAAGGGGGAACATCCACAGTGGCCACCTGTCCCTACAGTCATGCCCTCCGCTGGCGTCCTGAGCGGCACCTGTCCGGCTGCAAGCACGTCCAGGCTGGCCCCCTACCAGAAGTCCTCGCGGAGGTTGTAGTGGCTTCCGTTGCCCAGGGGCTCCCCATCTTTCAGCCACTGGACCTCGGGGGTCGGACAGTGGAGCTCAGAGCCCACCCAGGCCGTGCAGTTCAGAGTGACCACACTGCCTGGGGCAGGCTGCAGGACCTGATCTCCAGGTGGGGAGAGGAAGTCGGGGGCCCGGTCACAGACACCTGCAGAGAGAGGCCCCAGTGGTTGGCCTTGCCGGGACTCGGCACCCACGTGTCCCCAGCCCACCTGGGAGTCAGGAAGGAGCAAGGCAGTGGTGGCGCAGGCAACCTGGCTGGCCACGTGGTGACCTGCCACCGGGTCCCATGGAGCGGGGGCCGGGCTGGGGCAAACGGGCAGTGGCAGCGGGGCCAGGGAAGGGCCACCCTGTCTGCAGAGAACGCCAGCGTGGCGGGGAGGTGTGGTCACTGGGAGCCGAGCACCGGGCCCAGCAGGGCCTGCCCAGGATGGGACCTGGCCGCACACTTCCCGTGGGCCTTGCTATAACACCCACCCAGGCCAGGGGCCAGGCGCTAGGCCCAGGCTGGCTTGGGGGACTCAGGTGCTCCCAGTGTCCTTGTGCTTTGCTGACCCCTGCAGGCCTGGGCTGAGGTCTTGGGCAGGAGAGGACTCAGGGCCCAGCCTGGCCTTGGGGGAGGGGTGGTCAGAGGCCTTTGTACCCAGCTGTGGGCCAAGCTGAGAGCTGGGCCACACGGCAGGGGTGGGGGGTGGGGGGGACCAGCTGTAGGGGTGGGGTGCTCCCTCCCGGCCCATCTACCTGCCATGGTCTGGCCAGGGCCTCCTCGGGAAGAACGGGCGCCACCGCCACCCCTGGCTCCGCAGGGCTCTGGCTGAGTGCACTGGCCTCCAGGAGCTGGGCAGGACCTGGGGCCAATCCGTCAGAGGCCGCTGCTGTCCCCAGGAACAGGGCAAACAGGAACAGGGCGAGTTAACAAGTAACCTTGGCTGCAGACAGCACTGCCCTGTGCTGGCCGCTCCCTGGACACCAGCACCTCTCGCGTCTGGGGTGGGCCTGGTGTGGCCGGGCTGGGAGGGGCCTCTGCCAACCCCACACTGCCCAGGGCCTCGTGACAGCCCAGGGAGGGAGTGTGGGCGCACCCCACACCCTGCGTGGAGCCGGCCCTGGCCTTGTCTCCATGTCCCCCGCAATAGGGATCCCTGGGCCCGGAAGCCTGCGCCCTGTCCTTGCCATGGCCCCCAGGCTGCAGGTCCTGGCCACCAGCCTTGTCCTGGGCCCAGCGCTGCGTGTGCCAAGGCCAGCGAGGCAGGGCAGGGCAGCCACCCTAGCAGTGGGCCTGTGCCGCGCCCCCGTCCCTCTGACCACCTGCGGCCCATCCGGGGAAGCCCGGCCCCACAGGGCTCTGCTGCGGTCTGCCTGAGGACAGCAGTACATGGCCCCCTACAAAGCTCTGGGGTGACCGGGAGGCCAGGAGCCGCATCCTCCAAGCACCCAGGGCTGTTTAGTGGACATGCTGGGGCTACCAGAGGGACCAGCCCGGGCCAGGCCAGGCCCTGGGGCTCCGAGCCAGCCCCTCCTTCCTGCTGCCTGGGGCACTGGCGCGGCCCAGCCTGGTCTCTGCAGACCAAGCCTGGTTTGGCTGGAATCTCCAACAACTGGTGGTGCATCAGCCACACCCCCCAGGGGACACGGGCGTCCTCCTGGGGAGGCCTCTGGAAGATGGAGAGGGGCGGTGGGAGGCGGGTGGTGCCCATAGTGCCCAGAGGGATCCCAGGCAGCACCTGCAGCAGCCCCTCCAGCTCCCTGCCCAGAGGTGCCCCTGCGGGAGGCAGCCTCATCCTGGGGACTGAGGCCCAACTGCTGGAAATGGGCAGTCACGTGCCAGGTCCCTCCCCACTCCCCTCCCACAACCCCCTGCACCTCCACCGTCTCCTACACCCTCCTCCCGCACCCCCGGGTCTCCCCTGCACCCCTTCCTTGCACGCCCTCCCTGCACATGCCAAGCACACGCGGCCTTCCCTGTGCACGCCCGCACTGCGCTTGCACACACACACCCTCACCTCTGAGCCTGGCTCTGCTGCCAGGCACACCCCTGCACACACAGCCCTTGCATGGCCCCACCCCATGGCCTCCGCACAGCCCTGGCACACCCCTGCAGGCACAGCCCCGCACGGCCCCCACTCACACCTGCCGCACATGCTGACTCAAGGTCAGGCCTCCAGAAGGCGACGGCTCGGCCACCCACAGCAGCGGCCGGTGGTGGCGCCCGCGCTCCTGGCCCGGCTTTCTGCTCCTGGGCCACAGGGCTCACTGCACCCCGGGAGCCAAGGTCGCCTCGGAGGGGCCGGCCCGGGACATGGCCAGCCCGCCAGGCCCGGCTTTTGTTTGTGTGTTTGAATCAGAACCTTCCTGCAGCTTCCTGGCCTGCAGTCACATCCTCCCTGCCTGACCCCACCCAGCACCCACCCCGCCCCGCCCGCCGCTTCCTGTAACGCTGAGTCAAGGGCTCCTTCCGCGCTGGGGCCACACGACGGGGGCGAGACGCGGGTCCTCAGGGAGACCCCAGCAGGGAGACCCCAGCTGCCCAGTGCTGGGAGGATGGGCCGGGCTTCCTGGACATCCTCTGGTGCCACATCAGGGAGGGGGCAGCTCCCCCCATGCCGCTCCCCTGGCCGGAGAAGGCTGTGGGGCCCCATGCGACCCTGACCCCCGGAGCGGAGTCCTGCGGAGACGCCCCCAGCGTGGGGCCCTGAGCCAGGCCAGGAGCGGTCCTCAGGCTCAGGTGGACCCTGGCTGCTGGCTGCTGGCTGGGGTGGGAGGGCAGGGCCCTTCCCCAGATAAGGGAGCCAGCAACAGGCTGCCCCAGAGATGGCTGGAGGCTGACCCGACCCCCTGGCCCCCAGTGGGTGGGTGCTGCAGCTGAGCGCCTCAGGGTGGGGGCTGGCCTCCCTTCACCCTGGCCCCATGGCAGAGCTCAGACCCGACCCCTCCTGGGGTGCTCAGGACCCACAAAACTGGGGGGAGGCCCAACTGTAGGACACCCCCCCCCAGAGCCAGGGCTTCCCTGACCCCTCATAAGGCGAGGAGCCCTGTGTTGAGTGGCAGGTGAGCACCTGAGTCCCAGGGGTGCCCTGCGACCCAGGAAGTCAGGAGCCAGGCGCCCCTGTGTGCCCCCCAGCCCTGCCCGGCCGCCCACCTGGCTCTACCCTGGCAGCGCCGGGGCCGCATGGCGGGACTGGGCTATCTTCCGGGGCGAGCTCTGCCCCCAGCCCCCGCCCTCCTCCACGGCCTCCTGCTCTCCCCTGCGTCTGGTTTGCTGCCCAGCACCCCACAGTGCCCCAGAGTCCCCCCGACTCTGAGGGGCGGCCAGTCTGGCCCTCGGTCTTGTTGGCCCCAACTCTCTCCCCAGGAGAGACCGGGACGCGGCTTCCAGGCCCCAGAGGGTCTGTCAGCTCCAGGCGACGCCCATTCTCCCCGCTCGCACCCCACGGGCTGCGCTCGCCTTGGGGGCGGCGTCCCCCCGTCGCGGGGGCTGGGGCTCGGGGCTGGGAAGGTCGCGCGGAGGCCACGGCCGCGTCGGAGCGCCGGGCCCAGCCCCAGGCCCCGGCCCCAGGCCGGGCCGCCGCCCCCAGCTCGGCTTCCGGGCGACGCGGGCCCCGCCGGGTCCGGGCCACTTCCTGCGGGGCCGCGCCCGCGCCCCGCGCCCCGCGCCCCGCGCCCCGCGCCCCCCGCCCCCCGCCGCGGAGCCGCGACCGCCACGCACCGCCCGCCTGGGCCGGGCGCCGCTCACCTGCTGCCGGCCCCGGGGCGCGCGGGCGCGGGGCGGGCGCCTCACCTGGCCAGGTGCGCGCGGCGACAGCCCCGGCGGCAGGTGCAGCCCCGCCCCGCGGCCAGCGCGGAGGGCGGGCCAGAGCCCCGCTCAGCGCCCGGGGCTGGCGCCGGAGACTCGGGCTCATTCCTAGGCCGGCGCCGGGTGCAGGGCCTGGGGGCAGGGGCCAGACCGGCTCCGCCAGCCCTGCAGGGCTCGCCCCAAGACGCCCCGCGCGCCCCTCCCCCTCCCCCTCCGGGAAGCCGGCCTGACTGACCCCTCGGACCCGAAGCTCAGGGGCGGGAGGGTGGGGCTCGGAAGCCCTGGGGACACGGCCCAGGAGGCCTGGGGCCAGCTGCCCAGACCTCAGGGTCCCGCGCAAGGCCAGGGCGCGGGCACCCTCGGACACCCTGGGACCCTGGCGTCCCCACTACCGAGCGCACAAAACACTCATTGGGGGCGGAGCTGTCCGCAGCCTCGCAGCGCCGGTTCCATCCTGGCTGGCCGCAGAGCAACCCACAGGGCCAGCAGACCTCTCCTGCGCCCGCTGCTCCCCTCAGCAGTGTGCTGTCCGTCTGCCTGCTCTGCTCCCCGCTCTGTCTCTGGGGAGTCCTCTCACCCTCCCGCACATCTGGCCTGTGCCCCAGCTCTTGCATAAATAAATAAATCCTTAAAAAACAACACACTTATTTTATTATAGAAAATTCTGCTGGCTGTGGGGAGGCACCATGGGGTGGCCCCACCAGGAGGTGGTGGGGGGAAGGCTTGGGCTCAGCAGCCCAGTGGCCTGGGGGCGGCAGCTCAGCTCCCTGCATGTGACTGATGGGGGACCCCTTGGCTCCATAGGTGGTGGGGTCACCAGATAGGGAATGGGCCCCATGTCTGCACCACACGTGCCCGGGCCACCCTGCAGCCCCCACATAGCCAGGGGTGGGCGGGGTGCCCTGAGCACCCCCTACCAGCCTGGGTCCCTACACCTCTGTGATCTTGTGGCTGGGGGGGTGCGAGGCGCTACAGCTCTTCATCTTGCCCTTCAGCTTCTCGAACTTGTCTTCCAGGACTCTGTTCTTCACCGCCTGAGGGACATCGGGCACGAACCAGGCAGCCACCAGCTTGATGCACAGGGCCACGTGCTGCGGGCAGGCAGGCGGCGTCAGCTCCTGCCCAGGCGGGCGGGGCTGACAGGGGAGTGCCACCCACCTCGAAGAGGATGAGGAAGGCCATGCGGATGGCCAGGAGGACCCAGAACTGCTGGGAGAGGCCGTAGTCCTGGGCGTTGCGGTAGTCCCGGTACCTGGGGAGAGGGCAGTGTCTGAGATCAGGGGACGGGCGTCCAGAGGGCCCTCGCCAGGAGGGGGGTCCACACCTGCACTCCGTCACGTTGCCTGCGTCCTGTGTCGGACTGGCCCCCGGCAGGTCCTTGGTGTAGAACACGGACAGGCTGTGGTTGACGTAGCCGGTGAGGCAGCTGGGGGCAGACAGCAGCCAGCGTGGGTGCGGGCCCAGCCCCCGGGGGTCTCTGCGGCAGGCAGAGGCCGGGCTGCCCAGGCCCGCCTCTCACAGCCGCCCACAGCTGAAAGGCCTCTTCTGCAGAGAGGGGCTGGGCTGTGCGGCCAGTTTCCCAGGGGCCAATGGACAGTCTGGGGGTCCCCAGGAACTGTGGCAGCACCCCCTTACTCGACTTCAGGGCGGGCCCCACCCCGGCAAGGGCCGTAGCGGTACTGGTACACCAGTCGGGGGATGAACTCGGACGTGAAGGAGATGACCATGCCGTTGGCGATGACGGCCAGCACGCCGATGGTCTCCAGCACCTGCAGCCACGTGCCTGCAGGAGGGGCTGGGCTGAGCCGGCGGCTGCTGGTCAAGGCCTCGGAGCCCCGCCGCGCCCCAGCACGGCACTCACTGGTGAGGAGACCAGGGCCACTCAGCAGCATCAGCTCCCCGCCCCTTCCTCTTGACCTGGATGGGCGGGGCTCGCGTCTCCCAGCTGTACCCGTGTCCCCCGGCCGCCCACTCCAGTGCCAGGGCAGTGCTCCTCATACTTCTCTCTGCCCCTCCGCTCCGCACTCCCTCTGCTCACCCGACACCTGTCCTGGGCCACCTGCTCTGCCCCTGCCGGCTGGATGAGGCCCTTCTGCCTGCGCCCCTAGGGCTAGACTTCCAGAGGGAGGGTCCCGCAGGGCCCTCTGCTTCCTCCCAGCCTAGGCCCACCCAGGCCCCGCGCCCCCTCCCTGGCAGAGGCCCAAGCCGCTGGGGCTGGCTGGGGTGGAGGGACTTTCTGGCACTGTAGCTGAGAGCGACCCAGCACCTGTCGGTGCAACCCCTGAGCCAAGCCCGACGCCCCCTCCCTGTGCGCCCAGGGAAGGTCCTGACCGATGTCCTTGGCCATGCGCGGCACCAGGCGCCGCCGCAGCCTGGCCATCTTGATGGCGTCCAGGCGGAGCTCCACGACGTTACTGACGAGCGCGAGCAGCGGCGCGAGAGGGAAGGCGGCCACGAAGGTGGTGGTGAAGCCATACTGGATCACTGTGGCGGCCACCAGGTGAGGGCTGTGCCCCGCGGGCGGGCCGCACCCAGCCCTCGCGTGCCTCGTCCCACCGCCCCGCCCCGCCCCCCATCGCCCCGTCCCCCAGCCGCCTCCCACTGCCCCCCCAGGCGCCCCCCAGGCGCCCCCCTTCCCAGCACCGCCTGCCCACGCACTCATCTCCATGAACTCGTCGAAGAGGCTGAAGGTGGTGACCTCATTCAGGAGGTAGTTGCGCTGCCAGTCGCTGAGGTCGGGGTCCGGGCTGCCCTGCGGGAGTCTTTTGCAGCGGCGCTTGTAGCTCAGCCACCTGCGGGGGACGAGAAGGGTGCTGTGGCTGAGGGCCCCCCGGGCTCTGCCTCAGAGACGGGGGCGGGGTCCTCACGGGCTCAGGTACTCCACGAAGTTGCTGAGCATCTGCTTCAGGACCATGATGACGGCCATCTGCACGAACAGGTCCATCATGCAGCCGCTGAGATGGCACTGCGGGCGCGGGAGGTCGGGCCGGGGGTTAGGGCGGCGGGCCAGGGCCGGCGCCGGGAAGCAGGGGGCGCAGGGAGGCCGGGCGCGGGGACGGGCGTGGGGGAGGCCCAGCAGGGAGTGGGGGGGTGGCTGGGGCGCGGGCAGGGCAGGGCGGACGGGGCACAGGGAGACCAGGGGCGCAGGGAGCCTGGGCAGGAGTGGACTGACCTCCTCCAGCTTCCACAGCCCCCACAGGCGCACGGATTTCCCAGGGTGGCCGTTGATCCTGAGAAGGACAGTGAGGCTGCTAGGGCGCACTGCCCTGTGGGCGGTGGGGAGTAGGGGGCAGGGGTGGGAAACGAAGCAGGCCCCCAGGAACCCTCCCTGCAGGTGGGGCCTTCCCCAGCAGGCCTTCCACCCAGGGCACCCCCACCCCCGCACCCATGGGCCAGCGTACCCACACCTGCACCCTGAAGGGAAAGCCCCGCGCCCACGGCTCTGAGCCCGCCCAGACAGTCTCAGGCTGGCCTCAGTTTCTCCTCTGGAGCCAGGGCAGGCAGGGCTGCCTCACTGGGCCTTGGCCGCGGCATCTGTAAAGCAGGCCCCGTAGCACTGGTGTGTGGACTGGAGGGGGGGAGCGTGGAAAGCACTTGGGGCTGGGGTGCGGAATGACACAGCGGCCTTTGCAGAGTCCCATTCTACCCACGGGGAGACGGCTGCACCCTGTGCTCTGCGTGAGTGGCCAGTGAGGTTCTCCAGGCTGAGGAAGCCCAGGTTCAAGGAGGAAAGGGAGAAAGAAAGTTGCCCTTCCAGGAAGTGAGACGATTAGGGAGCAGGTGAGAGCTGATGGGGAAACGCTGGTCTTTCTATTTTTAGTACTGCCTTCACAGGAACAAGGAAGAGCACCCGAGGGCCTCCCCGGTGGCGCAGCGGTTGAGCGCTGGGTTGCGAAGCTGCCCGCAGCCTCTGCAGCGCTGGTTCAATCCCCGGCTGCTCCCCGGCCACCGGAGGCGGGTCCCGCATGGCGCGCAGAATCTCCTGCCGCCCGCTGCTCCCCTCAGCAGTGTACTTCGGTCCTTCTGCCTGCTCTGCTCCCCGCTCTGGCTCTGGTGAATTCTCTCACCCTCCCGCGCTTCTGACTGTACCCAGTGCATGTATAAACAAAACAAACAAACAAATAAATAAATAAAACATGCCTCTATTAAAAAAAAAAAAAAAAAAAAAAAAAAAAAAAAAAAAAAAAAAAAAAAAAAAAAAAAGGAAGAGCACCCGAAAGGAAAAATAGCGGGAGAATGACAACAAAAGGACCCTTGGAAATTAATTGTAAACTTCAAAAAAAAAATCAGTAGACGGGGCCTCCCTGGTAGCGCAAGGGGTTAAGCACTGCACTATGAAGCAATCCACAACCACTGCAGCACAAGTTCAATCCCCAGCCGGCCAGGGAGAAACCCACATGGCGCAGCAGACCTCCTGACTTGCCCGCTGCTCCCCTCAGCACTGTACTTCAGTCAGTCTGCCTGTTCTGCTCCCCACTCTGTCTCTGGTGAATCCTCCCACCCCCCACATCTCTGTCCTGTACCCCAGCTCTTGTATGCATAAATAAATAAATCTTTTTAAAAAATCAATAGAAAGGCAAAAAGGGAAGGAAATCTCCCCAAATGTTGAATTCGAGCCCTGGACACAGGGCTAGAATGTATGAGAGCCATGGTAAGAAATGGAGAGGACAATCCCGAGAGGACCCAGCGTCCCAGAAAGAGAGAACAGGGAGGAGGAAATTAACCCGAGAACAAAAGGTTTAAAAGAAGAAGATTCAATTAACCCAAATAGCACATAAGGTTTTTCAATGCAAGGGCAAGCAATCGCCAGCACCCCACATGAAGAAAAGATCCAGCCCTATATGGGTCCCAGCTTCAAGAGAAGCTCCTAAGCTTCTGAAGGGAAAACACTAGGCCGACTGGAAAGGAACAAAAATAAGGTTTTCCACACATTAGCCATTTTGCATGTCTGGAGACCATGGAGTGATGACACTGATGTCCCAGAAGGGAAAGTGGAAGCTGTGGCAGCCCCGTGCACAAGTAGAATGGGTCTCTGGACAGCCAGGAACTCAGAAGTTTTATCTATTAGATATGCTTTCTTAGATGAATGAAAGCAAAAACTGAGACAAGAAGGCATGGGAATCAGAAATGATGGCCCCATCCCAGGAGGGCAGCAGATGGGATTCCCTCGGCAGGAGCACAGAGAGGGAGCAGCTGTGTGGGGAGAAACAGGTGCTTCCAAGCAAGGTCTCTGGAACAAACTCCATGCAGCAGGCAGTATGGAGCAGGTAAGCCTGATATGATAACAGCATGCGAGGAAAATAAAAGGCAATTCAAAACTACAGGGAAATGAAAGAGCTGTGTAATAAATACATTTTCAAAGATGAAGCAAAGAAAATGTGTCATGATTTTAAGAAACTAATAAAGCAGGCCTCCCTGGTGGCGCAGGTAGTTGAGCGCCGTGCTGTGAAGCTGTCGGCAGCCTCTGCAGCACTGGTTCGATCCCCAGCCAGGGAGCTACCCACATGGCACGGCAGACCTCTCCTGTCTCACCCTTTGCTCCCCTCAGCAGTGTTTTAGGTCCATCTGCCTGTTCTGCTCCCCAATCTGTCTCTGGTGAATCCTCTCACCCTCCTGCTCCTCTGGCCTATACCCCAGTTCTTGTATGCTTAAACATAAATAAATTTTTTAAAAAGAAACTAATAAAGCCAAATAAAACAGAATCCACTTGATTTCGATGCTCTAATAACCAAGAAAAATGCTCAGATGAAATGAACACTCAACTTACAGAAGAAATGCAATGGCCAACAAACATCTGGAAAGATGCTAGACTCTCGCTTAGAGTTTTTTTTTAAGGCACTTTCAAAACAAAAGGCCTTTGCTCATCAGCTCAGGAGGAGGTACAGGTGCAGACCAGTGGCTGCAGCTTTGGAGGTCACTTTAGCAATACTTTCTGGACTTCGGTGTGCCCTGCCAACTTGCGGTTAGAGTGCTACTGACGCCACTACCTGGCTTCACCTCAAAGCTGCAAGGGAACTACAGAGGCTGGTGCCCATGCAGGACATCTGCTGGACTGGACCCTGCAGGGCTGATGTCTGGGCACCCACCCAGCCTCGCCCTGGCCCCTACAAAGCCCCACCCAAGCCCTGACCCCCTTGGGTCATAGGGGCTCACTTCCGGCGGGGAACAGCCAAGCTCTCGCACTGAGCCCCAACTGGTCCTGGCCCCATCACACTAACAAGCCTCCCGTCAGGGCACCAGATTCCCCTCCCAGGGACAGCCAGAGCCAGAGGCCCAGGGGGCCCGCAGCCCATAGCTCAGAGCTGGCCATGTGTTTCTCAGTGACAGACAGTGGCCAAAAGCTAGACATGAGGAAAGTCTCTAAGGTCAAAGACTGAGCCCCCAGAGGAGCCTGGGAGACAGTGATGCCCCCCCAGACGGGCACCCAGGGAGTGCCCTGATGTTGGCCAAGCTCAACACAAAATGGGCAGAAAAAGGCAAAGACACTCAAACGGTCAACCCAGAACTTTCCATTTCCAAATGAGACAACCCAGACAAGGAGCTGGGAGGAGGTTGTCACAGGAAGCACCAAAGCTGTGGTGAGGTGGGTCGCTCCAGGCCACCCGCTGTGCAGGCTCTGGGCCCCAGGCCTGCAGCTGAGCACACCATGGACCAGCGTCCTCATCCATGGACGAGGGGTGTGTCTGGTCTTGGGCAGCAAGGGCTGCAGGGGCAGAGGAGAGAGGGGTCTGGGCTGCCAGGGGAGAGTAGGGAGACCAGGGAGACCAGGGACTTGCTGTGGACGCAGTGACATCCCCGCGGAATGTCCAGGGCAGCTGGACCTGGGGCCTGGGCTCCCACGAACACTCGGGCTGGAGGAGGGTCTCAGACTGAGAGCGGATCGTGGGCGCCACAGCACTGAGGGTGGGAGAGAGGGGTGCAGCCCCCAGCAGGTGGGAGAAGCAGAGCTGAGGTGACAGCCCCTCTGCGGGGTGCAGGTGGTGCTGTGGAGGGACGTAGCTAGGCAGCAGAGGCATGGCAGCTGGTGAAAAGACCTAAGTGCGCTGAGGGGCACAGCAGGGCAAGACAGCCAGCCCCCCCCCCCACAAATGTAACAAGCCCCAAACAAGGACCCTCCCAGGGGTTGAGGAAAAGGGTGTCCAGCTATTTGTAGCCGGTGTCACTCAGGCCCTGGACAGAGCGGACACTGAGCCCACGTCCCCTTCTCAGAGGCCCCACCCCGCAGAGCAGGCCCGTAGGGTGCAGGGCCAAGTGCAGCTGGGAGGGGGCAGTGCATGGAACGCCGTGTCTGAGCACAGCAGGCGTTTGGTTCCTCCCTGCAGGTTCCCGGAGCTGGGGCCCATGGCCTTGGGTTTGCACCGCAGGCAAAGTAAGTGACTCCGGGGGACGGAGGGACCCCACATCCCTCCAGAAAGATGGGGCCTGCGGATTGGGCCCAAAAGGCTCATTTTGCTGATTAGGAGAGCGAGGGTGTGTGCGTGTGTGTGGCTGTGCACGGGTGAGCATGGGCATGTGTGCTCAGTTGTGTTGTGGCCGGGCTGGGGCCCACCGAGCTCACTGTCCTAGGGCGGGCCTGGCCCTGCATCCCAGGCTGCGCCTGGCCTGAGCTGCTCCGCTGGGTCTCCGGGCGGCCTCACCTGCCCAGGATGAAGGCCGTGTAGATGAGGGAGGAGAAGTGCGTGAAGAATTGCAGGATGAAGAACTTGACCATGAACTTGCTCTCCCGCTCTGAGAAGGTCCTGGGCTTCTCTGGATGAGATGGCGGTTCCTCTACATCCCTCCGGAGCCGCTGCCCGCCGCGACAGCTCCCTGCCCCCGCCCCCCGCCCCCCGCCCGCACGGGGTGAAGCAGGAGCCCGGCCGCCCCTGCTCACCGAGGTCGCAGAGCTTCAGGGCCGCCCTCCTGTTGACCTGTGGCGGGAGGCAGCGCTCAGCCCGCCGCGCCCCGCCGCACCCCGCGCGCCCCGCGCGCCCCGCGCCCACCTTGGTCAAGACGAGGATCATGACGTAGTGCGCCACGGCGCCGGTGGCCACGACGGCCACCTCCAGGCAGGGCACGGCCAGGTAGCGGAAGGCGGCGGCGGCCACCACGCGGTAGAGCACCAGGGCGACCGTCAGGAGGATCGTGAGGCAGATCTGGGGGCGGGCGGCGGTCGGAACGGGCCGGGGGCGGGGGGGGGGGCGTCGCGGGCCCGCGCCCCTCCAGGCCGCCCCCGCGGGCGCGCACCATGAGCAGCAGCAGCGCCAGGACGGCGGCGCTCCCCAGGTAGGAGTGCTGGTGCCGCCGCAGCGTGTCCCCGCGGCCCCCGTGGCCGTCCCGCGGCCCCCGTGGCCGTCCTCGTGGCTCCCGTGGCCGTCCCCGCGGCCCCCGTGGCCGTCCCCGCGGCCCCCGTGGGCGATGAGCGCCAGCGCGATCTCCTCCTGCGGGCACAGGCACGTGTGGGCGCCGCCCGGCGGCCGCGGGCACAGGCCGGGCGCGCCTCACCTGGCCCTCACCTGGCCCTCACCTGGTCCTCGTCCCAGGCGTGCCGGCCCCAGTGCAGGACCACCCGGGCGCGCCTCCGCTTCCAGAGCTCCAGGAACACCGTGGCTGCGGGCGCAGGCGGGCGTCAGGCGGGGCGGGGCGGCCGGCCGGGCGGGCGGGCCGAGCCCGGGCCGCGCCGCCGGCCACTCACCCCACACAGCCATGAAGAAGGCGAACAGCACGGTGCCCTCGTTGTCGAACAGGTGCGTGAGCTGCGGAGAGGCGAGGCTGGGCGGGCGAGGGGCGGGGCTTGAGGGGCGAGGGCGGGGCCTAGAGGGTGTGGGGCGGGGCCTGCGGTCTGAGGGGCGGGGCGAGGGGCGGGTCCGGGGCGGGGTGGGGCCTGGAGGGGAGAGGCTGGGGCAGGGTGAGGCCCTCGTGGGGCGGGGGAGGGAGGCCCGGGCTGGGAGGGGCGAGGCGAGGGCGGGGCTGAGGCTGGGGGAGGGGCTCGTCGGGGGCCGCACGCGGCTCACACCCACCCTAGGGAAGCAGAGGCCCCTGTGCCCAGGGGGCCAGGCCGGCCCTTCGCAGGCCGGCGGGCTGGGCGCACCCCGGGCGGCCGACCTTGGCAAAGGCGCAGGTGTCCGACAGCCGCTGGTAGTCGTGGTCGTGGTCGCCCCGAGGACACAGGAAGACGTCCCCGGCCGTACAGATCTCCTTGCTGGTGAGGGACCAGCGGCTGGGCGCCTGGGTCTCCCCTCCCCGCACTCCCCATCCCCGGAGCCGCACCCCGCCGCACCCCACCTGATCTGGCTGGTGTCGAACAGGGAGAAGCCGCTCAGGAAGATGATGAGGCCGATGGCCGCCGCGGGCACCAGCATCCAGGTGTACCACTCGAGCCAGGCAAAGTACAGGGCCACCTTCTCGCCAAAGTAGCTCCTGCGGGCACAGCGCAGGTCAGGGCCTCCCCGGCAGAATGACCGTCTGGGTCAGAGGGCGGGGAGGGGGCAGGGAAAGCCTTCAGACGTGTCAGCACATCTAAATGGGGAGTAGAGACTCATGTGTTTATGGCCGCACAGGTGTGTCTGGAGGAGGCACAGGTGGGGGTGCACAGGTGTCTAGGGGGCACAGGTGTGTCTGGGGGCACAGGTGTATCTGGAGTCACAGGTGTGTCCGGGGGGCACAGGTGATTTGTTTGGGACTGAGACCTGATTTCATCGATTGGCTGCTTGCGGCGAAAGTCTCTCCACCTGGCCCATTTCTTCGGCTTCTCCTCCTCCTGGGGTGGGGGAGCTGGTGAGAGCGCCTGCCTCCCGGCCCCCCCTGCAGCCCCCCGCCATGGGCGCCTGCTCACCTTGTGCAGGGGGAACCTGGTCTCAAAGACCTTGCGCTTCACCAAATCTTTAAAACTCTCTGGGGGGGGGGTCACAGGAAGTCTGGGGTCAGGCGTGGCGAGGGCCTTAGGAGGACCCTGCCCACCCTCCCCATCCAGCCCCCACGGGCAGCTGCTCCGGCCATCTGGCGTCCAGTCCTTACTACCATCCGACGTCCTCATGCTGCCCAGGATGAAGTTGACGATTCGGATTCTGAAATAAGAGAGCTCTGCGTGGCCCCACCCGACCACAGGGCCCCACCCCATGTGGTGGCTCTGTCCTGGCGCCCGCCCACCCACCCACCCTGCCCATCTGGCTGAGCCCTGCATCCAGGATGCAGCTCAGAGCCCTCCCTCACTTGCTTAGCCCTCCTGTGGCCCCTCCCCTCCTGGACCCGGCAATTCTCCACCCTTCCCGCCCAGACCCACACCCCGCCCCCACCCCGCACACCACCCACCTGGGTCCGGAAAACCCCCTCCCTTCTCCCCTGAGCTGCTTCCTGCGTGGGACTGAGACCCAGGCGGGCGGAGCGGCTGGCCAAGGCTACCCAGGTGGGAAGGCCCAGCCCCACCAACTGTGGGGGGCCCGGGAACCTCCAGAGGCCCAGGGTCCCATCCCACCCCTCTTGTCCTGAGACCGCCAGTCGCCCCCAGTTCTGTGCCAGCCTCCCTGATCAGGCCCCAGCTGCTCCTGGTGGGGTCAGGGCAGGCGAGTGATGGGGAGGGCAGGTGGACAGGCCTGGGGGCCAGATGTCGGGGGAAGGGCATCGCCTCTGGAAGGGAGAGGTGGGGCCTCCTCCGGGTGTGAGATGACCCACAGCGGGAGGGGAGGCTGGGAGGGGCTTCTCTGCCCCTGGGGGTCCCCCCACCCTTTCCCTCTGGTTCTGGCTGAGTCCCCAGGGACGCGGCATGGGAACCCTCAGAAGTGTGTCCCCCCGGCAGCCGCCCTGGGCCCCCGCGCGGGCTGCTCGCCTTGGGCGGGGCCTCCCAGGCCTGGACCGGGTGCAGCCTCACCTGGCGGCAGGTTTTACACAACTGGGGCTCCCCTCTTTGGCGTCAGGGCCCTCGGGATCCGGGAGCAGCGCGCTGTACCGGCTGAAGATGTTGTCACCAGCTCGGATCCCGAAGAACACCCTCTTCTGGTCCTGCTTCTCCTGGGGGTGGGCGCTGATGGGACCTCGTCCCGCGGGAACCCTCCTCCGCCTGACCCGGCGGGCCCTCTCCTGACCTTGCGCGGGACCCGCCCACTCCCCGCCCGCCCCGCCCACCACCTCCCGCCCCGCCCACTCCCCGCCCGCCCCGCCCACTCCCCGCCCGCCCCGCCCACCACCTCCCGCCCCGCCCACTCCCCACCCGCCCCGCCCACTCCCCACCCGCCCCGCCCACCACCTCCCGCCCCGCCCACTCCCCGCCCGCCCCGCCCACCACCTCCCGCCCCGCCGGCGTTAGCCCCGCCCACTCCCCGCCCGCCCCGCCCACCACCTCCCGCCCCGCCCACCACCTCCCGCCCCGCCCACTCTCCCGTCCGCCCCGCCCACCACCCCCCGCCCCGCCCACTCCCCGCCCACTCCCCGCCCGCCCCGCCCACCACCTCCCGCCCCGCCCACTCCCCGCCCGCCCCGCCCACCACCTCCCGCCCCGCCGGCGTGAGCCCCGCCCGCGCCCGGCCCGCCCCGGGCGCCCACCACGACGTGGAAGCCTTTTCCCCGGAGCATTGTCAGGAACTCCCGCCCGGCGTCCTCGACCTTCGGGGACTGGCGCAGCGTGAGGGCCTCCTCGTCCTTCGGGGACTTCTGCCGCGTGCCGTCCTCCTGGCCTTTCAGGGGGCCACGAGCACGTAATCCCAGGGCCCGTCCCCCTGGGGTGAGGAGGGGAGTGAGGGCTGCGCGCACCGGGGCAGCGCTGGGCGCGGGACCGGCCCGAGGGGTCCCCGCGGGCACCCGGGCGGGGCTGGCCTCCAGCAGGGGGTAACTGTTCCCGTCCATCGCCACCGAGATCGAGGGGCTCCGGGCGCCCTAGGGCCGGTCAGACAGGAGGGGGCTGACCACGGCAGGGCCACTGACGGGAAACCTGGGGGCTGGGATGTGGCCGCCCAGCACAGGAAGGCGCCCACCTGCCCACCTGGGCTCTCCGAGCCAGGGGCGAGACAGAAGCCCAGAGGCAGAGCCAGGTGAGGAGGGGCGTCAGGAGACCCAGGCCTCCCCCACCGCCCGGGCCACCGGACAGTCCGGAGTGTCCCTGTGGCGCCCACGTGGTGTGAGGGGGGGCCGCCATCTGGAGAGGCCTGCAGCGCCCCCACCCTGGGCACGCTCAGGCCACAGGTCCTGTCTGAAGAGTGGAGGTGGCCAATCTCCCTCTGCCGGCGAGGGCACGCTGCTGCCCGGGGGCCCGGCCAGGGGCCCAGGGGCTCTGGGCAGACGTAGACGCCAGGCCAGAGGGGGCTGGGATGGACCCCCAGCTTCACGTTCTCGCCCACGGGGTGGGGGCTGGGCTCCATCTCCCTGCCATGCCAGAGAAATGAAGACGGGAAGGAGGCGGTGCTGGGCGAGGAGCCGCCCCCCCAGCCCTGGACGTGCAGGGACGGCGTGCAGCCCGCCCCAGGCCCACATCCTGTCTGCCGGGGCCCCTCCGCGGGGCACCCCAGGCCCGGGCAGCACAGCCGGCCAGCCAGGGTGACGGTGCTCACGGGGGCCCCAGAGCCAGGACCAGAAAGGACAGGGAAAGCGGGGGCAGCCACTCCATGGGCGCTTCACCTTGACAGGCGGGCAGCAGTGGGGCTGAGGTCAGGGGAAGGGCAGGTAGGGGACCCCAGGCAGCGCCCAGGGGGTCCCTGGTGGGCGGTGTGTCCTGGGGGGTTAGGGGTGCTGGGGTCTCATCTGCTCCCTGTGTGCCCCCAGATGGCGCCTCTGAGGGCTGAGACACGGGCCCAGGTCCCCCAGCAGGTGATGGGATGGGAGAGCAGAAATGGGGGACAAGGGCAGACATGGGGTGGGGGCACCCGGGCCCAGGTGCGGGAGAGGACATGGGCTTTGGGGCAGAGGTGGCCAGAGCCAGGCTCCCTGTCCTGCAGGAGACCGCCCCGCCCCACCCCAGGCAAGGCCGTGCTGGCTCCGAGAGCACCGGCAGGGCCAGGGGCCCACAGCCACCTCCTGTGGCCTCCGTGGCCCTGGGCTCTCACCAGCCCAAGCCATCCCTCCCTGTCACCCGGTCCTCCCGGCCCTGCCCACCTCCTGCCCACTGCTGGATCCTGCCCCGCCAGTCCCCCCAGTCCCTATCCCTCCCCTTCCCCAACCACACTCCTGCCAGCTCCCGTACCTCCTCCAGAGCCTCTGGAAGGCCCCGCCAGACAGCCCGGGACAGGGATGAGCACCCCACGGAGCCCCATGGAGCCCCACGGAGCCCCGCGGGCACTGCCCGCTCAGCCCGCACACCGCGGCTGGGGCTCCACGTCTTGCTTCACGAGCCCTGCGGCCCACCGCCGCCGCCCACCCAGGCCCCCAGGCCAGGAACGGCCAGTGGTGGAGGCCGGGGCCTGACCAGCGGAGGTCCCTGCAGCCCCATCGCCCACAGTCAGGAAACACGCCCCGCTGTCCTGCTGGCGGCTGGGGACCCCAGGGCAGGGGGGCAGAGCCCAGCGCCACCCCCCCCCTGCCCAGCAGGGGTCCCGGCCCGCCTCTCGCCCGGCGCCTGGGCCTACCCACCCGCCCACTGACAGACACCTGCCTCAGGTGTGGCTGCAGTTCTGGAAATTCTCCGTCTTGGCCAGAGGAGAGCCCCACCCTGTGCAGACAGGCCCTGGGCTGAGGGCCAGCGGGACAGCAGCGCCTCAGCCCCACGCAGCTCATGCCACAGCTCCAGCAGCTGGTTCTGGGGGTCAGTAGCTTCTGGGGTTCAGTAGCATGTGTTGCCAAACCAGGGAGTGCAGCGGGCCCTCCGGCAGGCAAGCCCTCATGTGCTGGACACGACACCTGCGGAGGGTCCCAGCCCACCCAGCCCCACAGAGGGGCTAAAAGGAGACACCCGCTAACATTAGCTGTGGCTGAGGGCCAGGACAAGCGGGTGGGAGTTGGGACCCCAGGGCAGGACTTTGGGGCGGTCCAGTCAGGCAGAGGGATCCTGGGGAGAAGGGACTGTCCCCCGGTCAGGGCAGAGGCCAGTCCCTCAGACTCAGGAATGAGGCCACTGGGCCTGCACCAGCCCTGGCCCCAGGCCACCCCTCAGAGGCCTCCCGTGCCTTCCAGACATCACCCGAAGCCTCCTGGAAAAGGCGGGATGGACAGGGTGCTCCCTAAGGGCCCGGCGGGCACTGGCCCCACCTCAGGTGCAGCTCACAGACAAGGAGCCACTCACATGGCAGCGGCTGCTCTGGCCGCCTCTGCCCGGCCGCCGGTTCAGAGACACCCAGCACCCCACCAGGCAAGGAGCAGATGCCCTCGGGTCCCGGGGCTCCAACCCCAGTCCAGGCCTTCCCTGGACCCTGGCCACGGTCCCCGCCTTCAGGGCCCTCTGTCCCTCTGCCCACTGTTTGTCCCCTGCCCCTGCATCCCCTCAGTGCCCGCCGTCCCCCCAGGCAGAGCTGCGGCTGACCGAACAGCCCTCGCGGCCCTGCCCGGTGCCAGCGGCACGGGGGCCTGGGGCGCCGGCGCCTGCCTGGCTACTAGCTCCAGAGGTTGGTGGGAGGCAGAAGGTGGGGGACGGCCCTGGGAGGAGAGTGGGCATCCAGGGACAGGTACCCAGCCCCCCAGGGCTCCGCACCTGACTCCCGGCCCGTGGAAGCACCAGGGTGAGTGCCTGGCACGGCCGGGCACAGGCCACCAAGCCCGCCCTTGCAAGGGCTGATTCTCAGGGCAGCCAAACAGGTGTCCCCGCCACCCAGCGCTGCACTCCACTCTGGGACAGGGACAGGGCTGGCGGGGAGGCAGGGGCTGGGCCAGCGCAGCTGGCTCGGGGCGGCGGGAGGCCGAGCACAGGCCTGGTGGCTCGCCCACACCTGGCACCGGGAGACGGAGTGGGAGGCTGGTTTCACACTCCACCCAGCACGCGACGCCCAGCAGCCTCTCCCGGAGAGGGCCAGAGGACGTCCCCAGGACAGCCTCCCCTCGCCGGGGGGCCCCCAGCCTGCGGCTCTGCCTCCCGAGTCAGGCTCCAGAGCCCGCGGGGCGCATGGCCTGGAGTGGGGCTGCAGGAGCAGGGCCCCGGCCGGCCACCAGCCTGGGCGCGCCGGCCCAGCCACGAGCTCGCGCCACCGCGGGGGCCCGGTCCTGCCCCGGGTAGGGGTGGGTCACGCGCCCTTCCCGCCTGGACCCTGCAGCTCCTGGGAGCCCGGCCCGGGCCCCAGAGCCCAGGGCTGGCGAGGGCTGCTGGCCCCGTGCTCACACCCCCCCTCACCTGCATGCTGCCGCGCGGCCTCGGGCGGGAGGAACTGTGCGTCCTGCGCCTGCCGACTTCCGCGTGGGACTCACCCCTCCCTCCTTGATCCGACCTCTCCGGCTCCCTCCTCCACCGGCCCTGCCCCACCCTCCCCAGCCAGGCCAGGGCACAGCCGGGAAGCTGCCCTGCACCCAGGTCCCCGGGGCCACACCACTGGGGCTCCTCCCTCCCTGGGGGCCGCCGCCCTCACCTGCAGGGGGCTCTGCTGTGAGATGGGGTTCAGCTGACACCTGGCTCTGGGCCTCCCAGGAGGTGCTCACCTTGCCCTCCCCCGCTGCCTCCCAGCCTCATGACCCCAGGTGCCCGCCAGACCAGCCAACCCCCCATGTCCAGTGCTGTGGCCTTGGAGGGGGGCCAGGGCACAGAGGAATGAGGACGAGCCGGACCCCAAAAGAAATGTCTCCTCCCACCCTGAGCCCCTGGTCTGTGGGTCCTGCCGTAGGAGGGGGACGCTTGGGGCCCTAAGGCTGTGCCCAGAGTTGAGAGCCCCGGGCTACAGGGAGGGGCTCTCCAGGGAGCCTGCTGACTGCCCTACGGGAGGGGACACCGGGCTCTGACAGCCACAGTGAGGATGTGGGCAGGGGCTCATGGCGGGACACGGGGTGCACGGTGGAGGGGGTGCAGGGTGCACGGGGGAGGGGCACTGGGTGCCTGGGGGAGGGGCACTAGGTGCACGGGGGAGGGGGCGGGCAGGAGCTCGTGCTGCACCCCCGGGAGCACGCAGCTGCCTCCAGCTCAGACTCAGGCTGACATGGCTGCTCTGGCTTCAGGGGACAACATGGCCTCGCCCACATTTCTGCTGGGGGCCCGAGACAGGCAGTCAGGGCAGCAGGGCTGGCCGCGCCGGGAGGCAGCCTGGTGTGCCACCGGGACGGGGCAGGCACATTCGGCCGCCGACGGGTCCGCAGGTGCCTGGCCGCGGCGAGGGTCATCCTGCCACCTGCAGCGAGGGCCCAGGGCGGGCTCAGAGCGCATCACAGCGCGTCCAGCCAGCAGGACAGGGAAGTGCGGCTCACCCGGTCACCGGCTCGGCCACGTGCTCGGGCAGGGGCGCCGAGCGTGGCCACCTTTCCTGAGGAGGACGGCAGCGGCTCTGGGGGCGCCCGGGCTCTCCGCCCCGGGCCAGAGCTCAGAAAACGGTCTGTGCGGGGTTTGAACGTGGGTGCCCCGCGCTCAGGCCCGCCCTGCTGGCCGGCGTGTCCCCGCTCAGCCTCCAGCCCAGTCGGCCGTGCTCACATTTTCTCCGGCTCGAAAGAAGCCTCTGGCGTGGCCGGGGTTCACCCCGTTGCCCCGGGGCCACTCGCAACCGGACCTTGCCACGCCAGCCTGGCGCTCGGCGAAGGGCCCCGCCCGTGCTGTGGGGAGAGGGGCTGCCGCGCCCTTCAGAAAGGGGCCCGCGGACGCCCAGGGAAAGAACTGGGGTCCAGAAGGCGGGGGGGGGGGTGGGGGGCCAAGGAAGGTTGCCGAGTCCTTGGAGTGCCCACGGGCATTTCCGGGAATCGGAGGTGGGGCAGGAAGGGTTTCCTTACAGAAACCAGCCCAACCCGACTCGAGC